CGCCAACTTTAACGGAGTTGGCAAATATGCCCATTTCATTTCATGATCCACTGATAGCACAGCTCAGGAAGCTGCTCAGTTACTCTTCACCCATGCCTGGAAGATCAGTGGATTTCGTAAGACCATCATTGGGCGTAGGCATCTGTTGTTCGCAAAAGTGTTTTGTAGTGCCTTGATAACGTCTACATATTCATCGTAATGCCACCGCTTCGAACAAACCCGAGGCAGAGGAGCAGAGGAGTGCGCCATTCGCACTCTGATGCAGCATTTTCGACATTGCTCACAAAAGTCCTATATCTTGGCTTGGTTTTGTACCCTTGGATTCACGGGTTTTATAGTAAATAAGCACATTCGTGTACCCGTAAATTCCCTATATTCCTGCGGCACACTGAGGAGCCCCTCTTCGATGCAGGCGTGGACCTGATAGTTCGGGGTCAGCAACCAACTCTATCGGAGGAGAGACTCAAAATACAGCGTACTCAAATACGCAAAGCTATGTGAAAGACTCAAGAAAAACAAGCACGAAATCGTATTAGGCCGCGGCCGGCTACGTGTTTGGAGCTTGAATATTTGGGCTTGGTCAATCTGCAGGCTATTATAGCTGCACTAGAAGGTGATAAGACAAAGATTCGGCCAAGTGGATAAAATCGTTTTCCATACCCGCACGAATCAATGCTCTTCCTAGCTTTATTGCTTGTCCTAAAAATTGAAGGTGCTGCAGACTATGAATTGTAGGTTCTCAAAGAAATTTCAAAGGATTTCCGACATTCGCAAACTTTGCTGCGGAGAGAGCTGTAGGAGTGGTGCATTTCGGAACTACTGAGCGCCGAGAACATAATAGCCGGGAATGTCTAGTGAGTTGTTGGTGAGGTACACTAGCCTACTGTTTGACGCATGAGCAGTCACGAACTACCGTGCGTGCAAGAGACTTTGCGGCTCTGTTCGGTTGACAATGCTAGTCTTTATGAACGGTCCTCCTCGCGTTAACTGACTCCTGCCCGCTCCCGCTCCCAGCTTATGTTATCCCTGAAATAGCTACCTTTATCTATGAATATTGCTTGAGAGGTGTCAGTGTTTCTCTGCAATCACGTCAATGCACAGGCTCTCTTAGATATGCTGTTCTCACACGCTTCCTTATGCTTCTTGCGGAGCTTTGAGTCAATTTTGCAGCAAGCACCGGCTATACCGGCATGCGAACATTTTTTATGCGGTAGCGAGGCACTGCTTAACTACTGTGCATTTCCTCTCCACATCCTTTACTTGTTTTTTGTTAGATCGTAGCAGGAGGCCCACACATCTCAGTGCTCCGATGATAGTGAGCATTCGCACCGTCGCGGTCGTCTTATTCTGGGCCCACATTCGTTGATGACGAGTGTGTATATTTCTTCCAGTTCATTGCAGTTTAGCTGTATGTGCTTTCCTCACTTGCACTGTGTTCGCGTTTCTGCCTGCACGGGAAGTGGCAAAAAGACGCGAACTCTGCGTGACCCTACATGCAGCTGCTCTCGACCTACAGCTACGGAACAGGAAGGTGCGTTCTTTGAAATGGGTGAGGAAGAAAATGTCTTTGGCTATGGTACACCTAATTACTTTCTACCACACTAATTTTATTTGACTGCAAATTAACAAGCAATCGACTATTTGGTTTTGGTGTATCTGCTTGTACCTTTTCTTGTTGTAGAGCTCTGTTAGCTGCAAACAAGAAGATGCTATGTTGTCTGCGTGAGCGCTAGATGCTCTTTAGTAGCAGTTGTGCATGCTTAGAGTCTAAGAGGGTGCAGCTATGCTCACCTGAGCCATCCCTCTTGTCTTGTTTCTGGTACTCCGAGTGCACGAACAGGCTGGAGTTCCTTTAAAGTTACCCTATACCTTTAACTAAGCGTGCATCGGGTCTGGAGTGAAATGTCTCCTTTCGCCGAGCTGGGGCACAATATGGAGCTTAGGCTGCTACAAGTAAACTGCAGCATGAATTACAGAAAGTAAAGGCTCTATCGAGTGGGCTCATCAAACAGGATCATCTGCCGAACTAGAACTCAGGATTAAAGAAAGGAAAAGAAGCCTCCTATTCCTGATTCGGCCCCAGGTAGTTATTTTGGTTTTTTGGCACTGCGTCGTACCTACGGACTTCCAGCACCTTTTTGTTGCATATACTATTTAGTCTGACTAGTGACAGTCTGTATTCCTAGGCATTATCCAGTCAGAGCTTGGGGGAAGGTGCATACGTATACTGCACTTGCACTCAGGATACAGCTATAGGTGCACGAGGTGACGACAGAATCAATTCGGTAGCAAGGAGTTGAATCAGATGCAAAGCAAGAATGGTTAGTACTGCCTGTAAATGGACTACTAGCTTATACAAAACGTGCAGTTCCTTTACTCCAAATGTGTGCGTACAAACGACGCATCCCACAGAAGGACGGATGACTCTTTCGTTCGATACAATACAATGCATGGCCAATAAAAATAGCTGTGTATCTCTAGAGCATTCATTGTTTTGCATTTATTTAGGCTATGTCTGGGCTGGTGCTCCTTCTTTCGACGGTGCTGCTGCAGACGGCCATCCTCACTTCGTTTGAGACAAATGCCTTGTGTGTGGGTGTGGCACTGCTTGCCCTATACCCTGATAATTGCAAAATCTTCCGCATATCATAGAGATCTTGGCGCCTAATGAATGTTATATACTTGCTGGACATACGGAGTGGCCGAGGCTATTATTAATGGCCGCAATAAGCTGCAGCCTGCCTGCAGCTGTGTTGTGCCTAGTCATGCCAGGGGGTGTTACGTGTTTGGTGTCGCCCGTTCCTAGCCCTTTGGTGTGTATATCAAGTTAATAATATAAACCGCTGGTCTATATTGTTTCGAGGTCTGTAACTTGGAGCATTGCATATCTACCCCTTCCTCTCGCCTTGCTGTTCCCGATCTTCCTCCTGTGGTGTGTCGCACGACCCTCCGGTGAAGCCTGCAATGCACAGAACTTAGGCAAGCTGCCCGGTACCCCTTGTAGTGCAGAAAGCTATAGCATTCTGGTCGCATCTGACTTGGACACCATTAGGATTACACTTCTAATCCTAAGTCAATGCTCCCCAGGCGCCCCCAGCTGCTCGGTACAAGTGACCAACTGAGGTCCTGCAGTGGAATAAGAAGGTGCAGCTGGAAACCGCAGCCACTTGCTAACGCAGCACTTGGCTGTATACCTGCGGCGGGCTCTCGGTGGCCCCGCCCTGGACTGCGCCTCTCCGTTCCACTCCTACTACTCTGCATCACGATTGTCTTTGCCCCAGCAGCTATGGAAGCCTTTCTTCGACCGGCCTCCGGGTACCCCGCACTTCTTCAAGCGCTGCAACGGGGACCCCTCAAAGTGAGCTCGCAGACCTTCTTTGCGCCTGGGGATGGCTTCCTCTGTGACAATTTCCTGCTTTCATTCATCTCATCCCGGGGCCATGTCCGGTACCGTTGAAGAGGGGAGTTATTGAGTAGACCATCAGCGTGGTAGGATCTTATATGGCGGTCAGTTGTATCTACTGTCCAATATGCGGTACATGCAAGCCTCTGAACTGCACTGGGCCCTTAGGAAGACTAGCAAAGTACAGTGGCGGCTATTCCTATGGCACCGCTGATTCACGCTTTTTCATTATTTATCCATGCTCTGGGAGGAAACAATATCACAACTTGAGACCGTGTAACCGTGTGCCTTCGTTCGGCCTCGTTAACAGGCTTACGGTGTTGTCGTTTTGCGTTCTCTTATCGTTAGTGTCACGTAGGATCATGCCTTGCCGGAAACCCGCCGGCTTTTCCTTATACTACCGCCAGACTTCTCCATCAATAATGTTGTGTCGCGTCTCCTCAGGTTTCTTTAGTGGGATCGGGAAACTGGGGGACTGCAGTGGGCAAAATCGTGGCGATGAACGCGAAGGACTCGCACATTTTCCATTCGGATGTCAGGCAGTGCCTTTAATTACGCAGCGCACTGCGTTGTACACGCCCTACACGCTTAGGTTTTGAGTACTTGAACTGAGTGGACTGCAGGGGCTTTCTCTTTTCCTGCATAATGTAATGTAATTTGCATCGTATATCTGTTTCCAGAAGCCCCCGGACAGAGTGCATACCTCAGGTACCGGGGGACTTTCTCTCTGAATGCCCTTACTGTTGCCTTCTTTCTGTGTCAACGTGTCCGCCTGCTTTCTAATGCTGCTTCTCCTCCTCATTTTCGTTTGTGCGAATTCTCTAGGTACGCATGTGGGTATTCGAAGAGGAGTGTGAGGGGCGCAAGCTGAGCGAGTGGATCAACAAGCACCACGAAAATAGAAAATATCTACCAGGTTTTCAGCTTCCCACGAACCTTCGTGCCATCCCATCCCTTACGGAAGCCTGCAAGGAGGCCGACCTCCTCATCTTCGTCATGCCCCATCAGTTCATCGAGGTGACAATCAAAACCAAAAAACAACTACCCCTTTCTTCGTTTTCCCCTTTTCTGACAATTTGAGTCATCCGTCCTCGTTTCGCTCCTACGTTTTCCACTGTTTCGGTGTTCCTGTCCTTGTACACCCTTCGCCGTCTATGATGTGCCAGTATCTTGTGTTGGCTTCTCTGTACAACGGGCACGGTGCACATGCAAATGCGTTAGTTCACTTGTGTTATTTTTGTTATTCTGCGCCCTAGCCATAGAGCGCTGCAACTACCCTGCTGTTTGTCGATTTGTACCTGTGGTGGCATTCATTCAACCAAGAAACAGTTGTTTCTTCTGGTTGTGGATGAATAATTTGTGTTCAGAAAACCTGTTACGAGCTCAAGAAAGCGCAGCTGCTACCGCCCCATGCAAGGGCGATTTCTCTCATCAAGGGCCTTGGAGTCAAGAAGGGATGGCCCATTACCTTAACGCATGAGATTGGTAATATTCTGGAGTTGCCCAAGCCTTGCATCCTCTCTGGTAGGTAAATAGAGGATACTTTTACAGTCTGGTGGGCACATTAGACGTCGCTTTGTTCCCGTTCCCCTCTCGGTGATTTTTCTCTCCTAACAAATTCATGTTTCCCTGGGCGGTTGCGCTTTCTGCCCTCCTCTTATCTTCGAATCATTCCAGAAACGGTTGCTGGCCTGATCTCGATCCACTGTGTTTCCTTTTCCGATTTTCGCCCCCTATTCTTCCCAAATTTTGTGTATAAGCTTGTAACCTCGCTTTCGCCTTTTTTGTATGCGACTAGGTGCGAATGTTGCTAATGACGTTGCTGCTGAAAATTTCGCTGAAGCAACAATTGGGCATCCAGAAGGCGAAGCAGAGACTGCTGCACTCTGGCAGCTCCTTTTCGACAGGCCAAACTTCAAAGTCAATGTGCTTCCGGACGTTGACGGGGTGGAGGTGAGGAAGGGTTGTTGCGTATGCACTGGTAATTGCTGTTAAGGGGACTATTGCCTGGAAACTCGCTGCTTCTCCAATTCGGCCTCGTTGATAGCATAGCACAGATTGGACCATCCTTCATGTTGTCGCCTACTGCGTCCGGTCTTCGAGACAGTATAAACCTAGTTCTGATGTGGCACACTACTTTTCTGGGTGTTTACTTGCCCCATTCTTTGTTGGCGCCAGCCGTAGACTGTTGCCACGGCCTCGGCTGCTGCTTCTGGATGGCAGACACACCCCATTTAGTACAGCCTTTCGAGGTGTACGCGTCTATTTTGTGCTTATATGTGTATGCGCCTGGTGGTTGCGAAGGTTTGTGGGGCCTTAAAGAATGTGGTGGCGGTTGCTGGCGGCATCTGTGAAGGAATGGGTCAGGGAACAAATGCGAAGGCAGCAATCCTCAGACTTGGCGTTGAGGAAATGAAGACCTTCATTATGCTCTTCTTTGGGGGGCTTCTAGCGGTAACTTACGAACCACTAATGCGCATGCTTTTTCCAGAGCACATAGTTTTTGTATTTTACCGTTTCTGCTTTTATATTGGGATCTACGGCTGATTCATGAACCGTGGCGTGCAGTAGTTGTATGCATGTGCAGGTACAGGTTTGTGATTGGTCCTCGAAGGGTGCTTTCGCCATTGGGTCTAGCCTAGCCTACTACGGGCATCTGTTACCAACTTCTGAACTGTGTCGTTGCTTACGCGTTGTGGGTTGCACAATATGTTTCTGTAACATCTGCCATCAGTTGCTGCACCACTTAGGGGTGCCCTGTGCATACTTTATCTCCTCAAATGCGCGGAAGGGCCTGAAAGGGCCACTATTAGAATCTACCTTCCCCTTGTCTTTCTCTTCCACCTCTTACGCACTTTCAGATCTGTTGCCCGTGCTTCCGCTGCAGGACACTCTGTATGACAGTGCGGGGTATGCCGACGTAATAACGACTGCCTTTGGAGGGCGCAACGCCCGCGTGTCCGCAGAATTCGTGCGGCAGGGCGGTAAAAAAAATTGGGACCAGCTGGAGAGCGAAATGCTAGCTGGGCAGAAATTGCAAGTGAGGAGCAGGGGAAGGGCAGCAAGGCAGACGAATGTGCCATTGACTTTGGCATTGAAATGGAATGCTTACTGGTTTCATGGCTGCCACTCCTGTGTGACTTTCTCGTCATTTTCCCCGCTAGTTGTCTCACCCCTTTAACCTCCTGGTGTGTGTCCGCCTCATCGCATGTTGTACACTGTGCGCTACATATTTGGGGCGATTCTACTCGCTACCGAATTTGCATCGAGCCGTGCCCTCTTGCAATTCAGCCCGTTCGCCCTACACAACCGTATCACAGTCTTTCGAGGATTTGTAGTAGCCAACACGAGCGTCTTCGAACGTATCCATTCTGTTTGTATGATAACACTCTAGGACATGCCTGTTGCATCATGCCCTATGTGTCCTTACATATGTTTAGGGCCCCGCAACGCTTGAACTGGTGGCGGAGGTGGTGCGTACCAACAAAGTAGAGCATTTGTTCCCACTCTTCATGGCAACACATGCTGTAGCGTTTCAGGGAGCAGATCCCCAGCTGATCCTCGATGTTTTTCGTACTTCCCAGCCCCGTACTATTCAAAAAGTGGACGACTGTGTTAAACTGAAAATGCCTACGGCTATAAAGGAAGCTAGGACGAAAATTGCTGCACGGATCATGATGGCCAGGGGGAACAGCTCCCACCACACTGCATATCACAGTTCCCATTCTGCCCTCCATGGAGGACAGCATGAGACTATTTGTGAAGGCACACGTGAGGGCATCCATGAATCCGTCGGTGGATCCCCTCAGGAGGGCTCGGGAAGGTCTCATCCGACGACCAGCCGAGAGGCTACGCATGGAATCTCGTAAATCTCCAGATGGGTGCGAGGTTGACGCGGCAGATACCACTGTACAGGCAGAGCTCAGTTGTGCAAGGGTATAACATTGCTTTCGAAGGAAGTGCAAAAAAGCAGCAGAACGATGGAAGCCCCGGACCATGTTAACAGTGCCATTATGTACCTCTCCAAGTCTCGCCGTGCCTCAGTCCGTCCAGAGGGCCCTCAGTTTTGTGATTCCGCGCGAGCAGTTGCACCGTGCCAAATTATATGCTTTAGTGTATACTTTTACGCAGTATCACTTCACCATTCTTGATAGGGGACAGTGAACAGCTTCTGTCATGATGGATACATTGCAATTGCACATGGGGCACCAGACTTCACAGCCGACGCTGGCCTCTTACTTGTAGATGCTGGCTCATTCGCACCAGCTTCTGCGCAGAATGTGACAATTTATTCCGGGGGCCTTGGCACATGCCGTCGCAGCCATCTCCTCCGGCGCCCACACTATCAAAGGTTAAGGGCTTTCACCCCTTACCCCTGCACCGGTCCGCTGCTGCGCGCCTCTTCAGACGAGGTCGAGGGCCCTAGAAATTCCAGGGGATGCGGGTTTGCGGGCTGCTGATACATGAAAGGGAATGGGCAGTCCTACTTGTCCTTCAGCTAAAACGCAGCAACGATTTCTGTGCAGTCCTTCCAGGAGTCTTTAATGTAGAGCATGAGGCTCCGAAGTGAAATATGCGGGACCCAGTGTTCAGCTCTAAGTGCTCCGGATCAAAACTGCTAGATAGGCGATTATGCATATTGGAGCGGGCCTTAAAGAGTGCAGTTTTACCACCAATTTCGCGCTGCCTCCTCGCAGCACCCAAATACCTGGCTCCTAGTTGGGGTTCTATTAGCCAAAGGGATGTACAGGTAAACTGTGTTGGTTGGGGTTCATGTGGAACGTCGTGGCCACCCAACTTTTACGGGCTGCGCGTCGCAATTCGCGCCATGTTGCGTAGCTAATTGTGTTGGCAGGCATACACTGCTCCTGTGGGCCAGCCCACCCACTGGCTTGAGTGGGGAGGGCTTGCGATTTACGGAAACGAAAGAGGCTAGCTCAGATAATGCAGATAGTGAGGAATAGTTGCACTTCTCCGCGTGCGCAGCGCAAGTGCTGACAGTCGAACGGAATGGCATCAGCGGAGCACACAGCGTAGGCGAATTACTCTGGAAGCTAAGCATCATTCACCTGAAAGCTGCCGTAATGTGGGCGCTGGATGATTAGTCCTGCAAGAGGCTAGCAAAGACATCCTCCTGAGGTGCCTGGTAGCTCGAGTGTCCCAAATACATGCCGCCGACAGTCGCCGATTGCCACGTCATGAGCACCGCAAAAGGAGAGCATCCAAGCACCTCGGTAGCTAATTCGATTGGCGGCTTTTGTTTGAATAAAATGACGGCTTAGAGATACGGATCCCTATCTGATGTTAGTTCAATATGAGCTTCTGGAAGAGAGTCAGAGGGTTGGCCGTCAATTCGCCATTAGCCGCAAGACCCACAGCAAATATCAATGGCACCATGCCGTAATGCAGTGTTGGGTGTAGCCATTTTTGCCACATGTGCGAACAGTAGTTCCAACCCTGCAGAAAATAACCCAGCACAGCAAGCAAAGTAAGGGAATTTAAGCCTTAAAAAGGAAAAGGGAGGCGTTGGCATCGAATAGGTTGCAGTAGTACATCAATATTTGTGCGAAATTACGCATGACCAACAGCGTATTCTGTGATACATGGGCAAAAAAGACACAAAAATCCAGACCGGAAGAACACTGGCAGCACCCCCTAGCAATACCTTGCATGCAATGCCGCCACTCATGCATAGGCAGGAGCCACGTGAGAGCTCGGCAGTGGCCAGCTTCACTGGAAACTAGAGTGATACATAGCACACCAACGAGGCAGACAGTATGCGTCAGGGTCTGTGTAAGAGTTACACTGAAGATCTTGAGGGTATCACAAATAATTATAAGCAGCAAACGAAGAGCTAGATGGCGATTTCTGCACGGTGGCTGGACTACTGGGAGGACAAAGAAGTACAAGGCTCTCACCATGGACACCCTATCATCCACAGAGTCTTTGCTGAGTGCTGCTCCCATTGTGAGAACAAGGAATTGGGAGAAGTCGTTGAAACCGTGGAAAAGACCTTGCAGTTTGCTGCAAGGGCCTTTTAAAGAGGCGTCTGAATTGGCCCTAGCTCCCAGTATTTGATACCGGATGTAGCATCTAATGGCTTTTACTGGGTAAAGAGCAGCCCAACATGACGATTCACTCAGGAAGGATCGAAAGCATACATGCATGGGCCCCGACAAAACAGGGCATGCATGCATTCAGGGCCTGAGGATCTGCAGGCGCTTCTGAGGGAAAAAGTTCGTGCACATTTCTTTCTAAATTCAAAACTAGAACTATTTTGGCAGCAGAGTATCAGCCGTCGAGCTGTTATAGAGGGAGATGGGCTCAACTGCATAGACGTAGCGTAATGCATTCCCCTGTTGACTTTCTTTTTCTTCCAAGACTGTATATGATTTTTATGCACGACCAGGAGCTGCTCTAACGAATTTCGAGCGCTGGCGCTGCAGTTTTAGTCAAAGCGTTGTTCGGTTCCCTTCTGTACAGCTGGTGCACGCTTTCCGTGCACCTCCTACTGGTACCTGCACAGCAACAGCATGCACAGTATCCATGAAAAAATGACTGGGCCAGCCGGCATTGTGGTAATCGGCTGTATAAATTCCGACATTGTGGCTTTCGTCTCACATCTCCCCCACGCCGGTGAAACGGTGTTCTCCAGCCCGCTAGAGGTGCATTTTGGAGGGAAAGGAGCCAACCAGGCTGCACAGGTTGCCCTTCTCTTGCAAAGTCGCAGTACAAAAAAAGGGCAAGAGGGCCACCAGTGTGCATTGGGTGATGCAAAACAAGTTTATCCAGGTCAACCATTCGGGCATGAGGACGCAGATGCACACGACCCAACTACTACACGAGGCAATACAACAAGCACGTGTGGTGTCGCGATGGTCGGAAGAGTTGGCAGAGACACTGAGGGCTCGAGCTTTTTGCGTCATTTTTCCTCTCTTGATATTGATACACGAGGCGTGTCTGTCGACTCGCACACTCGCACGGGCACTGCTTTGGTCACGGTAGCCAAGGGTGGCGAGAATACCATTGCGTATGTGCCTGGAGCCAACGCATTCATGAGCAAGGAGCATCTCGCGGAGCAGCCCGTGCTATCGTAATTGAACCCACCCTTCCTTTTGACTACCCTCAATCCTAACGTAGCTTATGAGTAGTAGGAGTACCCGGAACACCCACACTTGGCTGGGTCGTTGTGAACAAGCATTTGAAAGCTGCTTAGACCACCATGGAGGTGCACATTCAAGAATTCGGTAGGAATTGACCCATGGTTTGACATTGGCATGACGCGAATATACAGGGTCAGAATCACTTTGCGCATCTCGCTTTGGTTTGGTGTGCTGTAGGTTGCTGCAGGAGGCAAAGGTGGTAGTTTCGGAGAACGGGATTCCAGGAGAGGCTTCAGTAGAAGCTTTTCGCATTGCCAAGGGGGCTAATGCGCACGTATTAACCGTATTCACTCCAGCTCCAGTTGACCGCATCAATGCGGCGATCTGCTGCTTCACAGATTTCCTCCTTTGCAACAGTGTCGAAGCTCAAGCACTCCTAAAACTGTGGGGTGACACAACTGATCTCAGCGAACCAACAAATGAAATGGACATGGCACGCCTCTTGCATGAACGCATGCTGTATACGGCTTCCCAATTTGCTCATGGAGCACGGGGCCTCGCTAATGTCATCATCACGCGGGGGGCTAACCCATGCGTCGTTTTCGCAAACGGGAAGGCTATGCAAGTGCCGGTGGCACAGCACGTTCCTAGTGAACTTGTGGTAGACACAACGGGTGCGGGTGATGCTTTCGCTGGAGCCTTCGCCTACTTTTTGCTACTGTCACCGAAGTCCCCGGAATTGGCTGTGTCGCGTGCAACATACGTGGCGGCGCAGTCGGTGACAAAAAACGGCGCAGCTGAAAGCTACGCTGGAAGAGGTGATCTTCCTGAGCATCTCTTCCGGAACGATTAATTGGGAAATAGTCGTCTTAGCCAATGTTTTTTTGGTGATAGCTCTCAAACTCTTGAATACGCACCAAATTGTCCATTCAAAGGCACAATCGCACAGATAGACAAAAATTCAAGATTTACCATTTGTCTAGTAGTACCCAGCAAGTACAATATTATCAATCAGAAAATCGGCTCCGCCAACAGCAAGAATACCTGAGTTTCCCGTTGCAGTCCATGGTGAGATGAATTGTGAAATTTCTTGTCGTTACACTCTGGGATTGATTCCTCCCGCCGAGGAAAAAAAACCCACCACCACTTCCACCAAGTTGTGATGACGAGACACGAAAGAGTCCGCGATGTTGATGCACGTTGTTGTTCCTTCTCCCATCAATGGGTTTGCCGGCAATGAGGAGGCTGCGCAGGCAATAGCAGTTTTATGCCCTGATTCAACTCAGGGTAAGGCATCCAAAGGCAGCCTCTAAAACCAAAATTTTGCCAGCATACCAATGTTTCTGTTCTACAGATACAATAAAAGAAACGCCTTATGTGGCAATTCGCCTGGGAAGCTTGAGAAATGTTTGGCGCTGCTCCCCGTTTAATTCTAAACATCTGCCCACTGATGGCTTCTGGGATCACGAAATCAGTGTGCCACCTCTGAAAACATTGAGCAACGGGATTTCACCAAGGAATTCATTTTCTGAACTGCGGAGGTCTTGTGCACGCGAACTACTTGCGGAATACACCCCTATTGAATTACGAAAGACACATTATGAGCAAGTCACTCAAGGTAATTCGACGCATCGCGGCAGAAGTAGGTCGGGTAAAAGGTTCTTTGCAGTGCAAAAAAAACTTATTTTCCGGGTTTCTTTCGCAGCTGATGCCACGAGCCTCGGCGAAAAATCAGGCACCAAGCATTCCAAGCCGCGGCCGACAACCTGCAAATCGCTTCAGGTTGACATTTGTCCTTGCACTCACGTGGCAAACACAGTAATTCAAAAAAGTCACTATGGTTTGCATAAAAGCTGGTGTGAAATGAGAGGCTAACGAGTAGGCTGTTTATCTGAAGAGTAAAACTACACCTAGCGTTCCAAAGAGGTCTACGGCCACTGCACCCTTACGGAATGCAAAAATCCGCACTGGAGTTCGCCACTTGGAGGGCAAGTTGCATGCAGTTGAAGGAAACCAGCACTCCCGTAACTGCGACCTGCAAGATATTCCCTGTTGTCCAATTGCACGCATTTTGAAAGCATGCAGATGATCCCTAGCCACGCTACTCTTTCTTATTGCAAAATGCAACGCAGACGCCCCGAACAGTGGCCCCCGTAGCGGCAGTTCGCTACGCAGTTTATTATGAAGCAGTTCATTCGTTACAGCAGGCGAATAATTACTGGGGCGGGCACCTGTCAGGTCACGGCCTTGCATGCGGCTGGCGACGCATGAAATTTCTCGTCATGGCCGAAAACTGGCTTAGTTTGGCCACCTAACCGACATCTCGTTTCAGGCCTAAGGCCGCGAGACACAGTTGTACTAAAAACACTGACTCGAAATTATGAGGCAGGCTCCCAGACAATACTTAGCGAGCGAAATTAGCACAACTTGTCCTTTGCCGCCTGAAGCAGTTCGCGTCTAGCTCGCTCCCCTAACAGCTCAGGCTTCCCGGGGATAACCTCCACTATAAGGCGTCGAAGCTGTTGCTGTACCGAAACACTGGAACACAGGGGATGGCTTTGAACTACCATTTGCAGTAAAAGCTCGTGGCCATCGAAGATCTCCTGTTCGTCCTCCATGAGCGGGAACCTACAAATCAAGCACAAAAAGTAATAGCACATTGTCAATGCCTTCAGACTCTTCTCTGGCTTTGCAAGGTGGTGCATACACATTCGTTGTTGCTAGCCGTTCCTGCAGGCGCGCTCAGTCTTAGCTGGCAACTGTGCAGCGCTTCCCCTGCATGCGTTCCTCACCATGCCTCTAGGAGCTTTGCTAGCATTTCAGAGGCCTTCTCGAGATCTTGCTTCGGCCCAAACTGCACAAAGATCTTTAGAAGTGCACATGCAGCACAGTCAGCAACTGCTCTGCCACTTTCTGTGCGCAACAATGGACTTGAAAGGCACCGTTCAAGCGACTCAACTGCGCGCTGCAGAGAAGGGAGGAACAGCTCTGGATGTCTTTGTGCCAGAGCGCCTGAAGTCGAATAATGCAGAAGGGAAGTGCGGCAACCAATGCGCTTCTATTCCAGCCCTACTGCCATTTCCTCCAGTACAGAGAAGTAGAAACTGACTGGGCACCCATTCCACAAAAACTTTAGCAGACCATCCAATTTCAATAGATATAATGGGGCCGTTAGACGTTGGCTCTCCAACAAGAGCACCGCGCATCTTCCCTGCATGAGACTACTAAGGGAAGTCATGGATATGCGGGCACAAACACCCGTGCAGCTAACAAGAAACTGCCCCTAAAAGAGAATTGCATCCTTACCCATTCCGTACGCCGAAGCTGAAATAGCGAGCAAGTGGTCTTCATCGCTGATGTATTCGGGCTGCGAACCCACAGCCAGCAGCGCCCCCGGGAGGAAAACAGTGCTGTACTCCACCGTCCCTGAGGGGTCCCCGTAGTTTATAGCGTCGGCGTAAATGCAGAGCGCAGCAACCTGCGAATTCTCAATGTGGCAACACGCAAACGCAACTAGAGATATCCAGGAGCCGAATACACTTTACACATCAAGTATAACAGTCTGCATAACCGAGTTTTGGCACAATCGTTCCCGCCATACGCAGTTTCTCTGCTGCCGCCCCAAGGCTTTGCTGAAGGCTTGCCTCGGCGTGTACGGATGAACATATTACCTTTCCATAGTAGCTTGATTGCTCGTGTGCCAGGAGGGCGCCGTATGGCAGCCGCAAGTGCTCGTGAAAGTGCGGGAGGCATTCAGAACCGTACACCTAAAAGGCGAAACAATTCACACACGCAGCACTGAGCTGTTTTCAGAAAAAGCGCCGCCATCTCGCCAGTTGCCCTCGAAGCTGCAGCCCTCCTATAGCGACTGTGGCATGATGAAATCTAGCCACAGGCAGTTTCAGTGTACTTGCGTCACCCTAGATAGTAATGACCACTCGAAAAGCGAAACAAAGGAATCAACTTTGTGCTGCTAGACGCATGGTTCAGTGGATCGACAGCACGTGACTGCACCAGTAGTAGAAGACACATCGCCCAACAAGGGCAAACTGGGGGTGTCTTACCTTGAAGAAACTACCAGAACACTGCATCACGGAGTCATAGTAGGTGCTGCTGTCCTCCTCTCCTTCATCGTCGCTCAGATCCTGCAAATTCAGAAGCCAAGAGACCTCAAACAAATGAAGTAGCAGCGCCCTAAAAAAAGCCCTCCTTTTAGATCACCAGATCCAAAGGGGCTCCGCCATGCAGATAGAGGCCAGACTTAAAGCCCTAGAAATTCACAGACACTTACCTCCCAGTCATCGTCTTGCTGTTCCTTATTGGCGAGACGTTCGAACTCCCGTGTCAACACTCTGCACCAGACATTAGAGCGCCATTGTTTGCTGCGGCTCTAGAGGCAGCCTGTCCCTGGCACTTCAAGGCTTTAAACATGTCCCTCAATACCTTAAGCTGAGAAAGCGTGAGGCGTTTGAACTGGAGTCAACATAGGTAGGGCAGCGCAACATCGCTGTGTATGCAGTTATGTATATATGTATGCAGTTAGGTATGTATGTATGTATGCATGCATCTGTGTGAGTGTATTAGAGGGGTCGCGCGAGGCATACGGAAGCATGAGTTTGCCCATTCCAGCAAAAAGCTTCTCTAGCAACAGCGCCCTTTGCTGCTGCGGCACTTGGCATGCTTGCGGCAGCATCCCCTCCCTCTGCTTCTTCCCCTGAGCGCCAACTATTTGCGCCACTGCGGGAAGCATATGCTCAGCTGCGAGGGTTGCCTGAGATGGCAGCAGCTGCCCTTCGCCGCTCGACAAGAAAGCAGCAACCAGTTCCAATACAGCTGTTGCTGTTTGGCCTTGCTGTTCTGGTGAAGACTCTAGTGCAGCTAGGCATCCAGGCAGAGCCTGAAAGGATCCACACCACACATACGCACCCTACCCTTCTTGTCTGAACCCCCACACGAAAGGTTTACAAGATCCTCTCCTGCGCCCGAGCCGTCTACTGGTTCTCTGACGCGTGAGATCCCCCTGCACGTATATACATATATATATATATATACAAATTAGCCTGCTGCGTGCAGTGTTTGCTTCCCCTAACGCACATCGAACGCCTCGCTGCGGACAATGGTGAACTCCGAAGAGCAGCTCTCAAGGACGGCGGCAGTCCATTCGATGGCCAAGACAAGGGGTGTCTGAGCTCCACCAGCTAAAGCCAGTGCCCCTAGCAGCCGCAGAGCCGCGACGCGTTCCTCTACTGCCGCCTAAGGAAATGCAGGGAACCACAGAGAAAGGGCTTATTATACGGCGGCAGGGTGCACGTGCATGTCTTGCATGCAGCAGTCTCCTTCCCTCATCCCCCCTGTCCCGCCCCCCTCCTCCCGCAGCGCAGCCTGCTCCACGGAGAGAACTCGCGAGCAACGGATGCTGGAAGTGCTGAAATGTTGTCTCTGTTCAATCCCGCATCCGATAAGGCCAGAGTCGAGCTAGCGGTTGGTGGCAGCTAGCAAAATCTACAGCCTATGGACGAACACGTACTGTGTTGATGGAAATGATTGTTTGCTTGCCCGTCTTGTCCTGTACCCGAAACTGCGAGACTCCCCCTTCCTCGGACAGTTCCGCGCCCGCATTCAGCGAACCTCCCGCAGACCCCAACTCCTCGGTAACCCCCAGCTGAAGGCCAGAAGAATGCACATCGAACTCCAAGATTTGGACAGCAAACAGTCCCACGCGCTCCTCCCCCTGCCAGGAAGCCAGCCACCCCAAGCCTGGCCATGGCACTGTGCCCGTGCTGCATGCACCTGCCCTCACAGGAGGAGCAGCTGCTGGAGGCCTACGCCGAAAGCGCTGCTTTTCGCTCTGATGCTGATTCGACTTGCGGAGCTCTTTGGCGGAGGCCAGCACAAAAAAAAGACCCCAATACCTCGTGTGTGCAGTACTGCACCACCTACCTTGATGTCTGTCTTGGCCTTCTGCAAGACGATAGCCATGAGCGGCTGCATTTGATGCAGCAGCTCGGGGCCGCACGCTGGCGCAGCCACCGCGAGACACGACATAGCCGAACAGAAGACAGCCGAAGCTGCTGGAACTGCTTCGCAGGAGAGCATGAGGCGGTGGATGCGGTCAACAAGCCAAGGGGCATCCTGCACCAGAGAGCAGACAGCTTGGCATGCAGAGACGAGGCTCCCACGCAAGAAGACGCCACTGCCGAATAACAGCGCAGCAGCAACCAGAGGCCGCATGCAGCGGTGGCCAGACCGGCCAGGAGAGCCAACGCTCGCTACCCTTTTAGCCTGCAAGCAGCAGCAGACAGCAGCCACAACCCCTTTACCGGGCTAAAAACCTCCGTGCCCACGGCAGAGCCCAGATCCGCAGCGAACTCCACGGACGCCTGTAAGAGACAGCGGCCTGCATGCTCCTGCAGCAGCTGCTCCACTTTCTGATGCCCTGAGGGTTCTTCCCCCCCAAGAAGATTCCGCAGAGCCACTGCGAATGGCGGATAGTAAGGAATAAAGGAGGTGCCGCATGCCTGAAGTGAATGGACACGCGCTCTACCAAACTCAGCTCCCTTTTGACTCAGAAGGCGTCCTTAGCAGTTGCCAGCAGCACAACACGCGAAAATAGATGCAGCACAGCTCGCTTTGAGGAAAAAACGACTTCTCTCTAAGGCCCTTCCCCCCCTTCCCCTCCATCCGGCGAGGAGGCGCTATTCTCTCTTCGCTATTCTCTCTGGCCACTGCCAGCGTTCCACTGTACGCCGCGAGACAGCGTGGGCACAGCGGGTTTGTGTCATGTGCACGAAAATAAAGGCACCTTAGCCAATGCGGAAGCGAGAGACAGCGCGAACTCTTGAGTCTGCAGGTCCTCGCTTGAGCATCCGGCGATGACCGCTGCGGAGACAGCACGAAGAGGAGAGTACACCCGCGAAGGTGCTGCTTTAGAGTCCAGAAACTGCCCAGCAATTCCAGCGCTAGCTCTGCTATCCACCTACTCCCCCTTTTCACCCGCAGTATATCCCCCTTTCGCCCCCCTTAACCGATGAGGCAAAACAATTCCTTGGCTAAGAGAGTGCACGTACCCTGAGACAGAACACCATCCAGCTGGGGAACGACCTGCAAGTAAGCGCACACCACGAGCCTGGACCCTATAAGCGACATTTTACCAATGGCCATGAAATGGCATTGGTAAAAATACTTTTCCGTGCAAGGGGATCGACGTACGAAAGCCAGCGTCTGAGGAGACGGTTCTTCTCCCTCTTCGGGGGCAAGGCCCGAGAGAAAAGCCGCTAGAGCCAGAAGAGCCTGCCTCCGGCATCTAACAGACGGATCTGCAGCGCTTTCCTGTGAAAGCAGAGACAGCAGCTGCTCCCCGTGCTGCTGCTGCACCTTCCGTGACCACTGCTCGTCGTGCTGCAGCATCAGACCTAAACACTTCAGGCCCCCCCACCGCAAATGAGCAAAGGAGCTCTTCACGGCCGCCATGCAGGACGTTATCAGCTGAGATGGTCACACAACAACGCATTCTGCAGCTGGTGTATCGGGAAAGGGATGAACCCGCCAGCAGCAGCACTTAAGAAGAGCGCCCAAGGGAAGATTCACAAGAGACGGTGCACTCTGAGGCACCCTCAGGCCCCACCGCCGCTCTTGACCCTTCCCCGTACGGCAAACGGAAGAGGCAACACGGCAGGCAGAAGCGAGCATCAGCGTGCATACAGGCTCCATGAAATTTCCTAGCAAGGGTCTGCAGGTATCGTCATCCAGCAGCAGGCCCAGGAGCTCGAGGGCTGAGAAGCCGTAGCGGGGTTCCTCTTGCTCAAGCAAGCGCGACACAATTTTCATCAGCATCTCCATAACGTCAGGGCTCCCTGATGCACATAGAGGGAGAAGAAAGAGCTAGGGAAGCGTCAATGGGAGCCACGCGCAAGAATCCTGCTGGATAGAAGCGAGACACGCCACGGAGCGAGCAAACGACGAAGCGAAACCAGAGGGGGGAGGAAGGCTATGGGCGATAGAAGGAGCCACACAGAGTAAAATGGCACCTACAGAGGAGGCAAAAAATGCACAGGAAAGAGCGTCTCTTTTTCCCTTAATTTATGTATGAATGTGCGTAATAAGGAGGGAATAGCCGTCGTTCAATCGACTGAGGATTCGCCAGGGACTGCCGTCGGGAGGCAACAGCCGGCAGACTGTGGGCACACACACCTGGCGAAGCAGCCTCAAGCTGGGGGTTTCTGGGGGCACCCTGATCATGACCAGGATTGTCGCACAAGGCTGCTGCAGCCTCTGCCATGAGCTCGAGAGCAACGGAATGCAATGTCTCTTCAGGAGTCTCCTCCTCCCTTGCCTGGGCCTCCCACCCTGCTGCGTCCTCCAAACCAGCAGGAGCAGCCACCGCTGCATCGGCCAGAATCAGCAGTAGGTCGTTCACGAGCGGTAGATGCTGAGGCGCAAACAAAGGAGCACCGGCAGCAAAGGGTTCGAAGGCCTCCAAAAGCGGCTGGACAGGCACTGCGCTGTGCAGAGCTCTCTCCTGTGGCGACGCTAGAAGGCGCATGTTCTCACGGCTAAGGGCAGCTATCGCAAAGTGCAGCAGCGGCAGGCTGGTGGCTTATGAAAGCGAAGGAAGCGACAGCCCATGCACCTTTCTTGAGAATTTAGGGGCACCCAGAAACGCGGCCGCTGCGAGCTGCAGGATCATCTGCAGCGCGTCTTCACCAACTGTTGCGGATTTGGACAGGATAGCCCTGACGCTCTCTAACAGCAGTGAATGATGGTCTTTGAAGAACTGTGAGCCTCTCTCCGCTAGCGAGAGGAGCGGTGCCAACAACTCGGGACGAGGCAGGCGGGTAACCAGCTGCAAGACCGTTGGGCAAAGAGAGCTGTAGGCGGCTGTTGCTGCCTTCTTGGCCTCTTTTGCCTGTACGCTGTCAGCCTTCCACCGGACTGTCCTGCATCACCGTCGAGCAGCAGCATCGAGACAGAGACGCGGCAGCAGCACTCGGCAGCGGCGGACGCATGCAGCGCGAGGCGTAGAAGCGGCTCTTACTGAGGAGCGGCGAGTGCATGCTGCAATTCGCTCAAGGGAAAGGAGTAGGGCTCTGAAACTCTGCAGAGGCCCCTCACAAGAAAAAAAAACCCGAAAAACGGCGTAGACCCCACAGGCTGACTCTGACTCACCGAACAAAGAGAGTGGCGAGGGCCTCTTCTGCAGCCGTGGCACTCTGCAAACAAGCCTCAACTAGACAGGCAGCACTATTGCGCAGCCCCTTTACGCCAGCGTACAGCCACGATGCGTCAGAGTGCTCTATCGAGCTGCAACACGGGGGCTTAATTCTTGAACTGCGTCAACTCACACTTTGATAGAGACAACATGTGCAAAAATGCGATTGCGCAGACTGCGCATGAAGGATTTGAAATTAAAGGTGCTGCTGCGGGAAGGGGCCCGCCTTGCCCTCCTAGGCATCGAGACATCATACTCGTACCTCGACCTCTTGCTTCTGAAACGTGATATTCAGTTTTCTGACGATTTGAGGGGTGTAACGGACATACACCTCGGCCTCTGTGGCTTCCCCCAGTCGGTCCAAGAGCAACCATAACACGCATTCGTCTTCCTTCTGTCGCTCCTGCTGCTCCTGCGACTCCAGCCACTGCATGACCAGCCCGAAAGGCACCGTCTGGCTAATGCTCGCTATGCAGAAACACCCCGAACAAGCAAAGATAGAGACCTAAGGATTCGGTAAGAGAGAGAGAGAGAGCCCATCTTCATGGAGTGTACGAACATCTGCAGCCGCCAGAAGCGTGCAAGCTTGGGCATTTCACCGGCCCGAATAGACTGAGCTGAGCGCTACTTTGAAATCTGTGAAAACGGTGGCCTCACTTGTTGAGGGCAAGTGACGCCACAGTTCTCCAATGGCCTCAGCTGCAGCTTTTCGGAGGATCAAGGGGCTACCAGAAGAGAGAGCGCCGACGATATTTTGCATTACAGCCTCGATTAGCTGCTGCTTCTGCTGGGGGTTCGCGGCGAAGCTTTTCAACTTGCTGTGTGCATACCGACGCAGCAAGACGGCGGCCAGCTGCCCACTAGACACATCCAACTCTGATGTTGACGCTGCGGCTGCTGTAGCAAGGGCAGGCAGCAGGTGGTCCAAGGGAGACTTGTTGAGCAGCTCCTCTGCGGCTCCGCGGACGGCAGTGTCCGCTGATTGCAGCTGCAGCAGAATCTGAATATCAGCACAGCAATCTGCACAGAGAAGATAACGCCTCGCTCCGCCGTGGGCAGCGCTGGCCTCCTCAGCAGCCAGGTTTATTAGGGCATTCGCTAGAAACGAGAGGGCTCATAAGGGTAAGATCAGGGTTGGGATGCAAGGATCTCATGAGCAAGTATGTACATACACACACACACGCATGCAATACATCATTACATGCGGTGCGGTCGCTTGTGTGCGTTGGCAGGGATGAATTTGGGGGACGATGAAAATGCAGAGCGCGCTATTTCAGTGCCTGGACGGCCCCACATGGTATGACTGGCATGAAAATTACAGAGCAAGAAGGGTAGACCGACGTGGAGGGAAACACGTGAAGGGGGGAACGCGGGTTACGGAGGGTGAAGACTGCTGCGGCAGGAAACGCAGGTGGTCTCACCTCCTTCATGGAGTTATTGGTTTGGTTTGCAGGTACCGACATTTGCGGCATTCTGAATTGGGTGTGTGTGCGTGTGTGTATGTGTGTGTGCGTAGGTGGGATTAGGCGGGAGAAGCGGACAAGTGTGATGTGGAGAGGCGTGGCGCGATACACTTCAAGGAGGCCAAGGAAGCTGACTAATCTTTGCTAAGTGTTCGGCGGAGCAGTGGCAAGCTGCTGCAAGAGTAAGAAATAAAGAAGGCGGGGCGAAGGCTGGCACGGCTATTGTAAAAGGGGGCAAGAGTCTGAAAGATGACGGTGCCGCGTGCAGAACCTGGGAACTTGATGAGCATTTCTCACATACATTGCACTACACCCTCTTTAATATAAGAAAGCCGGGAACTGCGGAAAGCTGAAGGCAGCAAAAGTCGGGAAAGGCATAGCACGCGGCAAGCGTATTGCTAGAGTGGGGTGGGGCCTCGCTCCCTCAGCCCCCTGCAGAGTGGCAGCACTGGAATGTCGGTGTTGGAGGGACCACCGAGGGAACCACTGGCGTTTTGTTTGCCAAATCTATGCCCTAGCGAACGAAAACGAGGCTGCCGATGATCCAGTATTCTGAAGGACGCTGGGGAGGATCACACTCGCCGCTATGCGCATGAAGGGAAAGACCTGAGGCATCCGATCCCGCTGCCGCTGTCTGAAGGCTCCTAGCCTAAAACGACGGCCTTCGAACCATGCGAGATTTGCAGCAAGAATGCAACACTGGGAGACATTGCGAACTCTGCCCGAGGTGCTGCAACGCTTAAGGACCACTTCGTTGCCGGCCAGCGTGTAGTTTGGCAACTTGTCTAACACCGCTCATAGTCTGTCGTAGTATAGCTACGTGTTGGCTGCGCAGTTTGGCTGGCTCTAGCTTCTATGCAGGAAAAGTAGGAGGAATCTCGAACTCCAGGAGTGAACGTGCGCCTGTCTGCCAGCCATCTCTCTTTCCAGATCTGTGCATTGTGCAACAGTCCATCTCGGGCTCTTCGAAGAGGGATGCCTTTAGCTCCAAAGTAATGCACAATGGATAGACAGAGAGACAGAGACTGTCCATATAAAAAGTACTTCTCAACCTGGTCTCCCCTCTCGAAGTTCCAGAGGTAGGGCTTTGCGGGGTATGCTGCACTTAAGTACTTTGTACCATACTACTTTAATAAAAAAAGAGACAAAATTTGAATTATTGGCTTTCGTGTCAGTATATTGTTTACTTCAGAGAGGTAGTAGCTCGATTTGACAAGACTCAATGTTGTTGACGTGTGCTCTACTTGCGGTGTACAACTGACTGTGAACATCCGGCATGCATTAAAGGGGGAGCTACGCCTATCTTAGATGTCTCCCTCCCCTGACGCCTTTATACTAAGCGGCGCAGGCAAGCTGCTGAGAGAATTCTTCTGAAAAACACTCAATGGCCTTCTATTACGTTCGTCAGGAATATAGAGGTACGGGGCTCACTAAGGGACCTCAGATAACGCGTGAGAGTTGGTAGCAGCCCATGGTTTTACATGCTTCCGCTACCCGCTCATCCACTGAGTGTGGATGCAGTGGGCCCTCAGGCTTCTTGCTGCAGCTATCTGGTTCCGATTCAGGCATTGGGTCATTCGATAATCCAATTTTCTTTGGCAACTGGCTAGAAAAAAAATCTAACGATGAAAACTAAGGGTAGGTCCACTCCTGTGGGGGCTGCAGAGGTGTGCGTGCAAGGTAATGTAAACTGGTAGAAATGTATGATCTGTCAGCGGACAAAATATCCATAGATATGTCGCTGAGATTATACCGACCAAAAACAATGGTGGCATTAAGGATGAAGAAGAGCCCGATATTTTGTCACCTGATTGGAAATATTCTTTGCCTGAAACTTCTTACCCCCAGAAGAAAAGAATCGAATGCCCAATTTAACATGTCTATTGGAGGGTGAAGCATTCTGACGGCAGCTCTATTCATTTGGACTAAGCCGTCTGCCTGCAGAGATTACTGCATTTGAGCCCTTCACACAAGCGCTTACCCATTGATTTATGCTAGACTGAGCTACATAGCAAGCTTGGGGATAACTGAGAAAGCTGAAGTAGGGTATTCCACCAATAGATCTGTACATTGAGAAGTAGGACGCTTTGGATAGCAAAATCCACAACGCGGTCAAGTGGCTGCATTTTCACTGACTCGTCTGATGTCTTGCTTTGGGCGGTGAAGGTTGAACAGCGACTCAATAGGTGAACAACAGAATTGGCGAGGTTTTCACAAATGGACTATCTACGGTTACAGGAGCAAATGAGCACAAGATGTGCGGTTTTGGCAGAAAGGAAAAGCCAATTCAAACCTCTGTAAGCAAGGTTTGCTGACGGACGGCAAGATGCGAGGGTTGGCAGGGCCACGGCAGTTACTGTTACTTTGAGTCATACTTACACCTCGTTAGATGGTTCGCGAGCCATGTGTTGGACCCGCGCACTAGAACGTAATCCTAGGTGTGCCATGTGTCACCCAGTGGAAGGCCCCCATGGGGCCACAGCTGAGCTTGGTAGTGATTAGTGTGCCAAGAGGCGCCAAGAAGAGGCAACTTTACATCTGTTCAACACCGCTCACTCCATCTACGATAAGCAAGGTACATTTGGCACTTCAACAAGATCAGGCAGAGTCTCCGTGCAGGTGGCTCGGGAGCGCAGAAGGGAAACAGTTCTAAGAAAGCGTCCTTTAGTAGCTCTGCAACTGGTTTTCTTTGGGGAATCCCATTGAGCTTGGAGCTTAGGAACAGTAGGATTGAGCAAATTCTCGAGGAGGAGTTTGCGTGTGAGCAAATTCTCGAGGAGGAGTTCGCGGATGTGCTACATAAAGACGACCTGCCAGCAGGTTGGTTACCTGCTGGTCGCACACCGTCTGAAGTTAACCGCTGGCTCAGCCCCCAAACTATGTTCCGCAGTATTGAAAGCCCCCACGGCATGCATAGAAGATTGAGCGACAGGCGGACGATTTGATAAAAATGCTGTATGCAGGGATCGCCAAATGCCTTTCGGCATAGACCCATATAGTTGTCGAATGATGGTACGTGCGTTTATGTAAGCCTCTGAACGTTACTATTAATTTTAAGCCCCCGATGTTTGAAGTGAGCGAAGGACTTGACAAATCACACGGATGCACAGTCTATTCGGCATTTGACTTCGCAGACGGTTTCCTACCAAAGCTCACCAACCCTAATGATTGGCACAAAATTCAGTTTCACATGTGCACTTACAGACTCGAGTATACCTGTGTGCTCTTTGTACTTTTCATTGCCCCGCTAAACTGCATTGTCAAGTAAGCCGTCATTTTAAAGAGCTTGTCTAGGAGGGCTTGATGTCTTACATGGACGACGTGTTAAGAGTCAGCCGAAACTTTCACGAGCACCTACGGTGTGCGCTTCAGCTGTTGTGGGACACGCAGTGGTACTTAAAGGCATGCAAGCATTTTTCTTGCAATAGAACATTTGCATTCCTGGGGTTGCTTGTTTTGTCTGGATGAATTAAGCCACGTCCGACAAAGTTGAGAAAATCAAAAGCGTGGCCTTTACCTGTGCAGCCTAGTAATGACGTTGCGAAGTTCTATGACAATACCTTGTTGCAAAATTTCATTTCGTGATTTGCTAAGACCGCTGCTGCCCTGACCGATATGCTTACGAAAGCACAGTCTACGGCGTGGAGAGAGAAGGTGGATGCTACAGCGAAGACGTTTCTCGGCCGCCTTCGACCTCCTCCGATACTTGCACTACCCTATTATGAGCATGCCTTTTTCCTAGCAACCGAGGCCAAGGCTGTAGCAATGGGTGGTATAATCTCCTGACATGCTGGCTCTCCAAAATATCAAACTACTGCTTGTTATCCTAATCGCTTGACTAGAACCGAGGAGCGGGGTCCTTCGAGGAAAAAGGAACTTTATGCACTGTGGTGGACACGGTTATCAGTCTTTTTTCTGTGTAACCCAGAACTTTCAGGGCATTGATAGCCCTGGAGGTGTCCGACGGCTTAGGTGGCCTTGTATATCATGGCTTTTCAGTTAAGTATACTAAGGGCATCAACAACGCAATTCGCCAACGCGCTCTCGCGACTCCCCAGTGGTTCAATACTTTGCAGCGCAATCGCTCTTTTGAGTGAGGATTTGCGGTGTTAATCGAATTTGCGTGCATCCTATGCTTCGGCTACCCATTTATCCACTAACACTGCCAAAATTTATCTTTATAATAGAATGAAGCACTACCACCTTGAGGATAGTCAGATGTGATTCAAAAACGAAGCTGGGACTCCGTCGTCGGTTCACCGATACCCATAACCGCTCTCTCAAACACCTAGACTGGCATTTCTCTTTTGTTACTAAGACTTTTTCCCCTAGCGTGTCATTAGCGCTCAGCAGTCCTGGAATTCAGCACCTTCACAGCTTCCTGTTGAACCTTCGCTTCCACAACGGCCCGTCGCGTGCACCGAGCTGCTTCACTATGCATTTAACGCTGCTGGACGCCCGTGTTCGTGATTATCAGGTCATGTTGGGACTCAGTGCAGTGGAAAAGCTCAAAGTCCTTCTGGTGGCCTGGAGTGCGCCCCTTGGCAGAGAAGTATGCGCTGTCGTGCTCGGATTGTCAGCAGCTTAAGCGATGCAACCCTCCTAAGCCCGGTCTTTTGCAAAGCCACTTGATCCTAAACGGTTTTGCACAAAGTTGACTATTGCATGTGTTGCTGCGTTGCCGGAAGTCAGACACCAGGATAGCGTCTACGTCCTATTCAACAGACTCAGCAAATATGCCCGTTACGTCCCTCACTTTAGTGCTGCCACGGCTAAGGAAGTTGCTGATTTATTTTTAGCTCATGACTAAAAGCCTCACACACTTCCCATCGTCTGGATTTGCATTAGAAGCTTGAAGGCGCATTCTGGCGTGCCTTTTGACCCGCCCACACTTGGAGCACAACTTGACCACTGCGAAACGCCCTGAGGTAGGTGGATAGACAGAGAGCGACAGCCGCAGTCTTCTGTATTATTCGAGTGTCTCTGTTCACACAAGTCAACTGCTTGGCGTGCGTTTCTCCCTCGTGAGATAAGACCATGATAGTAAGTCTCTCTGACTGGGCTTCTCCTGCCTTCTTGGTCTATGCCGATGATTACTCTAGAGTCCCGGCCTGCACCTGGGTTTTCGCGATCAGTAGCCACTCTAGTGGACGGAGGAATTCAGGGAACAGGTGGCTAATGAACGCGAATGTATGCTCGACGCTTCAAATAGACAAGCACAGAAACATGGTAAGCGGCGATCTGCTGTGTGTTCAAACCTGGAAAATCATCCTGCTGGATCGGCAGGCTTGTCGAGCTGCATTAGAATGCGACCAAACAAAGGGGTATGTGGCCAGTTGGCAAGGAATACCTGGCCATTTTCCTGCGAAATAACGCTATCTTCAGCGAATTTCTTATAATTTGAAACTAGGAAAGATCTATTGATAATAACTTTCTAGAGAAGCGTTCGAACTCTCCGGAGTATTTGCGGTCTGTGCCTCGCAGGCAAGTGGCCTGTCAGGAGGCGGAGGATCTACAGGGAGCGGCGGAAAGGCTGGATTCTAGCCTTAAGCTCCACAAAGACATACGACGAGACAGTTACTGACCTGGGTGGGGAATACGAGCTTTGGTTGACGGAGAAGAAGATGTAAACTTCAGTGCATGCGGGAGACTTCATACCTCTATTCTGTTTACATTGCTGGTCGCTATGGGCGACACTCTCCGCCTTTCTTTTTAATTTTCCTTCCACAGCGCCGTTTGTTCTTAATTTAGCTACATTTATCTGTGGGTATTGCTTCAAAAGTTGATGTGTCTAATTGTAAGGGAGTTTCCTACATTTTGATTTTTGTGCAGGCCCTGTGGGGAATGTTGTCCCTCCACTCTCCTTTATGCCTCCTGAGGTCTTAAATGCCACTATTCTGCATAAAAGGACTGTATTTGCATACAGAGACTGCTCTACGAACATTGCTGAACCAGTGTGTGGTTTGACTTCCCTTACACACTGCACTTGGATCAAGTCAACGCGAGCGCGCTCGTGTACAGGCTCGCTTTCCTAGAGTTTTCAGATGTATGAGCCTCTTGCTACGGTAACATGTTGGCTAGTATGTGAACCCCTCGTCATATCGATTTGTACCTTGCGGCTGACATACACACTTGGTTTTCTCATTTGCAGTGTTTTCGCGATTCCGCCTACCGGGGGGGTGGCGAAAAGGCGGGAGCGCTTCGCGGTGGTGAAAGCAGTTGCTCTGCAGATGCAGATCTGGAACGGGAGGGCGTGTGTTTTGAGCTGCAGGGGGAACGATGTGGCAGGTTAAAATTCACTCGAGCACATTCTGCTCGATTATTTGTGTTGCGGGCTGAAGCGTACATAGACAATTCAAACTACACTACTCATATTTCTATAAAATTATAGAGGAAATTACTAATTGGTGCCCTGTTTTCACCTATTTGCTTATTACAAAGTAGTGTTGTCTTACGACGATAAGGGCCAATGTTGTCTACGTTCTATTTGCCGCGTGCAACTAGCCGTAAATGCCCAGCAGTGCAGCAACGTGCACTTTGGCTGTCCATTGCCCCTCATCTCACTCACCATGAGGGGATCAGGCGAAAGAAGGCAAGCACTTGGCTTTTGAATACTTAATACCATTCTATTTAGTCTATATTGACTCTAGAGTTTGGTGTCTCTCAACGGACACGCTGGAGGAGGTGGTACATTGCCTAGATCTGCGGTCGAGCAGCTGATACTGAATGAGCAACTACGGAAGGGAAAAATTAATCTATAGTACAGCTGTAACCTTAAATGCTATCATTGGAGGTACAGACCAGGTCCCTATGCATATTCCGGAACCCCACTTGGGCCCCCTTACCACGGACGATAAAAGTCGGGTTGCTGCATAGTGCTAGTTCACTAGCGGTTGACACGGGGTCTTCAAAAGCAAAGGACATAATCAGTCAGCCGGAGTCTCCTCTAAAACTCTGCCGGAAGTACACAGATGTCTCACTCCCTTGTTTGCAGCAGAATAGCAACCCTAGAGAGGGATATACCGAGAAAGATAGTGGGGACGTGGCTGCTCCCCACCTCGCATGCCGGGGCAGCCCAGATTTGGTGTTGTGGATTCCGTGGCAACCGTTTGGGAATTTGTTGTGGGGTTTGGTAGCATCGGCAGTAATTTTGTATCTTTTTCTACCCTTGGTTCGTGCTGCCCAGTAGACCCCTCTTTCCCTGTGAGGCGTGCCTCCACTGCCCCTCTGTAGGACAAAGGAGCAAAACGGGGTGCCTCTTCCTCCTCTCCACTGGATCCTTCTGTCTCAGCTTTTTGTTATTTATTCCAATATTTAGGCGAGGATATCCTTCTCTGGGGCTCCGCACTGCAGCCTTTGCGCCCCAAGCGTTTGGTGACCGAAGCGCGCATTAAATTAAGGTGTATAGACACATTATTTTGACGCACTGGAGCGCGCTCCACGCGCCTTCCTCATTTAATTTTTTTCATTTAAGTACCTGCAATACAGCTGAATTTACTGCCTACCGCGCGTCTGTTCTCATTTTCCCCCCCCTTCAAAAATTTTCTCGCCGTTCATCTCAGCGTCTAACTTGAATCATTCCCAGCGGCCAGCGTGCACCTTAGAACGTCTCCGGCGTAGCCTCAGAAATCTGAAGGCTTTAACGGAGCAATACAGACTTACTGGCCTTTTCGAGGCCCCAGGGTGTCTATACCCCTGCAATGGCTCGCCCGACGGGGGGCTGTTGCCGTTTCAGTAATTGCTGGCCCTCCTTCGTTTCCGCTTTTTGTCTTTAAGGGGCCAAGTCATGATGGATCATAAGGGCAGGCTCTAAGACTGAGGACCAGCAACCTCGCGGTGTGCCCCTATGGGGAAAAAACAAGGCGAACAAGATTGATGGTTTCACTTTCCCCTGTCGCACAGAGTGCGCTTTACCCCAGCCCTTGTTGAACACGCAGTCTGGCAGGCAGAAAAATTAACCTCCTTCTTGTTTCGTCTATCCCGCAAGGTTTGTTTTATGGTTTCTATATCATTTGATACCTAAAAGGAAAGGAAGAGTTGGGTCCAACCACCTCCAGAGCAAAAATGACCCCTCCAGCTGTCGCCCTTGGAATAATGGCCCCCATTCAGGGTACAGGAGACGTTGCTCCTACAACTACTTTTTCTGACACAGGAGGAGTCCATGAGGCCCGCCTAAGTCACAACAGATTCAATCAGATTAAGGCTGGTGAAGGCTCCAGGGGGGCCCTCGAGGCTCCCCCTCACGCTGGTGTTCCGACGCGCGAGGCACCACAGGAGGGCAGTTGCAGTCGCTGCTGCAACTGCAACAGGAAGGGGATGTGTGGTGACCGGAGTGTGACCCCTAGGAGGCATTTGTACGAGGTATCGGCCGCAGACGCCTCACTGGTGTCGTCCGTTGCGGCATTGCTGCAGCACTTGGCGATGCAGCGCAGCTCCGAAGGTTGTGGGGCCCCGTGTTTCTTGAGCGCGACAGAGCCGGTGATCAGCGTGCCTGATTATCTGGAACGTCTTGCCCGGTTTTTTCAGTGCAGCAGGGAGTGCTTCGTGCTGGCTCTGGTGTACATCGACCGGTTGTTGCAAATGAACGCTCATGTGTGGCTCTGCCCGCTGAACTTGCACCGACTGGCGGTGACGGCGCTCATGGTAGCGGTCAAGTTCTCAGATGACACGTTCTACTCGAATGCATACTACGCCAAAGTCGGAGGCCTCCCTCTGAAGGAAATGAATCATCTGGAAGCGACCCTCCTCCGCATGCTGCAGTTCAGGCTTCACGTCCTCCCATGGGAGTTTCACAAGTACCTTCGGCTCGTCCTCAAGTCGCCTTTTTCTGCTGCTGCCTACAGAACAAAAGCCGTTGGGTGGGCAAGCGGCGCACTTGCACACCCGCAGTCCGGAGGAGTAGCGGCGGGGGAGCCCAGCAGGGAAGAGGTGGCCTGCGCGGATGGCTGCAAGAGAGGGCAGCAGCAACGACAGCAGCCGTGCTGCAATGCATGCTGTTCTCCTTCTTTTTCGGGCTCTACCGGCTACTCTTCTGGCAGTTCGCAGTCCATTTCCCCTCCAAGTACCCCTGAGGCCACTGTAGCCAAGTCGCCGGAGCAGCAGCACATCAAACGTTCCACAGAAGACGGGCTCTCAACTGCAGTGCAAGTGGGGGAACAGGTTTTGCTTCAGGAGAGGCCCCCCGCCGCAGCTTCGCACCAGTTATACCTTTGGGCTGGGGGTGTTACCGTAGGCACTGTCGCTGCAGGAGGGCAGAACGAACCTGCCTCTTGGGACGCTTCGGCAGAGCACCTGCTGCGGCGTCAAGGGTCTAGGCGCCCTAGTGCTTAGCGCTGTTCAGTGGTTGGTTCTGTTATGTTGCACAGCCTGCCCCCGTGGGGGGGCCCCCAACCCCTCCCTCCTCTTCCCCCCCACTCTTTGATTGTTTTTGGCTGAAAAATGGGGTTTGTTCTTAGGCTATTCGTTTACAAACAGTGCATTTCAGCCGTGTTTCTTGGCCTCCCGCCACCATTATTTCGGGCGCCTTCCAGGTCGGCAGGCCTTGGTAATAGGATACGGGGCACTGGTTAAGGCGGGTGGCTCTAGGAGCGAGCCGTGCATGAAGGCAGGGGTGTGGCGAGCAGTGATTTTCAGCTGCTCCAGTAACTCGGCTGGCGGTGTCGACCCTGCTTTCGTTCGTTGTTTCACGCACACCAAAAATGAATGACTCTAAACTATGCAAGTTCTGCAGAGGTGCAAAAAGCAGGGGAGGATGTGGTAGTGGGGGGGAGACCTCTGCAGAATCGAAGGCAGTCAGAGGGCCCTTAGGGCGCTTTAGTAGATGAGCCGAGATGCAGAGTTGCTTGCCTCATTGGCTAGGCGCGGGAAGCGGGTGAAAAGAAGGCGAGGGAGGGAACATCTGTAGAAGCAGGGAGGCCTATAGAGGAGGAGGCACGTAGGAGTATCAGGCAACCGCGGGAGCGTCGGGAAGCCCCGTCTGAGCTAGTATCTAAGTTAGGAGACACTTATATAGCCCAAAAGTCATTACAAAAGCTAATCGAGTTCGTGGTTCAATCCTTCAAAACAGTTCCCTCCCGTCTCGCCCTCTACCTACCCTCAGCTACCGGCATGACAAGGTAGGACACACTGCAGGGCTCATGCATGGGCGTGTTAATGCCGCCCCCCTTAAGAACTCCGAGGATTCTCAGTTAGCTGCACACACCATCTAGAGCGCGCGCGTAGAGCGTCGATTCTCAGTGTTTGTGTCTCACTTCAGGGAGACTAATAAATAAGGGGGTCGCGCACGTAGAAACCTATATGGGAATGGCTGTCGTATCGCTGCCTCGCTTGTGCGTACACCTTTTCATTTGCCTGGGTGTAAATAAAGGAACGAGTGCATGCGGTAATCAAGGAGATTTCTGCAGATCCTTCCAGACGCCTATACACGTTGAATGCAACCTGCGCGTCTGCTGGTACTCCTGCTGCGTTGCTTGACGCCTTGCAGCAGCACCGGTATTGAACGCCCCCTGTATTGAAGGCCTGTGGTCTTATTGCCGCTGCAACAGAGCGTCTACGATAGCTTGCATGACGGCCGGGGGCTTTCCGGCAGCAGCAACCAAGATGCAATTTGCTGCCCTCATGCTGAACGCTGGTGAGGCAGCACGAATCCATACACGGCCGTTGAGTCCCACAGCAATCTCAAAAGGCAGCCGGGTACCCAGCAGCTGCAAAATTAAACTGTCCGGAGATAATAAACTGCATCCATCACAAAGCAGTGAGACATACACTCATGAATACATACATACACACACACATATATATACATACCTACATACATACACGCCAAATGGGCATCTCAAACGCAACGTGAATCCGCACGCAAACACCAAGAAACTCCATTTGCGAAGGCCACATATCAGCCTACCCAGGTAGCGTCGACCAGGAAGTAAGAACACTGTACTAGCGACACCAGCACGAAGCCTCACCTCTGCGCAAATGGAATGGGGACCTCGATAACAACCCCGTCTCTCAGCTCGCCCAAGAGTTTTTCACTGCTAGTCCACGGCTTGCTGCAGTTGCTGCTGCAACAGCTCACGTCTGCCCCAAGCAGCGGCGATATATGGGATAGCCGAAGCAGCAAAACAGATCCGATGCTCAGCTGTGGCCGGCTGCGACGCGTGGCACCCTCAAATCCCCCGACTGCTGCCAAGCGAGCCGGAGAGCCACTGCGGATATTCACCTGAATCCAAAGCCACACCCCACCTCCAGCAGCCCTCGGGTGCAAATTCGTAATAAACGAGGGTTCAACCAACCCGTTTACCATAGAGGGAAGGCCCAAGGCGATTCTTCCCCGCGATCCCCCCCCTCCCCCCCCACACGCAACCGTGAATTCCCCTAGAAGCGTCCTATTTTCAGTGCCAAAAGCAGCACATACCAGAACGCGTGTCACATGCAGCACCAACGCAAGTGCCAGAGGGCGACGACGCGGCAACAGATTTCACCGCAGCTGGGGAGATGGGGCCTGCCTGCCTTCAGGCTGGCCCCCTGGCGATATGTACACGAAGGATGGAGCGAACGCAGGGTTTGTACGTGTGAGCTTACGCCATAGTATTCTGAGCCCTTGGAAGAGACAATGCCCACGAGGATGTCTCCCACCCTTGGCGTGTATCGGCAACTGCTGCTGATGCAAACGAACGTGGGGGCGTGGGGGGGCAGCACATGTCTGGGAAGGAGAAGGGAGGCAGTTGTTGCTTTGGCGCAGGTTCCAGAACCCACCACCTCCACCAATTGCTGTTGGCGCTGCTGCTGTTGGGGCTGCTGCTGGTGGGAGGCTGTGGGTACGACCACAGCGCTCCAGTCGAAAGAGCGGGCGACCGCTGCAGCAGCAGCCCCTGCGGCAGCAGCGGCAGATGCCGCCTCCGCTGTTGTGCCTTCCGAAGTTTGTTGCAACAGCGGGAAAAAGTCCCCTGGAAGAAATACGGGAACTTCCGCTGCGCTCATTCTCTGGAAGGGAAGGCGGAAGGAGGTGGGCAGAATGAAGAGGTAGTGGGATAAGCCCACCAGCGAAACTTAGTGCACCAACGATTGCTAATTTACGCGGCTCCGGCTACCCAAGAGTGCAGAATAGCGCAAGGTGGATGAGAGGCAGGATGGTGGACACCGCGAAGCGCGGAAAGCTGTTCGCGGGGGAGGGCAAAAAGCAAACTAAGGCGTTCCCACGTGTCGGGATCCTATGAAAGTTGCCAGAACTGCGTCAAAACGCCGGCTTCGCACAAAGAATGGGCAGAATTGAAGATACATGCATGCCGAGTATCGGGAGGCGTGCTAACAGAACGACGCGGTGCAGCTGCAGTAGGATGGGCAAGCGCCCCCCAAGCAATATACAGGCTCAGGAGAGCGGCTTCAGAAGAGAAAGGTGTTCTACGAGAAGATGGAAAGGGGAGACATCTGCGAAGCACAGGACGAGAGGCGGCGGCCAGGGGCTACCGGCGCCCTCTCATGGCGAAAAGGCACTCCCTGAAGGAAATAAAAAGAAAAACAAGAAAATACAGCCACGAAAATTCAACATTTTCATGAATAAGCAGTGTTTGGAAGGGTTCATCGGGAGGGGCTTAATGACTGTGGGCCCCCCGGCCGAGGGGGCCCCCGCTCCAAGGATAACAGACGGCAGGAGAAGCTACACTAACACCCAGTGCCTTTTTAGATATGTTGATTGGAACTTAGGGCAAGAAGATCAAACGGCTCTAAGAACTCAAACAAGCACTGGACGACACCCTACTGGCACGCACGAGCAAATAGCAGTAAGACAATGCTTCATGAAAAAAAATGTCGAAAGCAGGTAAAAAGCCTAAGAGCCTCTGGATGTCCAATCATAGAGAGTGGAAGAACTGTATTCTTGGTCGATGCTCTGTTGCGTGCGTGTTTCTGCGGCTTGACTTCTGGATGTGCTGGCAGGCCTCACAGCATAAAAAATTGCACTCACTGAACAGCTAGGTGAGTGAGTAGCCAGCGAAATCCACGAACCAAAGCACAGAGCTCAAGTTCCCAACACGCCCAACCCCAGAGTCAAGCTGCAATGCGACCCGAAGAATGCATCGAAAAAGGCTAGAGCGCGCGTAGGCGGCTTGTTCTTGCTCTCCAACGCAGGATATCTACTATCTGCATCTCCACCACACAGCGCCACAGCGGAAAATGGCATTCCCCGCTTCCTGGGGAACGCCACCTCGGGCTTTCGCCTCCATCCAAGTCACAAGCCAAGGCGAGGCCTTGCCCGTACGGCCCAAGCCCGGAGTTAAGCCCCCAAAGCGCTTACTCGACAGCCAAGCTGCAAACCTACACGATGCGTGCTTTGGGGAGGATCCGAGTGCGGCGGAGGTGGAGGTCACAGGAAAAGAGGCCACAAAACACGACACATCCCCTTGTCCTGTTTTCCATATCGTTGAGGGGTGCCCAAGCGCCAGCAATGATCTCCTGGCAAGAACGCCTGATCCTAAGCCGTAGATATTCATTTTCTTATGCCCTGCGAAAAACGTTCCCCCTTTCCCTCCCAGCAGGCGGCCACGCCTTGCTGGTCCTTTGAAGAGGGAGGGAGAGAGAGGGGGAACCCTAGATACAGAGCTTAGCAGGAGCACATCAGCCAATCCGATCCCTCTGTTGCGCACATCTGCTAGCCCCCGCCTGCCCCCCGCGCTCCCTCCCCCCGCTGCCCCCCGTTCCCTCCGTTCATATTGCATCACTCTGTTGGCTAGCTCCTTCTTCCTTCATTGTCGCTGTCTGCTCTGCCCGCATGCGCGACTTTCAGAGGTACTCCCCTTCCGCTCTTGGGCGTTTGTTTCTCCGCAGGTTCAGGCGGGAAATTACGAGGGCGGCTTTGCTGTGTGGGAGTGCACTTGGGACCTCTTAGGATTTCTGCAGCCAGCGGCAAAGGGGCATAGCCTATCGTGCTTATCTCGTCAGATCGACCTCCAAATTCGAGGCGGACACGTCTTGGACCTTGGTACAGCACTGAGTTGCCCCGTCAGTTGAAGGAAGAGGAAAAGACGGCAATGACGCCTTCCCTTTTCCGGCTTCTGTCTCTGCGACTTTCATTTCGAATGTGGGCGGCGTGTTCATTTTATTCAGGATGCGGCCAAGGCCTCTTAGGCATTTGGGCTTTGCAGCGTGGGGCTTCCGCCGTTGCCTTTCAGGATCTAAATACCCAGGCAGGCCGCTGCTGTAACTGTTGAACTCAAAGCAGGGCGCTCTATGATTCTTGGAGTTTTCTCTACATCGTATTGCGTCTTCCTGCTCCTCTGCTTTCTTTCGGGCCGCCCCGAACGCCAGCGCATCTGCAAGAGACCAACGCCTGCATGCCAACTCAACGTATTCATATAAACATACATGTATTAATTTATGCTTTACGCGCACGCGTGCAGACAATCGGTGACCCTGTTCTGCTGTCAAGGTTTGCAGCTTCTCAGCTTGTCGAGGCGCTGTGCATATATCCGCTCCTCATGCCCTTGTTACAATTGGATGGGAACCGGGAGAGACTCGGTCTTTCTGCGCCGTCAGTTCTCGTATTGCCTTATCGCCATGTTTTACGTGTCCTTCTTCATTTCAAAGCCGCTCTTCCTCTGTGTTTATTTGCTGGCGTAGGTCCTAGAAGAGGCCACACGGTGGAATATCCTGAAGAATATAACCTCCAAAGAGCTCCCGCATTCTGCCCCGTTGCACGTGCCTCCAGCCACTACTGCAAAGACCGCCTCAGTCGCTTCGCATCACTCTCTGCATCTTCTCGTTCACCAGAAAAACCCATCAAGCCATGCTGGAGGATGCCGGGACGCTGAGAAAGAGGCTGGCATGAAAGGCGGCGTGGCAGCAGTCCCACCAAGAGAAGACCACAGCAGCAGTGCTGACGCGAAATCGAACGGCGCACTTCATAGCTTCCAGCTCCTTGACGGCAGAGCACTCTGCCTCGCAGCCAACTGGACTAGCTTCCCACAAATTTATTGTTCCTGTCAGCAGGCAGAGACAAACGCAGGAACGCGACAAGAAGGCCACACAGGCAAAGAGGAGAGACCGTGCGAGGAGACACGAACCTACAGAGGGGAGGGCGCGCGTGGTATCTCATTCGATGTAGTTCTTTGTTCAGAGGGAGTTTACAGAGAAGAGGCATTTGAACCGCTAGCACACACCCTTTTACGTGCGTTGGACCCCAACGGTATTGCTCTTGTCGCCTCGAAGAGGTAAGTAAGGCGATTAGCTGTATACAGATATCTTAGGAAGTCTGCTATTCCCCAGGGAGTATTTTCCTAAGAAAGGCACCGGCAGCCTCCTGTGCAGCGCACAAGTCTTCGAATAAAAAGCCTACGCTTCCTAAGCTCGTGCAATATTCAGAGCCTCGCTTGTTTCTGTGGATAACCGCCACCTTTCCTGCCTGCCCTCCGGACCTTTACATATATATAATCATCTTCATTTAATTGATATATATGTATATATATGTCTGTATGCCTCTTCTCACGACTATGCCGTTCTTTTTCTGCCGTTGATTTAGGTATTATTTTGGAGTTGGAGGGGGATCTCTGCCTTTTTTGTCGTTCCTCAAACAAAAGTTCCCAGGGAGCCTTTCGGCAGAGGTTATCGCCTCTTTCCGAGGGCAAACCTCAAACAACTTCAGGGATATTCTGCTAATCAAGAAGGCCAATTCCAAAAAAAATGCGAACTAGCTTTTAAAGCAAGCGTATAAATCACGAGTTTCTACACCGAACCGAAGTGTAATTGACTCAAGGCATCGGCCCTAATTTCCTACACGATTGTCTGCCGGGCATTGTAGCGCATGTCCTTCCCCTCTACTACTCCCACCTAGTGCTTCAACGCTCCCTAGTCCTTGCTGTTCTCTTTGCGCCAATAGTAACTTAGCGAAGCGTGGCAGGTGCCGGAGGGCCACAACACAACTGCTCGAAAGGCAGTACTCGGCTCGCGCAGAACCAGGAGCGCCTCCCCAGCAGACGCTTCAAGAAAACCCATTCTTCTTCTACCTCAATACGACCGCCCGAAATGCCCCCTTCGCTCCCGCCGGGCCGCCAACGGGAAATTGCTACAGTTGCTATGCTTGGGTGTGACTCCGAAACTAGAGCTTTTTAGTGAAGGCTCACGGCGTTACTCCATAAAAACGATCTAGTTTGGGCAGCGGAGGAGGGACAGCATTAAACAAACTATGCCTCTGCTTGAGGCACAGAATAAATGCACATTACTCATCTTATGAGCAGGTGCTAAGAGAGGGAAAGAATGTATTGGGCCTGCTGAGAGAAAGGCGAGGTAATAAAGAAAGCCCTCACATGATGCAGCATGTACCAGTTGACGCCGCGCCCCTTCGTTACGTCGCTGCATGTCTTTGATTTAAAGCCGAGCTTTTGCTGTTTCCTCCGATACGGAAACCCGTCGAGTTAAGTGCGGTGTGTTTTACGCGAATGTGTATCGGTATATTGGATTGCTAAGCCTAGCCAAACGGCTAGTCCGCTGTTTAGCTCATTGTGCTACAGGCCCTGCACCACAATCTATTCCAGCATGACTTGTATGCCGTACCTACTCGTCCCCAAAAATACCACTGCCCGCGTCCGCCAGTTCTTGCAATGCCACAAAAATGCGCTGCCACGCAGCCCTTTCCGAGGGCCTCTGGTGGCGCACGGTGTGCTGTCCCACTGACGAATGTTTAGAGATCTTCAGCGAATGCAGCTTTTCCACCTCCCCGCGGCCCGTCGCACCTAAAGACGCACATCCCAACACCCACCCGGCACGAGCAACTAAATCTCACAAAACCCTCACATGTCACCAGCCATGGGACTGTAATGCACTCAGCTCATTGCAGGAAAAAGGCGCAGATCCTCACTACTAAGGGTCCCTCGTCTACTCCCCACCTCCATCCCAACCATCCCCCCCCGTCACCGTCCACTGCCCCCAAGTGTGTCTGCTGCGTACCAGGTCGCATGGAGAACGGCTCCAAGACGATTCCCAGTCCAGGAATATCCAATACCCCCTGTAGATTCTGTACGTTATATTCTGCCACCCTCACCAGTCCGACGAGAGCTCCTCTTAATTGAGAGCTTTCTGCACCAGTGGAATTAAATCCCTCCCTTCCCTCGAACCCGAAGAGCCACCACTTTAACGTCGAACACGCCTTCTCTCCAATCGCGTTCGCTGGGCTTTTACAGTAGGCCCTAAGGTTGTTCAGCCAAGCACATACAGGGCCCGACTTGAAATGTGAGCAACTGCCCGGAGGCTGCAAGTCTGCATCATCTTCCTCTTTGCCACCCGTTAAAACCTTTTCCGCGTCGTTGCTGCTGCTGCTGTTGCTGCCGATGCTCCTGCTTCGTAAAGCCTGCAAGTTTCTGGCACCTACTTCTTGAGGTGGCCTTGGAAGATCCGCTGAAGGAATCTCACGAGGTAAAATCTCGTCAATGAACGGTTGCAAGTCTTCAACTGTTTGCACATCGATGGCATTTTGCTGCAGAGCACGAGAAAGCGTAGCAGGGGCATCGTTTGGCCCAACGTGCAGTTCAACGGCCAGCTCGGGGAGCAGGGCAGCGTCCCTTTGCAGTTTGCGGAAGGAAGCATCTTCCAGCAGGCTAAGGGCTTGAAAAAGCCCTCCATCGTACTGTTCCCCATGCTGCTGCTGTGGCAGTTCCTCTTGCTGCTGCTGTGGTAGCTGTACTTCCTCTTGAAGTGGCTGCTGAGTTTGCGCTTGACCCTGATGCTGCTGCTGCACTTGCTGTTGCCCTCGCTGCTGCTGCACTTGTTGTGGCCCTCGCTGCTGCTGTACTTGCTGTTGCCCTCGCTGCTGCTGTACTTGCTGTTGCCCTCGCTGCTGTGGCAACTGCTCCTGCAGTTGCTGTTGCTTGTTCCACTGCGGCTGGCTTTCATGTTGGCTGGTGTTCTCTTGTGCAACCGTTTCTGTGTACAGACGGCTGCTGCCAAGAACCCCAATAGTAAGCGCACGCCCAAGAATAAAGGAGAAGCTCTCTACCTCTTCAGCACCCGCAGACAGCCAGTGTTCCATCTGGTCTTTGTAGCGGCAGACCAGGCCCAGCAGTGGCAGCAGCTGGTCCGTTAGCGTAGAATCCCCCTTAGCGGCTGCATACTGCGCTATGCCCCTCCCCAGCTCTTCGAGGCAGCTGTCCAGGGCGAGAACCTCCTCCTCCAGACGGTTACAGTGCTTTCTCTGGAAATCGGCGAACGCCCACAGGGCATCCACAGCGTCCTTGTACACCGCATGATCGCGCAGATCTGTGCGAGACCCCAGAGCCCCCACATAGTACTCGACTGACTGAGAAACGGACAAAGCAAAATACCAAGGGGGCGGAGGGACATGGAAAAGCCAAAAAAAGAATACCAGCCTCTATGTAAAAAGTATCCAATGAAGCACGCGTATTCTGCCGCTCGCCGCTTTTGAGCATTCTGCTTGCAGCAATAACAGAAGCGAGAGGGCGGGGGGGAGAAGGGGGGCGCAACAGGAACAGTTGCAGATATGAAGCACACGAAGGGCAGGAGGCCGATACAGGACGAACGATCGGGAGGGAACAAGTCACAAACGACAAGTGCTCCCACGAAACTCTGCATCTATCTGCCTCAACAAAGCATTGCTTTAGGCTTCCCTCATCCAGCTGCAGTGCTTTGTGCACCTGTCTGCCACCCCGATTTCTGCCTCACCAGGACATCGACGAGCATGTCCAGTACCAGCGTTCTCTGCCAACAGTGGATGGGAGGACCCAAGGAACGGAAGTCTCTAACCGTTGCCACCACAAGAGACAGCACGTCTTGTGTTGTAATGATACCCAGAGTCCAGGCAGCCAATCCAGCGCCCACCACGGTCCTGTAACTCCCAAAGGGAACGCCGGCAGGATAAATAGTGCCGTGAGAAGTCACCCCATGCACCAGGGCCCGCAGGGAGAGGGGCTGTACCACGGCCTGCTGCTGGAAAGCTGAAAATCAATCCAACAGCACAAAGCACATATATATACATATACAGACATACACACAAAAATACAGACACGGGCATAATAATAGGACCTCTCAGTAGTTCCCACACCGCCCAGATTGGTTTTTTGGTCATTTTTTCCGCTGTTTTGCTGCCTGGCATGGGGGGGACAGAGAGACCACACGAATAAATATGTATCCTCATAGAGGTCCTCCATATGCACCACAGTACCAGGAGCCCAACAAATCATCAGCAGGTGCAACACGACGACCAACGCAGCAGGAGCAGCTACTGCTGCACTGACAGTCCCTACCTTGTCGATCGAGATCCTCCTGGTTTGAGTGAAGTTTCCTAGAGGTCCAGCTGACCACCTTGCTGGCAAACCAACTGGTGAGCTTGGCCACCTGACTACCCATTCCTGCTGGCCGCGATTCCCGCACAACCTCAGTGTCCAGCTGCTCTACATGCAGGAAGACAATGCACGGAGGTGGAGGGTGGGTGACGGTCTCCCCCCTGCCCACGGCCTCTGCAGCTAGAAGGTGACTTCTCGTTGCTGCAGCGAAAATCCGCCTCATCTCAGCGCTCATCTGGGCCCCCGCGGCGTACGCTACCTCCGGGTCGAGGTCAGCAGCAGAATTGACAGCCAAGTTCTTCACTCCTGCCAGTACTCTGTACGCCAGCTGAAGAGCCGGTGTCTGTCGGCCCGAGGCGCTGAGCACAGGCAGGCAAGCCCCCAGTACGGCACGCGCTTAAAAAGTTGCACGTATACACGGCACATGGAGGCATTTATAGAGAGCGATGAACACAGATCTCGCGTGCATATTAATGCCCTCACGCGAGCATTCGAAGAGTACACAGGCGCGTCCACATACACGCACATATATTGATCTAGATACATGCACCCACATTTTGCCTGCATACATAATCGTGTGTACACCACTGGCATGCACATACATATACATTTATATATGGACGTGTAGATGGAGATGCGAGGTAGATATATACACGCCAGAGTACATACTTATGCAAAGGGAGCGACACAGATGCGCAGGCCAGTTTAGCGTGAAGAGGGGTGTTGACGAGCTGCAGCGGCGACCCTTGGTCCTACGGGAGGGGTATCTTACTTGATAAAAAAGCGGAAGGCGTGTGTGGGACGTTGTGCAGAGCCTGGAGAGGCCGGACTCATGAGTTCTTCGTATCTATGCGAGAATACGGAATGCAACAGCACAGCAACCAGGGAGTCTGAGTGCATGAGCGCCATCGCTGCGGTAGCCTCGGGGTCTTTCTCCCCAGTATCTCCCACGAGCACAGCAGGGCCTCCTCCCTGGCCTAGGGCATCTACGAATCCGGCGACCTTGGCAATACCCCTGGCGTGCTGCCCAGTCAGCATGCTCGTGAAGCTCATGTTATTCTGGAAGCCGACAGGCCACCTATCCACGGCGCTGCTGTATATATGCCGGGGACCTGCGGTGAGGATGGTCTCAACATCACTGCGAAAGGATCGGGGCCGTGTTACCTTGGCCACCACGGGCGTAGAAACACGGGCAGACAAGACACCCGGCCTGCGAGGCAGCTTCGGAGTGCCGCTAACCTCGACGGGACAGTTCTCTGTTTGAGACAACTGGCGGAACGGACAATCCGCGAGTGGAATGCGCAGGCCACTGGGGGTGGATGTGTGGGGCCCCAAGGCCAAGAAGTACAGCAATGTGCCTATGCCCGGATAGGGCAGCCCGCGCGCGAGTTGATTGTCTACGCCTCCTAGGTGGTTTCCAAAGACTGTGGCTGCGCCGGAGCTCCACAACGTGTCGTCTACATCTGTTAGCACCAGAACGCTATTGAAGGAGGCGTTTACACGCTTGTATACACTTGCGTCGGGAAGCTGCAAGAGCGCCACCTGCGGAAAGCCGCCAAACGGGGGCGAGGCCGTCGTGGCTGGAAGTTCTCCATTCGGGCGGATGCTGGCGCCCGGGGAAGTAGCGCCAGGCCAGGAAAAGGATGCATGCGTTGTGCTGCGCTTCGAACTGCGGTCCACTGGAAACGTAGCCTGCAGGTCCCCAGCAGCAACCTGAAAGACGCTTGGCACTGGTACGCCCCACAAAGCTTTCTTTGGACCCTCGCTCTGTTGGTCGTTTGCACTTTCTACGCCCCCTCCATCAGGGGCCCCTGATTTGGGGGGTCTCCTGGGGTGTGCATCGTCTGCATCAAGGCCTTCTTCTGGGGCCTGGTTCCCCAACACGTCCCCTGCCAGGATGCGGGCCAGATGCGTTAGGCACAGAGCAAGCAGGAGGGGCAAGAGCAGCGTGCGAGAGGAGAAGGCCCTGGAAGGCGGCACACTGGTTCGGCGGTGAGGAAACATCGCGAAGGGAGGCAGCCCTGACTGCGAGGCGACATGTAGTAGAGGAAGAAGACGCATTCCAGAGAGACTGCAGATTTAGCGACGCTCTCGTCGAGCGCCTCTTAGGGCGCCTCTTGGATCCCTGCCCTATCGGGGCCCGGAAAATGTATCTCCTTGTTAGGGCCGCATTAAATACTTTTCGGAGCTCCCTCTCTCGCCGCTGGCCGCTGGTTAGCAGGCACCAATAGGGAAGACAACTTGCGAGAAAACAAATTCAGAGGGGGTGAGGAATGACTGCGCACGAATCGCTGGGGAGGGAGGTGAGGAGTGGCTTAGGCGCAGGTCGAACCAGCTGGGAGCGTACGCGTGAGAACGGGGTTAAGCCTCCCAAGTTGAAAACGCAGAAACGAGGCCAATGCGACAAAACAAACCTCAATCAAGGGCGCACTATGCGAAAAGCACGTGGGATGCCTCGCTCGAACCCCTATGCCCATCCATTTGGGGAGCTGTTCATCATCATCCGCAGCAGGGCTCTGTGTGCATCCCTCGTATTTACTGCACCGGCTTGCGTAGAATGCTTATTTACCATGCAGGGCCTATTCGCTCTCATACTGACCACCACTCCTCTGGAGGCAAGTAAAATATCTGGACAATGTAAACAAACTACCTGTATTCAAGGATCGGAAGAGCAGCCTACCGCGAGCGGCGGCGTTCTCGGCGACCCAGCGGCCACAATATACTAGCAAAACTAGGTATAATTAGATATCCTACCCGCTTCTAAATCAGACGAAGTGCTCAAATGGTAATTAAAAGGTTCGCTGAAATGCATATTGTCTTTCTTCATGTGTACGCTCCCTCGTACTGGATCGCCGCTCGAGCGTTGCACCGACCTGACTTCAGTCAAGCAGTACAATTTTGTGAGCAAGGCTCCCGTCGCAGCCATGTGTTTTGTTTAGGTCCCATTAAGTCTGCATATGCGGCTCAATCCTCCCCTGTAGGGGAGCATAACGCTATGGCACTGGGTGGTCTGGGCTCGTTGCCTACCCCATGAATTGTGCGTCCTGTTAAGTGGTACCTTCAGCATATTTGGCTACTCAAAATGTGCCGCTGCCTTGCCTGAAAGATGCTAAATATTTCTGTGGAAAATGCTTTTATCGACCCACAGTTTTTGGCTTACGCGCCTCCGCTTCCTGTGGCAGGTAGAACTGCGCCCATATAGTTACTCTCATGCATCTTGAATTTAAAACTATTCATACTAGTTAAATTCATGGCTTTACTGTTCTTGCATCCTATTCCTTGTGAAGGATACACACCACTACTTCCTGAGTGATAGAATATACACATACTGTAACGCTCGCTCGAGAACCTCCTTAGTGAGACACTTGGTCTCAACCCCAAAGCAAAACTAGACAATAATTCACCGGTAGAGCGCCCTTCTTTTCTTGCGTGCCCTGGGTCCTTTAGAGTCCCTTAGAAGGAAAGAGCGAATGCTAAAGTGGGCTTTGTGACATCTGACGCTCTAGCAAAATTCTCCTCAGGGGAGACCCCTACAAACGGACTCAATATAAACATATGGAAACTTACTGTGTGGTTGACAAAACGTATCTAGCCCATTCGTATCCGGTCCCTTTCAGCATGCCGACAAGAAGGGAGAGGAACGGCTGGAATGCGCATGGCTGCACCCTTTGAGCACTTCCAGCTGGTTCCGCATGGCACCTAGCGCTTACGAACACAACACCACGTCCGGTTATGTCAAAGCTACGGTCCTCTGCAACAACTAGGATACAAGCACAAACAAACCAACCAGTCAAACTCCTACTAGTTAGTAGTTGATGCAACACGTAGAGTAGGAAGTGTTTGAATAGCGTAGCCTGCTACGTTCTCTCCCCCTTCCCCCTGTCAAAAGCACACCTTAGGAACCATGTCTATTTGTAGTGCCCAATCGCGTGCAGGATACCGAAAGAGTTTCCGACCTGTGGCGGTTCCCCAGGCAGACAGAAACGTGGAAAAAAAGACCATGAGAAAGACAAAAGCGTGCATCAGCGAACCCAACAGAAGAAGACATATACAACTAGCCACCAACGAACGCAGGGCCAAGCCAACACCATGCCTGCGGTGCAATGGCTCGATCTCAAGGGAGCGCTTAGATATGTGGGCCTCCTGTTACGAGGCAAACGGAAACGAAACGTGTCAAGTAAAATAAAATACACACAAGTTGAAAAGTGCCTCCAGGCCTCCTACAGCAGTATCTGCGTGCGCATACGGCGTGTGGATGCAGATTAGTCGACATCAAACCACAAAGATGACTTGAGGAAAGACGTAGAACAAGAGTATATGAGAGTGCTTACGCATAAGTCGCAGTGTAGAGAACATGTTTACACCACTAACCAGCCGCTTTTTAAGCAATGCACAAGGATGAAGGCGGCAATTTCAGGCAGAGCACGTGCTGGGAAAAGAAAATTACCCAACGCAAGAAATATTGTCCATGTCGACTGGGTCTGCTGACAAATCAGACCCAAAAGGTCTATCAGGCAACAAAGCCCCCATGGGTCTCTGCAGCACTGATGCTTGCGTTCCCCACCCCATTTCACCCAGACGACCGGTCGAGTGTGGTCTGGCGAGTAAACCCTCTACACGTCCAGATATTTCACTGCTCCCCATAAATCCTCCGCCTCCACGGGGGTCACCTGCCTGCAGCAACGTCCGCAAATCATTCAGGGAACTTGAAACTTCTTTACAAAGCCAATGTTCACAGTTCTGTGGCACCTCCAACTCTCAGGGAACTGGATTAGGCAAACAAAAGCGCTGACTCGAGAGAGCCTCGCAAATGTGTTTAGACACCTGAGAGCAAACTCTTTTGTCTGGTCGGCTTCTGAAGCATCTCGTGAAGCCTTCCAATCCATCAGGGTTTAAAAGCCCCCAGCTCGAAACACACAGCAGACCGCTGCTTACCGTAACTCCGTGCTTGCTTCTCTTTAACATCCTGCATACAACCTCGTGCACGAACCAGCTGTTCATTGAATTCCCCAGTTAATAAAAGTGGCTGCTGACGTTAGACCGCGTCGTGCAGGCTTATGACACAAAGGACGTTCACAGTGTAGATTAGGGCGCAGGAGAGCAAGGGGTAGACAGGTGTACGGCTGTGCAATAAAGCCAGTCAGCACAAGGAAGAAAGCCACCCCAACAAATTGGGTTTCGTGACCATAGTATAGCGAATTTTGGCTGCTGCTCTCAGTCTGTCCATCTGCCTCCGGGTGGCTCGCAGTGGTCCTAATATGCTCAATGAGTAGCCTGGTAATGAAAGCACGCAATATTCAGCAGTTCGCTTAAGATGCACTTCCGTGCTTATGCCTCTATAGAGTCCGTGAAGCGCTGAGACATGAGTCGAAGGTATTTGAGCTACTTTTGATAAGGAACACAGCTGGAGTAAGAAAGAAATGGACATGCTGGCTAAGCCTGCTGACAACGACATAGATGATATGCTCATCCTTGGCCTCCGGCAGTCCAACAGTACTGTCCACTGTCAACTCTGCCCAAAGCATCTCCAAAAGAGGGATGCCTTGCAGAAGGCCTGTTTTAGGAGTATTGGTCAGGTAGCTGCTGACAATCTGAGCACGCTAGCGCTCGCCTCCAACGGATCGCGTCCTTCGGCCAAGGAGAACTCTGAGGCCTCTTCAGTGTGGTGTAAATTCTACCAAAGTACAGAAGAGTAGTATTGTCTGCCTCGTGCTGGATGGCACTGCAGAGCGAAGTTGGGATGTACAAGCGACAAGCTTCCGCTTTGTTTTAAACCACACCCGGTCACCTCGACATGGAAGTGCTTTACCTTTCCGCCATTCTGGTTTTCGGCTAGTAGAGGCGGATGCATGGGTGCCAGAAGCATTAGACTCCCAATTTCGATGAAGACTGTGAATATTTACAGACAACAGCGGCTGCAGTGCAAAAAATGTGAATTGCTAGGTCGTGGCGAGAGTGCGTCAGCGGCCGCGTTGGTGATGACGTGAAATTACTTCGCTGAAAAGTAGCACGGCAGAAGGCGCTCAAGTCCGGGATCCTTTCCAGTATTCCCAGGGCCCTGGAAGATACATCAAAGACTAAAGGCTGTTCTGGACAGAAGAATGCCAATAGAAATAGTGTCGGCACTTTTAACGTCCTACCACATCGTGTTGAGTTCCTTTTTCTGCGACGAATACTGTCTCTCGTTTCTAGAGGAAGCTAATAACAAGGAATTCTTTGTTATTGGAGAAGCTGTAGTTTGTTGAGAGAGAATAAGGTTCACCGCAATGTCGCGTGCATCGGCTTTTAGGAAGGCCTGATACTAACAATCGGGGAGCCAGCATAGCGGGAGAATTGCACGGCGTCCGACAAGCATCCTGGCTAGGGCGTTGCCTTCTTGTACCTGGGGCACACACTGCCCTTTCTTAGGTGTATCATGCAAAAACGCTGTGATCTGAGCAAGCGCAGGAATAATCCTTTCCTAATAAGTGGCGGACCACAGAAATCCGGAGCGTGTGGGTGAGGAAAGGTAAGGGCTCCGGTTTATTGCTTCAATTTTTTTGCCGGATCCGGTGTAAAATTTCAGCCTAAACATGGAAGCTCCCAAAGACAATTGTTTACATGAAATTCGAACACTTTCGTGCCTTCACATATCACTGCGCATCGCGCAACAGCTGAAGGCCACGCCGCAGTGCAGTGGTTGCTCTCAAGCATTCTGCCTGAAGACCAGTACCAGTATGTTGTCCTTGTAGATTGGTATTCACCCTCTTTAGCAGGCTTATAAAGTTCTCCAGTAGCTTGTAGTTGCAGCTCAGCAGGGAATTCAAGAAGTCCAAAAGGCATACGCGCGTACTCAAGTTTGCGAGGACGATTGTGAAACACCGTTTTTGTGCGAGTCACTAGGGTGAATGGGGATTTGTAAGGAAGCTTTAGTAAAGTCCAGTGCCGAGTAGACTGTTGATCCGTGTAAGCTGTCAGGCGCTTCGCCAATATGAGGCATGGAAGACTGCACCACGGTAATTTTTCGGAACGTACTGCTACCACACGTGCGCCACCTCTCGTTTTTTCGGCACCAGCACCGGGTTTTGCCGAAGAGGCCTGGTCGATCACTGCTTTTTACCTTTCCCTAACAAAGCATTACCCTGTCACTTATTTTCTTCTTCGTGCTGTGGAGGCAGCTAAAATTGAGGAGCATAGCTCAGATCCCACATATAAGTGCAGGACTGTGCACTGGCCGACCACCAGGTGGCAAGCATCCAGGCAGCTCATTATAGTGGCACACCCCCCAAACTGGGCATTTTCCAAGTCTCGCTATTCCTCGGCCCACGGCTGTGTTGAAGTGTTTGAAAAGAACCAGTTACAGACCCAGTAAGACTTGATACATGCTCAAATCGGTTCGCTCGTAGTGCGCTGCTGAGCCGCCTGAATGAAGAGACTGCCACATATTATTGAGGTACCGACTCTACCCTGCCCATCATACATGAAAGGAGTATTGATCAGGAGACCGGGAGCTACTTCTGCGTAGCGCTTCCTGACACTCCTTGTTCAACACCACGCATCTACAGCCACATGTGCGATTTCATTTGGGATAGCCATGGCATTCCTATGGGATACATCATGGTACACAAGTCCAACATTGAAGTCACAGACTTCGATAGAGCCCATTTCCGATTCAAAGTAGCATTTACCTGCCACTGCCTCGCAAACCCTTTTTGTTATGCCGCCCCTCAGCAAATGTGAATTCCAGGGACTGTGAGAACGAGATAACAGGCAGTTTGCGCTGTTGCATCGTCTCCTCTGACAACAGAGCGCCTCCAGACCCAGTCTCCTGTGACGCACGCAGCACCTAACCGCTAGTGTGAACTTGCACCAGCACGGAATTGGCCCCTGGTGGGTAACCAAGGGAGGCTCTAACCTTTGTAGCCCCCTTCGCTGCACCGCAGCCTGCGTGGGGGCTTTTCTCTTCCGAAATACGGCTTAAAATTTTACCAAGCAGGCTCCTTCCGCTTGGCACAAATCCGATTTTCGACTTATGGTCTTTTTGCACTAGCTTGCAGCTCCGTATTATTTGACCCAGTGTCCTAGAGCATTGGCGGATGTGTGGTTGGGAGACTCTGTGGCCCTGTGTATCAGATAAGGTTTCGTGTTGCGCTTTTTTCTTACCCAGCTTCGACTGTAGGCTAGGGCCGATTGGCACACCTTCAACGTCCTTAGGTTTTGAATTCCTACTTGGCGCTTCCCTTTAAATCAAGGACGCAAGAGATAGTCACATGCGCTCTTGAACCATCAGCTACTCAATTTTTTGTGAAAGGCCCACCTGTCGGCTGCCGACTTGCTGAGTGGCTGCCCATCGGGAGTCCACCTGGCTTGAAACTTTGAGGGGGCAAGACATACAATGATGAGGCAGCTGTTCGTCTACGTTATGGATTTTGCAAGCCAAAGTTCGTGACTATTGATGTTTCGATGTATTGATAGGTTTGCCTGCTTCAGCCTATTCAGTTCTCCCAAGGCTTGTTGTTGGGCTTCTTTTGGCAAAAACCGATGCGTCAGGGCTTGTATTAAGTCTTGAACTGTAGTGATTTCTCCAGCCAGACGAATATTTCTACATGAACGGAGCTTCTGTTTAGTGTTTCTGCCTTTAATAGACACGCAGCAAAGGGCACTCGTTTCTTCTTATCTGGGCCTACAAAAAGAGGTGACTCTTCAGCCGGCTGATGAAATCTTTAAATACTTGGCCATAGGCGGCACCCATATGCTTTTGCTTGGCACAATCAATTTTGTAGGCAGACAAGTCATGCTTTTATAATAGCTGTGGAGCTTCTGCGTTTACATCAGCTTGCAGGAAGGCCTCTGCCACCCTAACAGGCTTTGTGCCAGCGTCTACTCCTAACAGAGAGGTATCTGGATCACCAGATAACTTGATGGAAACGCTACAAATGTTGTAGGGAGAGCTGGTATGCCACTGCATTCATAGCCAGTGGATAAGCGGGTAACAGTGGCATCGAACCTGTTGCTCTCTACTTACGGTCTTCGTGGGGAGGCAGTCAACTCCAGGCTCGGCAGAAGTTTAACAGAAAGTTCTTGGGTGTTTCTCAAATAAATCTCGGCTTTCCCTGCCCACAGCACTTCCACTTCCGACGTGAAAGGAGAGGGAAAGCTAGGGCGCACCCTTAAAACACTTTGAGCATTCACAGCTAGTTGCACACAGCACCCAGCGCACACGCAAGCAACCTTGCATCCTGTCCTTTCGAAATTACATTACTCTGCTGAAATTGAAGCATAAGAACAGAAAATCAATGTCAATTTTAAACTAATTATTAGTGATATAACCAGTGTAGTGGATAAATTCAATAAGGGCAGATCCATGTGGAAATGCTATCAAGCCACTTATGTTGAGTTTTCGTTTGGTTCAGCGATTGGGGACCTCTGATGGAGCCCCAGAAAAGAGTGTTTTTCTCTATTATTAGGGTATTTAGCGCAGCTGTGCTCGGATTAAGAGCCTGGGGCAGCGTGTTTGAGAAAAAGCAGATGGTAACCTCCTTAGATTAGCTCCAGATGTCCCGTAGGGGTGCCCTAGGTAGCAAAATAAATCAGTGGCATGTTGATTTGGTCGATTCCTTCTTTTCAGCAGCTGGTTTCTATACTTTGTGTGCGTTTACACACGTGTATGTGCATATGTGTGTGAAAGTATGTACGTATGTATGTATGTATTTGTGTGTGTGTGTGTGTGCGTGTCTATCTGTCTGTCTGTCCGTCTGTATATGCCTGTGCTTGTTTGCCTGTGTGTATGCGAGCATACTTGCTTGTCTGTGTGTGCGCAAGCATGCATGTTGGCTGCTGGCGTGCGCGCATCCGTGTGCATGTCGGCGTGGGTATTAGTGCGTGTCCTGACCGGGGACACCAGAATGCCTGCCATACAGCTCATGATGTGCATATAGAGTAGGGATTGCTCATAAGTGCAGCAATTTACCAACACAGAAAAAAGCTGTTTGGAGGAAATGGATTTTGTTGGGCCTTCTGGGGTTCCTCCGGTTACCGTGTGGGGACCGCCAAGTCTCGTTGGCCCATGCAGCTGTTGTAACGAGCGAAACTTTGCTTAATCTTCTTTTTTGTCTTTCTGAAAGGCGAAACATGGAGCAAAACCAAGCATTTCATGATATTTCACGCTAGTACGAAGAGGCAGGGGATCTTATTCTTACTTTGTCCCTGCGCCTGCACAGCTCGTCCCAGTGGAGTTGTGCGCCCTTGCGTGTCTCTGCCGAATATTCTGTATGTTGTGCCCTGGAGAAAGCCTTTCGGAATCTTCTCTAGATCTACATGAATAACACGTTTATGCGAACTATTTCTTCTGCTTCGGGTGTTCGTATGCTAGTTTGCGCCCTTCCGGGTGACCTGCCATAGGCGGGCAGCAGGGGGGTGGTGCCCTCGCCTTGGGTGTCTCTCTCTTTTAGTCCCCGCTTGTAGGCCCAGCCTGTGCCTCTCTCCCTTCCGTCTCCTACATAGTTCAGCTGCTCTACTTTTCTGCTGTTTAGCGTACATGTCGTCTCTTTCCTACTCACCTCGAGGCCCTTGGTGGCCGTCTACCGACGAATTGTCGGATAGGGATGTCATCTTTGCCGCAACGCCTTGTTAAGCGGGCACTTTCTCTTGGCCTCAGCATCACCGCTCTGCTAACGAGCTCCTTGCGCTGCTTCTGGCCAGCAACTGCAGCCGTCCTTATGCGGCTGCAGTGGCTGCATGTCCCCTCGGGGGATGCGCTGGTGGCGCTCCTGATACCCGCATTCATCTTCACCATCTATGGAGGCTTCTTGTTGGCTGCCGCCCTAGAGCAGGATTACGCCTCCACGCTGTTGGCGCCATCATGCCCCTGGCTTGCGCTAGCTGTGGCTCTGGCCTGCGCCTTGAGCTTTAGTATCCTTCTTGCCGGTGCAGGAGCGCGCACCACCAGTGGCTCCCTCCCAGCGGCAGATCTGTGGCTGCTAACTGGCCTACTTTTACCCGGACTGGCTGGGGGCCTAACTGTGGGCGCTCCTGTTCTAGGACTCACACCTGCCAGGCTTTATGCGGGCCCTTACCTCTCCACGGCTGTGGGGGTGTATTGCTTTGCAGGCCTCCCACCCCCGCTGCTGCTGCCCCTATCGCTGGCAATCATCGTCCCGTGCGCAATGCAGACTGCACGCTGGGGTGCTGGAGCAGCAGACCAAGCCCTAAGCGCTCTGTATGTCGCAGCAGCCAACTTCTTGGGCTGGTGCCTGTACACCCGCATTTGGCGGGAAGCTGTGGCCCTCCTCGTAGCCGAACTGCTGCCCTACCAGACAACCTGCGCTCCGCTTCCTGAGCTTCAGGTTTTCGAGCTAAGGGCAGTCATGTCTCAGCGCGCTCGTGCGGCCAAAAGTGCTGGCGCTGGTGCCGCCACGCACCCAGAGGACACAGCGATTGTTGCCACAGAAGCAGCACAATTCAACGCACCAGAGAAAGTGGCACCAGATGAGGAAGCGAAAGAGTGTAGCGTAGCTTCCAAATACTGCCAGGATCGGCTGCCTCCGCGGGGGGAGAGGCAGAAGCTGCAGCAGCAGCAATCCCTGCCACTGCAGCAGCGACCCCCACGCGCGATCCCCAAGGCCTCTTCCATTGAGGCCCCGGTACATCAGCATAGGCTGCAGCGACCTGCGTCAGCCAGCCTCAGCCGCGTTTGCTCGTCTTCAGGTGCAACTGCGGAAGGGCGCTTACCCGAGACTTCAGCAGCTGCTGCCGTCTACACAGGCGACCAGCAGCAGCAAGTGCCGCTAGAGTGTGGAAGCTCTGCACAGGGCTGCTCCTCGGGTGCAACTCCAGCACCCACGGAAACTGCAGCAGTTGCCTCCCTAGAGCCAGTCACGCCAGCCTCCCCTGCAGCTCCGCGTCTAGCGAGAGCAGACAGTTCAGCAGCAGGATCAAGAGCATCGACACCGAGGGCAGCCCAAGGACCTGCGTCGGACGGCCCTGCAGGAGTACCTGCCGGCGCAGGAGAGCCTCACGAATCAGCCGCTCGGAACTTGCCACGGCAATCATGGAAGCACTGGCAGCAAGAGCCGCAATTTCAGCATCATCAGCCACAGGGCCACGAGGAGCAACAGCGAAGCCGTGAAGATCAGCCGCAGCAATATCGCCAACCGCCACATCTCCCGATGAGAATTGAGAGCACCAGGCCATTCGGTATTCGGAGGCGGCAGAACACAACACCTTGCTTGCTGCTGCATGCCAAAAACCAAGCAATAGAGGCCCCAGAAGCAGAACTACCCGACATACGGAGGCCCGAAACAGCGGGGGACCACCCAGCGCCGCGGCACGCACCGATTTTGCGGCGGCAGTCCTTGCCGAGGTGGAGTCTTCCCACTCTTCTGCAGCAACATGAACAGCAAAAACAGCAGCAGCTAGCGGTGTTGCTTCCTGCTCAGCCCGACAGCGGAGGCCATGCTGTTCAGCCGTATCTGACTTCTGGTGCAGCATCCAAAAGTGCTGCCGTTGCGGCCGCCGCTGCTGCCGCCGCAGCTGCTGCCGAGACCGTGCAGCGCTGGCGCTTCGGCAGTTTGAACTCGCCCTCTGCCGCCAGTGCTGCAGCAGCTGAGTCAGCTGCAGTCACTGCAGTCGCGCGACCTCGAAGAGGGAGCATGCACCAAGGAGGTAGCAGTAGCCGAAGCAGTAGCGCAGCGCAGGTAATTGAGTACGCAGGAAGAGAGCTGCTTTACAAAGCTCCGACCTGGTCCCCCCAAGAGAAGATGCTGGCCATAGCGGCGCTACCAAGACGTGCGGCACCAACTTCTCGTGCAGCAGCAGCAGCAGAGGCAACGAGTGCCGAAGCGAAGATACGACGCCGTAGCTCAGTGGTAGCATTAAAGCAGGCCACGAAGCTTCTGGATGCTCTGCGTGCTCGCCCTCTGGAGCTCAGGAAGAAGTGGGCTAGGAGGCACCTTACCACACACCACCACAGTCAGCAAGAACACAGGGAGCAGCAGGCGCAGCACCACCAGGTACAGTCCCCTGTGGGAGCTGCCAAGATGGCCTGGGCCCTACAGCGCATGCGAGCGGCCACAGGTAGCTTTAGCAGTCTCGGACGCAGCAGCAGTCAGGTGTCTACATCCATGCATGCGACAGCAACTGCCGCAGCGGCCTCCCACACTTCCCCAGGACTGTTGCGGCTAGGTAGCAGCAGTAGGAGGGGCAGCCGCTGCAGCAGCACCTACCTCTCCACCATGAGTGGGCCTGCTGTCGCGACAGTCGAGCCAGCAGCCTTGACAGCTGCCCCCCTGTCCTCTTCCGAAGCCCTACCGGCACCAGCTACGCAGCCTGGCGGCGGCTGCACCGTACACGAGCGCATGCAGCAGCGGCAGCTGCAGTGGCTTCGGCAAAGGCTAGCGGAGGATCAAATTGATGACCAGTTTGTGGCTATCATAGAGACTTGCTGGGAGCGCTGCTGGCTACTGTGCCAGCAAGCAGATACCCATCCAGCAAGCAACACTACTGCAGCTGCTCTTGTTGCGGTTTCGGAAGACCACGCCCAGCCACCCCTGCGCCACAAAAAGAGCAACAGCCAGATATTGGCTTCAGATGCACTGCACATCCAGCTAGTGCCTACAGAAAAGAGGCGACAAGAAGACGGCCACCCGCAGGAGGAAGAGCCGCGAGACAAGCAAGAGCAGGAGCGGCAACAACATACGCAGCAGGAACATGAACATATAATTCGAGACCTGCTTACAGTAAGGGCCATCGGGGCCCTTGAAGCTGCAGCGTAAGCCTCAGTGTGCTCTCGCTTGGTTCTCGCTGCTTGTGTGCTCGAGCTCTAGCCTTTCTCCCTGCTGTCTCTAAAGACACGCCTCCGTATTTAAGAGTTCTTGTTCACAGCCTCGCGCTTAAGTTGCCTATTCTTTTGCCGCCTCTAGCTGCCGCATCAAGGACTGCTCCCACTGCTCGTGCGGCTGCCACAGGCGACTGCAGCAGTGGAGAAAGCTACAGGACCATGGAAACTTCGAGCTCCCACAGCATGTGCTGCAGCAAATCCTCAGCGACGTGGCAACAGCTGCATTGCCTTCAGCAGCTGCTCATGGAACGGCACGCAAGCCCAGACCAACGGATGCGCATCAAAATCCGAGTGCCCTGCTGGGTTCTCGTGCGCCCTTGCACGATCATCAGCATTCTCACGAGGCTCTCGGTGAAATAACAGCATCCCGGGATTGCTGGCAGGAGTCGATGAGGTGTGCGTACACCGAGAAGGCAGCAGAAAATCCCGCCTCCGGAAATCGGCGGCAACTTGCTATGGCCTACATCCTACGGAAGGAGCTGTTGTGGAGAGAGCAGCATGGACCATGGCCAGGACCCCTTACCGCTGCGTCTGCTTCTGCTGTAGCCGAAGCACCCTCAGAGAAGAATCTAGCCAAGCTGCAGCAGCCACAGACAAGTAAGCGTGCATACAGCCGCCGGCCTATGAGCACCAGAAGAGCCTCCCAAAGAGCCCACAGCAGTGCGAGTAGCAGTGGAGGCAGCAGCAGCAACACGTGCAACAGCTGCGAGAGAGTCGTCTATGAGGGGGGCCGAACTTCACGTAAACGCGCAGGAGGAGAAACTGCAACAGTTATTACCCCAGGAGCGGCGACAACAGCAGCAGAAACGCCTGCAGCAGTTGTTGCTGCTTGCGCAGAGTCTGGCGCGTCCGCATACCAGCACCGCGCCATATCTCACCACATTCTGAATGGGATGGACACAGTTAGTCCAGCAGCATCTGGTGCAGCGGGAGGGTCAGGAGAAAAGGCTGCGTTCGGGTGTTTTTATTTGAGGGCCTGTTCATGGAAACCCAGGTGGCGGGGGCGCTTGCTGCTACAGCGATTTCGCCGCTGCTGCAATGCAGCTGCTGAGGCGACTTGGCCTCGACTGCAATACGCCTATGCAGTTGTTGTTGCGTCCAGGTTTCTGGCGCGGGCAGCAGGCCGCGGCATTCCGCCCCAAATGCCTCTACAAGACTTGACCCTAAAATTTGCGGACACTACAATTGAAGAGTAAGCGATCAAACGCAGCAGAACCACCAGCGCTGGCGTGGCTGCCCCCTTTCTGTCTGATCCCATGGCTATGGCAGTAGCGTCTACAGGCAGCGTCTCTGAGCTAGCAGCTAAAATCAACAAGGCACCAGCTTGTCACCTTTTTATTGGGTACTAGTTCGTGCGTTTCGAGCTCTCGTCCTCCCGCTGTCTGCAGATCAGCAGGTTGGCACTGCCACCGCCGCATTTGTTTTCCTAGTGCAGCACTCCCGAGGTGGCTCCGTCCGTTTCTGTGCTACAGGCGATACATGACTTGGCGCATCGGCTGGCTTGCACAAAAGCGCCTGGGTAGCAGCAGCAAGCCCGTGCTGCTGCTGTGGGGACTTTTCAGTTTGCTGTTGCCTGCAGCGGCTCTCTTCTGGGCAATCAATGGGGCATCCAGCAGCGGCACTATAAGCCAGCAGCACCCAAACTTCTTGGATACCTTCAAAGCCTACGCTACAGGGCGCATCATGCTTCAGTTCTGCGGAGAGGTAGTCATATTTTTGATGCTGCTAAGCAGCCGAAGCGGCCACAGTTACAGCACATGGCCGCACCGCAGCAACCCGGGGGCCGGAGATCCCTGGATGCGTGGCTTCATGTCGTACTTATTCCATTTGAGGTAAGCCGTTGCTTTGGCATCGGTCTGTACGCACCGCGCCTCTCGCTCGTTGGAAGTATTATACAGCTCTCATACAGCCTGCTAGGAGAACGGCTACAGCTACTGCAACTTAGACGATTCAGGTTAGTGGTTGGCAATGCTACTCCCCAAATTTCTATGGTTCATGCTGCTACAGGCTCTGCCTCTGCCTCGCGGATATCCCCGTGCATTTGCTGCTTCTGCCGCTACAGCAGCTTGCAGTGGAGGACCTGGTACTGTATGGGCCCCTACTGCTGCAACTTGCTGCCGTGGCGCAGCAGCAGCAGAACCGTCACCCGCGGCAGCCACTGGTGATTTATGTAGCATATTCAACGGTATATTCGCTTGTTATTGCTGGCTGTGCTCTGCTCGTCGAGATGAAAGTGATGAACGGCCCCCCATCTTTTTCCTTGCTATTGCTGTTGCTGCGTAGCGGCGCTGCCTTGTCCGCGATGGGCTCAGTTATCCATCTCCTAGTACTGGGGTCAGCCTTCTTTTTTCACGATCCATCGCGCCTGCCTGGGCTGTCAGCTAGTCGCAAGGCACACTCAATGGACCCAGCTAGCTGAACATTGCATTTAGTCGCATTCAGTGCCCCCCTCCCCCCAAAACAGCCAGCTGACTCCTACATTTAAGTGGGGCAGAGAATATTCAGCGACGGGCCACAATAGAAAACGCTGCCGCAAAAAGCATTCGCTGACCAATACAGCATGCCTCAGGCTCGGCGCATGCAGTGCGCTTCTATCCTCACAGGCCTCCACATGCACAGCCTGCAAGCTCTATGAATAGGCTGCTAGTAGATACACACTTTACTGTATGCAGACACGTGGCACGTCGAACGTATTGTGCTATTGTTGGCGTTGTTGTTGCTTCTCAGCGTGGAGGAAAAGTGCAGCAGAAGCGTATTTTCAACGACTGTCTTGCCCTACTTGCTGCGCCTAGAGGCAGCAACCTACTGCGGTTTCTGCCGCCAAGTAGCCTCTCCAGAAGACGTTGACGCAACCGCAGCTACGGATGTGGGAGTGACGGCAACAGGAGAGAGTTCGGCACCGGAGGAGGCCTTGAAGGAGGTTTTGAAGGAGGCCTTTACCAGAAATGAAGCGGAGCGGGAGACGGGTCTGACAACACCGGAGCCTTTATGTGACCTGGGTTCACAACGACAGCAGCAGCCAGAACAGCTTAATACACTAAAATCGATGGGGCAAAGAGCAAATATGGAGGGTTATCGAGGGGCCTGTAAGTGTCAGAAAAAGTGGCATCGCAAGCTAGAGAGTGAAACTGTGAAGGCTACGGCTGCAGTCGGCAGCAACAGCAGCACGACAGGAAGGGCAGCAGCGTCAGCGGCAGCACACAGCCCGAGAGAATTCCTGCGATGGAGCATGAAGTTTCTCCCCGGGATCCGTCAATGGACTTTTTCTAGCTGGAAGCGACGTCCCTCTGGGGCACCTCAAGGTGGCAGCATGGAGCCGCAGCAGCAACACCAACCGCAACCGCAGCGGCCAAGGCAGCACCAGGAGGGTCTCTCTTCTATGAGGCGTTGCTGGTCAACAAGCGCCTTCGACACGCGACAGCCAACGCAGGAAGATTCTGATGCCGATGTTACGGAAGACGGTGCCCTCAGTACCGCGTGGTCCGACATTGAGCCGTCTCGCACTTGCAGAGAGCTGCTAAGGAGCCTCCCGGAGCCACAGCGAACGCAGGCACTCAGTGACACCGGCAGCAAAGCTAGTATTAGCAGCGACAGCAGCAAGTTCGAGTTTAACGGTGGTCCAAGGGTGGAAATAACCTTGGATTTGACGCCTACAGCGGAGGCATTCCGCCATAGGGCTGCAGGGGTGCTTGCTGAGTCCACAACTGCTCTGAATGCTACTTGTGCTTCGCTTCCTTGCGTCTCCAAAGAGAGCCTCTATCAAGGCACAGATGGAACGGCAGCAACTCCATCAGCGTGTGCTACTGCCAGAGCTGCTGCAGTCCCTGGCGCTACTCCGCGTGCGGCGAGAGACAGGAGCAGCAGCAAGGTTGCTAGGGCTGCTCGAAGCAGCAGCACTGTGGGGTTTTGGAGATGGCGCGGCAGCGTCGCCTCTGGTTCACTGGCGCTGCAAGGCCATAGCACCTCTACGCGACGCGGGCCACTGCTTGACGCTCTGCCAGAAGAATCAGGAGTTGGCAGTCCAGTGCTCTCTTCGTTCCTTGACCGAGGTAATTCCCATTCTATAACGAGCAGTGCTGCTTCTTCTCTGTCGGCTCCTACTTACGTTTTATGGGTGCGCGGCTACTGAGCTGTATTTAGTTTTATTGTGGGTGGGTGAGCGCCTTTGGTGAATCCAGGTTCTGAAGCAAGACGCGGACCTGTGCCCTCCCCGCAGCAGGAGCAGCAGCAGAGGCAGTCACAGCACCAGCAAGTACACCAGCCTCACCCAAGGAAGCAATTGCTGCACATCCTAGGCACACGCTTGTCATCTCTCAGCAAGAGTCCAAAGGATTGGACCAAGGTACTGGGGGAGTCCTCACCTGCATTAGAAATGCCGGTAGCTCCAGCTGCATCTGCGGCTGCTACTACTGGGACAGTAACAGGTGCCTCATCCTCGCTCTGCACTCCTCCTGTGTCCTTTGTTGAGCAACGGCCTAGTTCTCGTCTGCACAGCCTACAGCGAGGAAGCAGCAGCAACAACAACATGCCTGCATGGCTGCGAGGCGATAGCCACACGGGGACCCCCGTTGCTAAAGGGCCGCCGGAATCTCGACCTATGAGGAGTCTAATGCTGCTTTATCGGCTTTCTTCATGGAAACACCGTAGCAGCAGCTGCAGTAGCAGTAGGCTCTGGGGGGAAACAGGAATCACGAGCCCCAACGTTGCACGCCCAATTCCTTCAGGATCCCATGCAGGAGGGCACACTGCTTCTCGCTTTTTCTCTTTCCGTGCTCGAGCTGCTGCGACGTCTCCGGGTCACAGCTTTTCTATTCCTGCTCCTGGAGGTGCCACGACACTCAGCAGAGCGGAAGAACCAAACCTGTATGCAGAAAGCAGCAGAGGAGCAGCACCCCCAGCTGCCAAGCACTGCAGGTACCCAGACATTGCGCATTCCAGCTGCGACAGCAAGTGGCAGCAAGTAGCTACTCTGCAGCAACAGCTGCAATTGCAGTCCTCTCGCAGTCTGTTCTTTTCGTCATTTGAACAGAGGAATGCCGTGGAAGTTGGCTATGGCCGTGCTGCCTCCAAAGGAGCAGACGCTGCTGGTTCAGCAGCCAGAGCGGCGGCAACACGGCTCGAAACAACACCCGTAGCGCCAACTGCAGCAGCAACAGATGTATGGATTGGCTTTCCACCCCGCTCCCTGGATCGGCATTACCTCGAACAGGGGGATCTTCAGCAGCAGCAACAGCAACCGCATGTGCAACAGCAGCAACGCCAGCACCGCGCCTGGCATCCGTCTCCCAAGGATGCTGCCGTCCCTTCAGACGCTTCCCCACAGCTACATAGGATATTTAGCATGCGGCGCCCCGACGAGTTAAGCAACTTTAGCTACAGCACTAGCAACGTCTGGGCAGCGCCAGATTTGGGAGAGCCAGTGGCAGTGAGGGACCTGCTCTCAGATGTTTTCGCAACGCGAGGTAACAGCTGGAATGATCCAGCGCAAATCCCCTTGCCTTCTACACATCCTGCCCTGCTGCAGCAAGAGTCATTCGCGCAATCTGCAGCTGCTGCTGCTGGCGGCAGTCGTGGGGGCGAAACACCTGCAGTCGCAGGGGGGGAGCATCGTAGTACCAGTAGCGGCAGCAGCCAACAACAGCCACACAGTCCGGAAGCAGCAGCGCGTGCAGCAGCCGCGGCGTGGAGCCGCGGGGCAAGCGCGCGTCTACGCCCTGCCAAACAGGGGGCTGCTCTTGCAGCGCAGCGAGCCGCAGCAGCCGCCTTGCTCGCAGCAGCAGAGGAAGTCGGGGATGGGAGGCAAGACACTTTGCAAGATGGGGGAGTTCTCTACCCCAGCCAGTGCATCAGGAACAGGCTCGAGAAGCTTCTTTGGGGTCTGAGTATATGAACCCTCAAAGCATTCGTAACAGCAACAGGCTTGCTGTCAGGGATTCGCAGCAACAAATGATGCAGCAACAACCGCTAATCAGTGGTCAAGACTGTACAGTGGCAAGGGCTCAGCGAGTATCGGCAGAATAATAAAAATCAGCGTAAATTGAATAAGCTACGAAGCAAGGTGGTGGTTGCGGTGGTGCTGCATGGCTGATGGCATAGCTATTGCTGTCCCTGTTACCCGGCTGTGTTGGTGCAGCAACAGGTACCTTGCAACATAGTGTGTAGCACTAGCTGCTGCAGCCTCATCTGCCTGTCGTGCCTGCTGCAGCAGGCAGATGAGGCTGCAGCAACGACTCGAAAAGGAGAGCGGCGTCGGTAACACGCCCTTTCGCTAAGGTATGGAAATAGCGAAGGCCCTACACGACCGGACTCTCCAAGATGCACCGAGTACAGAGGGAAACAAGAAGCCGCAGGGGGAGATACAGAAGCAGCAGGGACAAGGTACAGCAAAGAGACACTCGCGGACTGAAGCCCACACGGAGGAGAACTGCGCATGCTCGCTGCATATGGACACTGCTTTGAGGAGGTGCTAGAGCCTAGTCCTCAAAATTTAGAAGCCGAAGTGTGCAGCTAGCGTCTGTGCGGCTCGCCGTCTACCGCATCGAGGATCTGGACCTCAACGCTACGACACCCAACTTGTCCGCTCGTTCGTCCGCCCTCAATCCACCTCCCACCATTCGCCCAACGGCCCTTTATTGTGACTATAGAAAGTGTTAGAACCAAAGCAGTAAAGACTTTGATTATCCACAGAATTCACAAGCTGCGGACAAGGGCAGATTTTCGAGATGCTTCTACGGCCTAAGCTCGGGGCTAATCTTATGGCAGTACCTTGTATTTATTACTTCACATGTTTCTTGCACGCAGCTGGACATTAAGCTATGGAGGCTAACGGCGGCAGGAGAGTGATTGATAGCAATAATAGGCGGCCGTAAAACCCTCTCAGCACACTCTTAGCCCTGCCACTACGTCCGTTGTGCTGTGCTACGGTTTTACTGCTATTCTTGCTGCTGCTCCATAGAGGAGAGCAGCAGGAGGGTCCTGAGGACGAGCTCTGTGGAAGCCTCGCCAGCAGCGGACACTAAATTCCCGTCCACTGTGAGGCCCCATTTCCCCTTTGGGCTGCCAGTCAGCCGTGCGCCCTTCGTCGCAAAGTGCAGCTCTAAGTGGAAGGGAAGGAAGCCAAAGTAAGGGTGCCTGTGAACAAAGGCGTGACAGAGGTCGGCCGAAACGTGCATGCATCCACCTCTACACAGCGTGAAACTGCCCCGTGCAAGCTAAGCAGAGACACGCAGCTGCTTCATGCGTGTGTGCACGGAACTGTAGCCAAGGGTGCTAGCGATTCTATGTTAGCGTTTCAACACATGCAAGTGGGCAGAGGCGTTCATCGTCTCTTTTCCAACCGACCGCACCAGCAGCAGAGGCAGCTGTAGCAACTCACCGGGCTTCTTCAGCCAGAGGAACCGTGGCCATGGTGCACCCCGCAAAAGGAAACCTTTCACATCCTGAAGGGGCATGCCACAAACATCGAAATGGAGTGTGCTGTTTGTCTAGTGAGCAATGTGGGAGCTTCAGGGGATCACAGAAGGCAGAAGCCATCCTCACACAGCAGCCCGAAGAGCTAAGCCCCAACTCTGACCACCCGTTAGCTCTCAAGACTTCTTTAAACACCACATCTTCAGCCCTACCAGATAAGGGCTTTGCGCAGAGGGCGAAGCCTCCATATCCGACAACCCCCACAGGCTTCCCCTTGGCTCCAAAGGCCCGAATGAGGGCCCCAGTGTTGCTGCTGTTGTAGAGGTCGACGGCTGCACCCAAGTGGTGCGGCAAGAGCAGGCAGCAGTAGTCCGTTGCAGCAGCCTTTCTTAGTACCTGAGTTTGCTGCAGCCGCTGTATCAAAAAGTCCGAACCCTCTTCTTTCTCCTTCAACAACAACAGCCGCACCTCCTCCAGCGAGCTGAAGGAGGCCACTGGAGGGGGCTCTCCAGATGGCGTCACAAATTCTAGGGTATAACCGCAGCTCCTTGCTGCGCGGTGCATGGACAAGAGAGAGAAGAGTGACACGCCAGCTTCAGCAACAAACTCCTCTCCTGTTTCGCTTGTGCGGGAGAACTGGCTCTCAGATGACAGCAGCACACACACCTTGCCCCCGGTTTGCAGGCATCCGTTGGTACTTCCAGAAGCCATCCCAATGGAATGTGGTATGCCCCCTGGTACGGAACCGCGTAGGACAGTCGCAGATGTTTTCGGTGGATCTGCAGGCACCGTCCGCGGCGACTGACTGGCGGGCCCCTCTGAGAGGCCTGCTCCGCTGGAGGGTACCTCCATTGGACGTTTGGTGGCTTTGGAGGAAGGCGAGTCAATGCGGAGTGCTCTGGAAAGGGGAACCCCTCAAAGGGGCCCCTCCTGGGAGGCCCCCAATCCGAGTGTACAAGCAACCAACGCGTGGCCTGGGAAAATAGGGAGTCTTCGTCAAAAGCATGGGAGCAACAACTCATAAAGTACCTTCAATGCACCAAAAATAGGCAAGAGGACGACCGGTATAACCACCAAGCAAGAAACTCTGGTCCTGACGGCCGCTGCGCTACCGACTCGCAGATATTGTTCTGGTGTTTATTTACCTGGAACACACGGGTATCGTGCCATCAAACAAACAGAAATCGCCATTTTAATTGCACAGTTACTATGAGGAAGAGGAATCTGTGCTGAATATCGGTGGAGGACATGGAGACCAAACTTTTCTCGGCCGCAGAGTGTGTGTTGGCCTGGTGCCTGCACACGGCAGCCGCGTACGATTAGGATTCTTCATGCAAGCCCTAAATCCTATATCTCACACCGCGCGCCTTCGGCGACGCCTCTCTGAATATTCTTCTGAGAACAGTTTTTAAATGGTGCCCTCGGTGTTGTGTAAACGAAAAAGTCGACAAAATATCATCTACCGAAAGTACGTGGAATCGCATAGATTGCCTAGCAACGTGCTTGTGTTGCATTCGGCTGGCTTTTTAGCCAGACTTCACGAGTCCAGTACGGGCGGGCTGGAACGCCGGGTCTAGGAGGTCTAGACCAGAAGCCCCTCAATGCCTTCGAAGTACTCTCAGTTGCTTTGCATAGCCTAGGGGCTCAGCCACCCTGTTATTACTGCAGCGTGCATACTTTACTGCTTGGCAAAGCACATGGCTTGCTTACCTCATTCATATAGCTCAAGACGTTACTGGGACCGCTGCGTTGAATGTATCCGTAGGGTGACACATAACTTCAGGCTTGATACAAGCTTAACATATAATTTTCCAGTATTTATCGAAAGAACTCCAGCCTCTCCCTGCCCAGTGCCCCCCAGTTTCTATTGTGGCAGACGAGCAGCAAAGGTGCTAGAAGCAGCACTCTGTAACACTTCCAGCGATCACGCCTAGTTGCACACAGTACAGCGCACATACAGTGGACACATCGTTTCGTCTTTTTGTATCGAGCTAGCAGTACTTTGGAGTAGCTATGATATACGACCAATAAGTCAACTCTCAGTCAATTACTTCTTTATTTTGCCTAGTATGGTATTATATGGTGTAGTACACAGTGCTTAAGTGTGCTTTGGCTTGCTGCTTCACCCGCTTTTGTGGTGCAATGGTATATTAGGAGAGTTTGGCTGTAGCGGGTACAGCTACAATTTGGCACTTTTTGACGCACTAGCTTCATTTAACAAGGATGTGGTGGAGAATCGATTATATGTTTTGTCTGCTCGTACGTCTTATTTCTTGCAAAATACCGCTGGCACAACACGAATTTTTGTGTATGTGTTTACTAGATGCAATGTGTAGCTAGTTATGAATTCCCGGAGAACTTTTGGGGTCCAGCTAAGCACTCTCTAGCTATCTCATTTCCGTCGTGTAGTCGGATGGAAGTCCCGGTGTCCCTTTCTGCTGCCTTTGCTGCTCAGCCCTACGAATGCCCTTTTCAAAGATGGGGTAGGGGATTTCCTTGCCAGGGCGGGGGATGGCAGGAGAACCTTTTATAGTGCACTTAGTAACTTGTCCTAAGTTAGTATCGCGTTTGAAGTCAGATGCATCCCTACGGAGAACTTGATCAGAACGCAACATTCTCTGCCTCTCTGGTTCAATGGCGCTAGCAGATGGTGGCCTAAAAACGGGTTTCCGCCCTGACGTTCCCTCTCCCTGCTATAAACTCTCTTGCTAGTGTTGGTGCAGCTTCGAAAACGACCGGCATGAGACGCCACAGGCATCTAGGTGGCTTCAAAGGACTAAAACTTTGTGCTCAATCCTGCCCAAAACCAGATTGAGACTACATATTCTAAAATTTTGGCGGTAGCTGGCGGAATCGCTGTGTTGGGCACTACGTAAATCCTCAGAGTCCGGTAACCAAACCAAGGGCTCAATGGGAAAAAGCGCTTCAGTCCACAGTGAGCCAAGGCGTTCAGGGCCCTCGCTCTGGGGCCCCTCAGCCACGGACCACAGCGAAGTGGGAAGTGGAGTCAAGAGGCCTTTCAATCCTGAAAAGGCCTCAAATCCGAATTCCTGCCTTGGTGCAGCTACGTAGCTTAGGTTTCTTGCGGGCTGTGCTGCCCCCTTTTTCCGCGATAGACAGTGATAAGGCCTCTTTCTTATTGGGGTTCTTCCGTTTCCTAGGTCCCTTGTATCCTGTGAATGCAGCTGCTTCTACAGGTGGCACTGCCTGTGCATGCGGGGGCCTATCTCTCTGAAGCGTTGCAAGGAAGAAGCCCCTGCACTTGTGAATCTGTGGAAAAGCCCTCACGCACAATGTTCCAAAGGAGCACAGTGCCTCGTCCAGTATCGCCGTGGGGCTCTTCCCACCGCTCTCTGTGCTGTGGCCACAGCTTGCAACTTGATACCGCAGTTCTTCAATGGCCGAAGGTAAAGGAAACCACCCCGAGTGGAGAGGAGGCTGGCAGACTCTCCAGCGAGCAGGGCTGGGCTGTTGCTGCTGCTGTTGTTGCAGACACGCTCGCAATAGAACTGCCTCATTCTCGTGTACATACAGCGAACACGTCGAGTAACACACAAGGGAGGCAGAAGGAAAGGCGGTAAGCGCATGTGAAAGCAGCTTATGCTGCAGTGCAGCCAGTCGCACAACCCTGTCTTCCTCTGCTGCTGGGGGCAGTATACTCGGGAGGGGCCCTTGCGGGCACCCCGCGGGAGGGTTCTCGAGATGGCTGCGGCTCCAGCCCTCCCAGCTACACTGCAGCAAGTCTGGCGGGTCCAAGTGGTGTTTGAGTGTCCTTATGTCGATATTTTCGGCAGCACACCCGTCATCTGTAGATGCTGGCGCTAGCGGAAGTGCTGATTTATGCGTGGGGAGGCCACTGCCCGAGCAAGAAGGGTCCAGGATGATCTTTTGGGCGAAGCAAAACGGAGGAACCCGTCCATCAATCGTAGAGAAGTCGGCCGCTCTAACTTCCACGAGCAGGAGCGGGAGGACAGCTGCTAAGGCCGGGTAGCTCGCTGCTGCTGATGCTCCGGCGTCTGTATTCCGGGGTGCCTCACATGCTCGCGTGAAATAGAGCGGCCGCTTGGCTGCGAGCCGTGCAAGCTGCAGGAGCTTGACTTTGCTAGCTGTGCTGGTGGCGCTGCCCTCCCGATCACAATAGCCTTTGCCAGGCTGGGATCCCCTCGGGGAGGGGATCTTAGCGGCATGCCTCTCGCTGCAGCAGGGCGAAAGGTAGGGGCCCCTAAGGCCCCCCTCAGTCTGGAGTCTCCCCAGAAGCGTTGCGAGCCGTTTATGCTCCCTTTCGAGGATAACCAAGTGGCCTCGTTTTCCGAGCATTGCTGCAGCAGAAGCCACACGCAGAGCAGGACGGTATTTTTGGTGGCGGCTAGCAGCGTCCCTTGATGAATGACAGCAGGGGGGCTAACGCGCAATACATATACGTGCTGCGGCGGGGCAGCAAAGAAGGCGGCCCTAGACAAGAGGCAAGGGGGAAGCCAAAGCCAAAGAAAAAATCAGCAGATGAGGTAAAGACGTGCCGGAGAGAGAGGTAGATGCGCAAAAGCAACGGCAACATGCCCGCCCCAACACCCATCCTCCACAAGAGAGAGAGAGCGGGGGCAGTTGCCTCCGGACAGCCCTTAAGAACGCAAAATTTTATCGTGGATATGGATAGAAGAAACAAATGACTTAGACCCCCCAAAGACACATAACATACGCATGCACCAAAAAAACAGAGAGCAGCAGGAGAAAGCCAACCGAGAGGAAAAGACCCGGAGGGAGCAAGAGACACAGACAGGAAGCACGAGAAAGTGGTACAAACATATTCACGCTGATGTGCGGCTCTGGGGGCTTGTAGTGGCAATTGGAGGTCCCCGCGCCTCCCTTTCTACGTAACGCGTGAGGCAGTCACTACACGCAGAAACTGCAGCGGCACGAGCACGAGGCACAAAATAACAGCAAGAGCAACAGTACCAAGGAGGTGCAGTGTCTTGCTGCCCGGAGCGGCGCAGCCCTCGAGGATAATATCGCCCTCAACAACAGCGGCGGCAAGGGCCGCAGTGCAACTGGCTCTGTCTTGAAGAGACAGGAGGCCCATAGGAACCAGTTCGTGCAGTGTCAGGTGGTGGTGCCGATGCTGAGCGTTTTGTTGTTGTGGCCTCTTGATTTGTGAATCCTTCACTGCCTTTTCTGTACCGTTCTGTTGCGTTGGGGTGTCCTTCCGTGGCGCTAGCTGTGGCTGCTGCAGCAGCCGTGCTGCAGCAGCAGGCAACGCCAAAGTGCACGGCAGAAGAGGGTCTTCAATAACCCACATAGAGGGTGGAAGTTGTTCCTTTAGAAGTGCGGACGCCGCTGTTAGCTCCCACAAATGCTCATTCACGCGTAAATATCTTGGAATGGCTGTTGCCGCCGCTGATCCCTCCGCTAGTTCAGATGCCCCTGAAGCTTCGAGGCTCGCCTCTGCTGCCGAAAAGAGACGTCGCAAGAGGGACTCATGTTGTAGCAACTGCCGTTTAAGTTGCCCTCCTCCTTCAATGCCTTTGGGAGAAAGCAGCAAATCCCGGAGCATCAGCAGCAGCATAGAGTTCCTCCATGCTCCTGATGCTCCTGGTGCGATGCCGCCTTTTGCTGGGGAAGTAGACAGAAGGTTGGCCTTGCGTAACACCTGCTCCAGCAGCGGACGCACTGCCAGCGTTTTTGAAAGCAGCGCATACACCTGAACCACAGCAGCAGCCACAGAGACAGCACCGGCGTCAGGCAGGGCCCTGGGTGCAACAGCAGCCGCAACATGCCCCTCTAAAAAAGACAGCAGCTGCAGAGGCAGCAAGCCATGCTCGTGCAAACCTTGGCTAAGGCGTGTGGAGATGGCCGACCAGCCCCATAGAGTGCGTCTCTGAGGCCGAGACGCTTTGCATCCATCAGCTGCAGCACCGCTGCAGCCTGCCTGTACACTTCCGCCATTGGAGGTGGGCGGTGCCAAGGGGCGTGGTGCAGAAGCGACAGAAAAAAAGCCGAATATGCGCTTCCCGACCATTACATAATGCCCAGTAACAGCCTCTGCAAAACAGCCTAGGTCACGACTGCAACAGGGAGAAGTAGAGCCCCCCAGCGATCCTCCAGCAAAGCCTTGCAAGCGGATATCAAGTGCGAACTACTACGCCTTCTACATGCCGCTGTGGAGCTCTGGCAGCCTGGGATACGAGCGCTCTTAGGGGGCCCCTCGGGGGCCCCGCGTGATTCGGCGAGGGTTGGCTAGGAATGGCCTCAACACCACGAAGGGTCAGGAGGCGGGAGACGAGAGAATGGCCAAACACATGGCCCTGAGCCCTGAAAAGTGCTTTAATTTTGCGAAAAACAAATGCGACCTTGTTTTTGTTTTTCCTGCAAGGCTTCCTCCAATATTTCTCACAAGGGCCTGTTGGAGGGGGCCCATAGAGGGGCCCCGTTGAGGAGCCCCCTCGGGCCTGGTTCTCATGGGTGGGGCGATTGTCGCTATTGCACGTCTGTTAGACTGGCAGAATACGGCCGGCCCCTGCATTTTCTGTGGCTTTGGTGGCCTGGGCCCTCTCCTCGGGACGTTTTTGGTGAAGAGTTACGTTAGCGTCTCAGCATCGACGTGGACTTGAGAAGGGGACCCTGGAGGGCACGGCTAGGGATCTGTTTAGGAGTTCGTGGGAGGAGTGTTTTCTGTCAGCAGGACTGAACGCGTAGGATAGGACCTCTCATTCGCTCTGTGGGCCGCTTCCTTCGGGGAAGGTGTGCTTTTCTCTTGAAACCTTTCAGACGCCTGTACACCACAGAGCTCAGGCGGCCTCGAGAGGATGAGGGTCTCGATCTTCCGCACGGTGAAGCAGCCACTCACGCGGCTGCGACCATCCGCGCCGTTAAGGGGCCCCGGAGGCGTGCAGGGGGGCCCCTTCTACAGGGCCCTTAGGGCACCTGTGGCAGCCAGCGGTTTGCTCTCCGGGGGCCTCCTGCAGGCAACGCTCGCGGGGCCAGTAGGAGCACCAGCGGACCGAGAGGCCCCCTGGACTGCCTTTGTAGGGCGTTACTTCGTATCTGCATCAGGAAGCTCGGAAGGGCTCCTGTCCGACGGCGCCAAGCACAGGACGCGCAACATCGGCATCAGTGCGCACATAGACAGCGGCAAAACAACACTCACGGAGAGGATCTTATTTTATACAGGCAAGGGTTTTCCACTTGTTTAAGGGTGCAGAGGGCACCGAAAATATTCTGGCTGAAGGGTTTTTAGCCCCCTTTGGGCAGTGTAGGCTAGGGACTATGGTGTTGGAGTACATACTATTCGGCGTGCAAAGCGCAGCGTTAAGGGTTGGGCATTTACGGACTCTCTCCGACGGCTTAGCGTGAAGGGGTATGAATGCAGTGTCTTAGGGGTGCTTCATGTATATATTAGCGTGCGTATTTGCATGTGTATACCTGTACGTGAATACATATGTATGTGTATACACATACATGCATGTGTATGTATGTCTATACATGTGTACGTATGTATTTTTCTGCATGTATGTGTGTACATCTTTATATTTAGGGCGTATTGCGGAAATCCACGAGGTCAGAGGGTCCGATGGCGTTGGGGCTAAAATGGATTCTATGGATCTCGAGCGAGAAAAGGGTGTGTCTAATCAGTTCTAGCACGATGTAGGGAAATGCCTTAAAGGGAAGCATTCTGTGCCTCTAGAGCTGTACCACTTCGTGAAATCTTAATTCGCCAAGTCCCCCGCCTAGCAGCCGCCTGCAGTGTGCATCGTGATCTTCTTCGCAGTCTTCCTGTTTTCCAGCTGGCTTCCACTGTAGCTCTTGTCTGCACCAAGAGCCCGCGGTTGATGATAGGGATCTTTAGCGGTTAAGATTTCGGATGTCTGTGTGCACGCATGTGTAGGCATAACGATTCAATCGGCCGCAAGTTACTGCACGTGGGAGCTGCAAGGGGGCCCCTCAGGATGCCCATACACCTTAAACCTCATCGACACCCCAGGCCACGTGGATTTTACCATCGAGGTGGAGAGGGCCTTGAGAGTCTTAGACGGCGCCATTTTGGTGGTTTGTGGGGTTGCAGGCATCCAGAGCCAAACCCTCACAGTCGATAGGCAAATGAAGAGGTGCATAAATAGAAGGCCTCTGCTGCTCCTCCCTTTGTGCCCCCCTGCAGCCCCGTGTTCAAAGGCCTGAAGGCTCTTCTACAAGGCCTTCAAAACGTGAAATTAGAGGGTTTACAGCTCGCGCTTTTTGGGTGCAGGTACGGTGTTCCGCGTTTGATTTTCGTGAATAAGTTAGACCGGGATGGTGCAGACCCGTGGAGGGCCCTCGCCGGCATTCGCAAGCAGCTTGGCGTTAATGCGCATCCAGTTCAAGTACGCCTTACGCCCTGTCCCGTGGGGTTTTGTGTGCCACGATTCTGCCTTCCAAAGCTCTGTGACTTCCCAGCGAAAGTGGAGCAGCCAGGCAACTGCGCAAATCAATACGATCATACGCACATGAGCCTTGAACGGCCACTGTTTTCTGCCTTGGGCTTTGGGGTCTGTGGCATGCGAATAGATGCCGATTGGCCTTGAGGGGAAGCACCGTGGTGTGATAGACCTGGTGGCTCTCGAGGCGGTTACCTTTAAAGGAGAGAAGGGGGAAGAGGTGCAGCGGTCTTCAGAGATTCCTGAGGGCATGCTGGAAGAGGCAAAGGCAAGAAGAAGCGAGCTGGTGGAAGCCCTCGCCGAACTGGATGAAGAGCTTGCTGACGCCTACATACAACTCGAAGATAAAGTGTCGCCCGAGCAAATTCACAGCGCCATTAGAAGATGCACTCTCAACCACTCATTCGTGCCGCTTCTCATGGGTTCAGCAAAGGGCAACAAGGGGGTGCAGCCCCTTCTCGACGCCGTTTGCCGATACCTCCCAGCCCCTCGTAAATCCTACCACTTAGACCTCGAACCCTACGCAAGAGACACAACCCTGTCCCCCATCAACTGTACTCTGTTTGTCACTTTAGGGACACAGATGTCTGAGCGTTTAATGGCAGCGCTGCTTTTAAAGCGTCTCGCTCTTTGTGACAATCGTATTACAGTGTATGGACGGGGTGGGGGCTGATATAGACCTACAACGAGCCGACAGTGTTTTGAGCTATGGGTTTGCTCACAATTCAGAGGACCGAATTCAAGTGGCGAAAGACCTCGAGAAAGATGAAGAGGAAGTGGCCCTCGTGTGCGACCCCAAGAAACCGCTTGTTGCTATGGCGTTCAAAATACAAGTAAGCAGAAACTCCTGGACTCTGGCCATGGCCCTCCTGCATGCACTCTTTCACACTCTTTCTGCCCATTGTCTCCGCTGCGTTTTGAGCGTGTTTATTCTAATTTCCTGCTCTTCGTTCGGAATGCTCACTCCGTGTGTGTACTTGTTTTGTGCCTTAGGAGCTGCCCGTCGGGCAGCTTACGTATCTGCGTCTGTACCAGGGGTCCCTCCGGCGCGGTGATTCGCTACTGAATCTTAGTTCCTCGAAGAAGCAACAGGTGAAGCGTCTGCTGCTTATGCATGCAGACGAGGCCAGAGAGGTGCAGCGCGCGGAAGCTGGGGACATCATTGCCGTTGGAGGCCTGCAATGCCACTCAGGAGTGACCCTCACGGATGGCAGGTGCCAGCTCGCCCTTAATTCCATGTACATCGCAGAACCAGTGGTGTCTCTCGCCGTCAACGTACAGAAAAAGGAGGACCAACCCAAGTTTGCAAAGGCCTTAAATCGCTTCCAGCGGGAAGATCCTACTTTCAAGTAATTTTGTCCACAAACTGCATAGCCTAAGGAGGCTTCTTCCCTGAGTACTGAAGAGCTTATGTGCTATTGCGCAATCTCGTGTTTCCGCTTTGGGGAGGCCTTGGTCGAGGTCTGCCGCTGCCGGAGCCACACAAAGGCGCCGTTCTCCCTTGGCCTCTCGCTCCCGTGTATTCTTTCTATCCGTCTTTGCGCCTGCTGCCTCACTTGCTGTTTCAAATGAGGGCAGCCCAAATTAGGGTCGAGGGTTTAAAATTAAGGTTGGGGATGTGTAGCCCGAGTGCTATGCTGGCAGGGTATCAACCGACCCGGAGTCTAAGGAGACTCTGATTGCTGGGATGGGAGAGCTGCATCTGCAAATCTACTTGGAACGCATGCAAAGGGAGTACCGATTGCAGGTGGCTTCGGGGCAGCCTAAAGTGAATTACAGGGAAACCCCAACCCAAAGGGCCATCTTCGATTACACTCACAAAAAGCAGAGCGGTGGCGCTGGTCAGTTTGGTAGAGTCATTGGGTATTTTGAGCCTATCAAACAAGGAGATGAAGTCGACGCTAGCGCCCCCAACATCTTTGTCAATGAGCTGGTAAACCCACGAACGATTAAGTTCAGTGTCTCTATTCGGGAGTATGCGCCCGTGATGGAGTGCACACCGCCCCAGGCTAGTGCTGCTGCGAAGGGCGCTGCTTGTTGATACTTGCCTCGCAGCAAATCAATAGCGGTTATGCTGTGTCCTCTCCATATTTTTATTACACAAAGTGCGCAAACATTTCAGAATGCCCTCTTTGGCTTGCACGAAGCTACTGAGTTGCGGCTTTTTTTGGTGCCTTGCAGGTGGGGAATGACATTCCTCCCAATTTTATCTCCTCCATCGAGAGAGGGTTCTTAGAGGAGGCGCGGCGGGGCCCCCTGACGGGAGCCCCCATGGTCAACACGCGCTTTGTATTGCAAGGAGGGAAGGCCCACGACGTCGACTCGAGTGATATTGCCTTCCGGCTGGCTGCCGCGGGAGCCTTGAGGTGGGATACCGTTAGAGGACGGCTTTTTTTGTACTTTTCGGAACTTCGCTGTTGAGCTGCACAAAAGGCTGTGCGCGCCTGCTGGCGTAGATGCACCCCGCATCTGGACACAGCGGCAGCGATGGTACAAGAAGATGCAAGCGCAAGACTGCGCCACGAAGGAGAAACGCTGTGCTTTCCTGTTTGTTCTAGGTGCGAGAGCTAGCCCAGAGCCCCTGCGTTTAATTGTTGTAGGTGTTGGCTGCGACCGACGGTCTGTGGATGCGCTTCAGGTCTTTTTACGACGAAGCGTTCCCGGTGGTGCTGGAGCCTTTGATGTCTGTGGAGGTTTCGGTTCCGCGAGAGATGCAGGCTGCTGGCTTGGCGCTTCTGAACAGGAGGCAGGGAAATGTCTCTGACTGCTCTCTAGAGGGAGAGACGGTGGTCATTTCAGCCGAGGTGCCGCTACGCTTTATGTTTGGATTCATTTCGGACTTAAGGGCTCAGACTCAGGGGCAGGGGGAGTTCAGTATGACCTTCAAGAGGTACCAGCCAATGCAGCAGGGAGACCAGGATGCTGTCGTCAAGCAGTTGCAGCGGGAAAGGCAGCAGAAGCGGAACAACTAGCGACAGAGAGAGTGCAAGGCGGGCAGCTGAACACACATGCGCACACGGGGGCGAGCTTCTTCCTTTTCCCCTTCCTCCCCCACGCCCTTCCTCCCACGCAATGATCCACCCCCCTACTCTCCAAGGAGCAACCGGTGCTGCAGAAACCCTATCGTCTCAAGGCACCAACAAACAAGAGCCTATCTGAAGGAAAAGCGCGCTAAGTTGCGTGAAATCGTTCAAGCGGTTTGTGGACTTAGGACTTCCCTCTGTAGCCTTTTGCACTGTCTAAATCTGGCTGACTCTGCGGGAGCTCTGCGTGGCCCTCCTTCATTGCATGAATGCATTCATTTTCCAGGCTCGTACTTAAGTCTGTAGCAGCTCTTCCCTTCGCTGGCGCGTTCAATAGCTCAGACTCGAAGTCAGTTGGAAAAAATCCCCAAAATGTGGACCCACTTTGAGAGATCGCGAACTTGGCTGAACTTTTTTGAATGTGGAGCTGGGCATCCAGCTCCAAGGCATGGGAGGCAAGGAGCATTGAGCAAGAAACTTCTGCGTTTTGAGTGGTAACTTTTGGCGCCTACTCCTGCATGCAGTGGCCTTGAATAAGACACCTGAGCGCCACCGTATCCACCGCAGGGGAAGCTACTATTAAATATTGATGTTGCTTCACAACACAAGATTGGAGCTCAATGCTGTAAATTCCCTGTTTTCTCTAGGAGTGGTGGCTAGTCCGTAGCACCTCCGCTTGACCGTTGGAGGTGTCGGGTAAAGGCTATTGCATTTGCACACAGTTTCGAGACTGGTTGCTTTTTATAATGGCTCATCGAGTAAAGAGGTGGAAAGAAAAGAATCGAGCAAGAAGTCTGTGTTGAAGTTTCATGGGTTTGGGGAAGTCTGGGGTCCCACCGAGGTCTAGGATGTGTGAGAAAGTACATCTGGTGAAGCTGCTGCGTCTGCGGGTAACAGACACCTTGTCACACTGGGGCCACAATAGGTTGAAGCGTTTTCGCCTCGAGCTTGCCTTAGGGCCTGGGCAGGGGGTGGCGAGCATCAAGACTGACTTTTGCAGGTGCGCGACAGGAAGATAGAGGAACGAAGGACTCGATTACGGCCACATCAGGTTCCTTTCTCTCAAGATGAACTTTAACAAGCATTACTTCCCAGTCCACTGCACGAGCGTGCAGGCTGCTAAGTCATGCGGTAGCCACGTGGTGTGGCGGAGATAGTACTATTTGCTCTACTGCAGCAGTACTGCGTTAGAAGTCATCGAGGTGCCCAAGGGAAGTGTTTGCCTTGATACGCATTTTTGCTGGGCTGGTTAATATAGAGCCGATATACAGTGACGGCGCCAACGCGCGTTTTACCTACTGAACGGTTACATTGTCCAGCAGGGTTCAGCGCTTCTGCCTTGCTTGAAAAGCAGGCGTAATCATGCTGTTTCCGAAACGCCATCGCGTCTGACCTTATGGTCCTATAGTTCATGACTAAACAGACTTGACCTTCGAACATCCAGGAGCAGGCGATGAGCAGTTTGAAATCCCTTGTACTCTTTACTTCTCGTTCATGGCCTTTACCAAACCAGGTTCCTGTTTTGTTGATGTTCCTGATCAGATTACCGTGCTGTTCAGTGTCAGGGAACTGAATCTGTGTCTGGCCACCCAGCGGTGGAGTGTATAGCGCTCATGATAATCCACAAGCAAAAAATTATGATTCTGGAAAAAGGCTTCCTGATGATCCCTCCTAGCTGCGCTTGGTCAGTTTCCATCGCCGCCGCAAGCGCCCTTCTGCTCGTGAGGTACCTGGGCAGCATGACCCTCAATGGCAATCTATGTCTACTCCGCAGCATGCATGTGACTCGCACTCAGGGCAGTGAGCGAAAGCAGCTCCATGGAAGCGCCAATTGCATGCAGCATTCCCGTAAGCACTCCTCTTCCACCCTTCAGAGATCTTGGCAGCGGTTTCCCCGGTAGTTCGCCACACGGTCCAAGCCATCACACTGCACGTCTCTGGCGCAGTGAGCTCAAAGCGGCATTCGGCATTTAAACGAGCGGCATAGTGACCATGCCACCCGAGCTTCTTTTTGTGAAGTGCATCTTAAGCCGTGTACTTGTGAAGGTGTGGAAGGCTTCGTACCTGGCGTACTCAGCTTGGCGCCATAGTTTGCTTCCCTAAAACAAATGCAATGAAGGACCTAAACAAGGCCATGGTGGCAGTCAAGCTTAAAGCTCCCAGTCCTTGTTGCTCGTCAGCAGGACATTGCTGTCGTGTAAGTACGGCCGAGCGATTGGCAAGGCCAGCAACTTGGTTGCCGCACTGCGCTAGGCACAATACTAAAGTAAAGAAGTGGGAAGGTTTCAAAACACACAGACGCCGCAGGAGGAGACCCGAGCACCTGCGTCGATGTGCTATGCTTTGTGCGCGACTCGACAAGGGCAAGGCGTTCAAATACGCGGTTCCGCTTTGCACCCATTTTGCCAAAGCGCGTACCGTGTGCGTCTGCCGGCTTGATGACGCCTCTCCGCTTCTCTAATGACAGAACTCTGATGTCACGGGGGCGAGCCATTAGGTAGTACTGCCTACTTTGAGGGTCCCTAAACGGTGGACTCGTAGCGTCTGCAGTTTGTCGCGTTCCCCGTCCGGCGTTTTGAACTGGCACGAACACTTTAAATTAAGAGCGTGCTCCCTACATGTGAACTGATTTGTGTATGTGAAGAAGAATATTGCTCTCGACTTGCAGTGCGGGCGGTGTAAGAAACGTTTTTACCCGTGCGCTCTCGCCTTCAGGTCCAGCAGACACATGTGCACAATGGAAACGGGAGCCAACCAGTCATCCCTGAATAGGCCCGCAAAGATGAAGAGTGCGAGTCCGGCACAGGTAGAACGACATTCAGAAAGATATACAAACACCAGCGTGGTCCTGCTCAAAACAGCCCAAGACAAGACACGGAGCTGTTGTCTCCCAGAGGCGGATGCAACTTTCTATTGAATTGGTGGCGTCCAAGTGAGCTCCAAAAAGAGACGCACGAAGCAAAGCACGGCATCAGTACTGTAGGTGATGGCGCCTTCTGAAGGCACATAGCGCCAGAAAAGGACCGTCCGTTATCACAGTGACTTGACCTCTCGCTCTGTATGTACAGAAGGGGCGCAGGTGCATCCACCAAAGCCCCCAAACCACAATTTTCTTTTCTCTGTGATCACGAACGGGCCCTAATGGCACTCAGAGAGCTAGCAGCAGACGTGCTAATAGGTGCACAGGCAGGATCAGCACGAGTGGGTAGCCGAACAGGAGCGCAAAAATCTTGCTGGTAGATGAGCGCTGCAAGCGTGGACCCTAGAAGCAGTCGTCAGGCATGTCAGAGAGGCTTGCAGTAAGAAGGGCTGTCTTCCGATTCATGCGTTTGATCGAAATGCTCGCCGTTTCCTGTTCTCTCGTTGCTGTGGATGCTGCTGCGCTTGATTGAGGCGGCATCTCATTCGGGCAGCCTGCCGCGGCCGTTCTCAGGATATGCCGCCACAGCTGCTTAATCCCTGACCCCGTGCGTGCAGACACAACGAATACAGGAACCTCATGCTTCCTGAGGAACTGCTGTTGCTGCGTCTGTTGCGACGCAAGCTGCTGCTGCACGTGCTCTTGGTCGTGCTCGAGCTTCGGCAAAGCTGCTTCTCTACAAGGGGCTTCCAAGACGTCCTCGGGGGACGCTCTGCCACTCGGATCCTTGTGCCCATTGCTGTGAATCATTTTTCTTTGCTGCTCCAGCAACAGCTTCATTCGCAATTGCAACAAGTGGGGAGACAGCGCGATCCGGCGGTACCGTGAGAGGTCTTCGATCAAGTCCTACCAACCAGCCACACGAGCACACGACGCGAGTCTTGCATCGAACCTTATACCGCCCATAAGTAGATGCTTCGTGCGCTTGCGTTGGGATGCAAGCCTGTATGCATTCTCTCTCAAAGTCACAGGCACAAGGGAGAAGTGGCATTAAGGACAGCAACTGCAGGATGCAGATAGGCGAGCCGCAATAGGTCGGGCTGCTGAGATGACAATGCAGGAATCTCGCAGGTGCACGGGTAGAAAAGCAGCCAGCGAAAGCACCCTAAAGTACAGCGATCTCTACAGAGAAGAAAACCGCAGGACCGACTTGAAGGAAATGCACAGAAACACAGCAATAGGAGGAATCGTGAGAGCTGCACCATAAACGAACCGTCAGTTGCGTCGCACTGAGCTGGTCTTCCTTCGTCACCACCAGCGTTGTCAAAATTCTGTTTTGTTGCAGGAGCTTCAACAGAGCAACATCATGAGACCCCAGGCCCCTTCTTCCATCCACAAGCAGCAGCATGTGCTGCAGCGCCTGTTGCATGTCTTGCCTACGGCTCACATACACCTCGAGCGTACGAGAGATTTGGTGCGCCTTCTCTGGTGATATGCCCTCCGTGTATCCATACCCTGGGAGGTCCGTGAGGACTAAGGCCCCCCGTCGAAGCAGTTGCTGCTGCTGCTTCTGCTGCTGCTTCTGCTGCTGCTTCTGCTGCTGCCTGTTTTCGTGCGCTGCGGCGGAAAAACTAAAGAGGTAAAAGTCGATGGCCTGTGTTCGTCCAGGTGTGCGCGAGGAGCGTGCGTGTGGCTGTTTGTTGCTGCTGTTACCGCTGCTGCATAGGCGGAAGAAGGCATTCAAGAGGGAGGATTTTCCAACGTTGCTGCGGCCTGCAATGGCGATTTCGGGAAGCTGATGCTGCTGGAGGACGCCCTCCACCAGCTCTTGCAGCAGCCGCTCCCGCAGGGTGTGCCTCGTTGTTGATGTACAAGAGGACAAGTCATCGGCATCTCCACCTGCATCCTGAGCTGCAGCAGAGGTAAGGGGTGGGTGGAGGAAGAATTCGTGTGCAGCGGTACCGCCTAGAGAATCTTGCAGTTTCTGCGTGGGCAGTCTTCTTCCTGCACCGCTGCTTGCGTCTTGATCTACAGTTCGCACAGCTCTGGGAAGCGCCTTCTCGCGAAGCCGCTCTTGCTGGCCGCTGGATTCTGCCGGCAACAAAAGGGACCCCAGGAACGAGGGCACCAGGCGGCTGGTGTCTGCTGTATTCAGAAGCTGCTGTAAATTGTACGCGCCGCCGTGGATGCTGGCTCTGCTGCTTGAGAGTGCAGCTGCGATAGGCATACCCAGGATAGGCTTGGCGGAAGACTTCGAACTGGAATTCTGCAGACACCAAGGAGCGCTGCTCTCCCAGGGGGCGTCCACTAGGAGGCCTGAAGCACGCTTTCGCAAAGGCCGCTTCTCCGTTTCACCCGGATTTCGGGGGGCCCCTTGGGGGGCCCTTTTCAATCGAGCCGGTGGGGGCTTCCCGCAGGACCCTCCTCTCCCGCGTGCTGCGGCAGCAAGCGTCGCTCGCCGGGGGGTTCTTGGGGGCCCCCTCACGGAAAGAAAGGCAGCAACGGAGCACCTAGGGGGGCCCCTCGGCAGGGGCCTTCGCGTCGAGAGGCCCCTGCGAAGACACCCGGAAGACAGAGCAGGGAGAGCCGACAACAGCAGCAGCAACAGCAACACCAGCGGGTGTTGCCGCAGCATCGCGTACATGTGGCCACATGTATTAAGCACTTACCCAGGGGATTCTTTGGCACTGCTTCACTGTGGTTGCATGAGTGTATCCCCTAGTTTCAAGCCTAACCCCCAAGAACCCTCGGCCGGGGGCCTCCTCCCCCATGGTATGGCACAGTGTCGTTTTCGTACATCTAAACGCCTTCTCGCAAAAGCGCCTCGACGAAGAAGCCAAGTGTAGAGCTTCTTGTTTCCTCTGGTGCTCGCGTATATTGATCAGGCACCGCCGTCCGGCGGGGGGCCCCTACAGGGGCCCCCCGCGTCGTGCCTCCGGTCTCACCAGCGCAAGGGGCTTTGTCCCCCTTCTTCCCAACTTCCTAGTACTTCCCTTCCATTGAGGGCCGTTTTCTTCTGCTTAATTCTGAAGTACTGTGGATAAGATGTACCCAGCACCGCAATTGCAGTTCCTCATGCCTAAGCGATCAAAAGTTTGGCTCAACCCCCCGAAACCCCCCAACTCGATTGCTTACATCACTCAAATCACACACCTCTCACACACCACACCTTAAGCTTCGTGCCCCTCCATTCGCGACCTGTAGGCAAAGCAAATGACCTCAAGGCCCCTTGCCGTCCGTGCTGAGCTGCCTCAGTTCCTGTCTCTGCATCTCCTGCAGTGTTGTTGTGCTTCTCGCTGTGCGTTTCTGGTGTGCTTTGGATGCTTCGTACGCCTGCCCTTGCTTTAAGGCCATTTCGGCTTTAGAGGCTTGCACCTCCATGCTGCCTTCCCTCCTTCTCGGCCTCCGCACCTTTATCTGTACAGACAAATAGCCACTTCGTTTCAGCTTGCTTCTGTCTGACTGCTTACGATAGCCCCTGCCCGCATGCTCCAATCACGGCATCTGTAATCCAGTCCACTTGCGCGGTGATCCTGTTCGAGTCAGAGGGCGCACCGCAGAGCGCGGTCGGCGCCTTCAAGCAAGGCTCCACTTTAAAGCATTCTACAAGGAGACACAAAAAATTGACCCTCGAACCAGCACGAAAACTCAACAGGGTTGCTGGGTTTCCTCCTAAAGTGCTCCCTTTCCCCTCTTCTTCTTGCTTCCACCCAGCTGGCCCTCCGCACGACAAGAGAAATTGACAACTTAGTGGTTTATGCGCGTTGCTGCACACTGTGAGCACTACTTCGAGCATTCACACCTCTTTGAAGAATAATATTTAGAGCGCATGCACACAACGTTGATGCTTATCGTATCGAGCTACCTCAACTCTGCAGCACGTAAGAGATAGGAGCAGCTACACCAAACAGTCAAGTTCTTCATTGCATGTAACACACTCTGTCAAAGGAATTGGCGCAAGGTGGCGTAGCCAGCTACAGTGCCTGCAGCCAAATTGTTTGTCCTCTCTCTCGTTCCACGGTTCGCCGCGTCACGAAACCAAAAGTTTCTCCACACGAAGGCAATAGTGCGCGGAAAGCAGTTTAGAGAGCAAGCGACGCTTTTGTCACGGCAGACGCTAGACAGCGGTGCAGAGAGTGGCGATATGTAGATGCATAAAATGTGCAACAGCCGGGCAGCCCCGTGAGCCTCCAGGGAGGTGTAACGCGCGCGGTGCATTTGAGAGCCCAGTGGGCAGGAATAAAAGCGCACAACCACCGCAGAGGCAGAAGTTGGCAGAAAAAGGGGTGCCGCAAAAACAGCCAAGCACATGTGTACAGCAAGGTGTAAGAAGGGTGGGCAGAGCGATGCCGCATTCACAGCAGCGAAGTGGGCGCGCATAGAAAAAAACCCTCTCTTCTGTGGAAACGAGGTGCCAGAGGGAGGGAGATGAGGGAGCTCTATTGCGGAGAGAGGGCCCTAGCGCGCAGATTAGAGGAAGCACTAGTCCTTATACCCTTCCTATCCTCTGTGGCCCCTTCACCTGCTCCGCGTGTCGCCTTCCGATGGTCTCTTTTACAGCCGAGCGACTCTTCTGAAAGGCTTCGATTCGAAGAGGCTGGACACTACCGCCGGACTCACAGCAGCAACACTGCTAGGCTCCCTGCGAGGTAAAACACGCCGCAAAAGTCGAGTGAGCCAATGCATTAGGAAGGCAGTAAGAAGAGCCATCTACATGCATCTTTGGTGTCTAATAAGTTGCGCGTGCAGCGTGCTGTTGCGGCGCGCAAGGGTAGAGACTGCGATTTGACGGTTGTCGTCTGCCCATCAAAGCTCTGATGATACCACTTTGGCTTCTTATCTTTGTCGATAAGGAGGGCTCTAACGCCCTCCTTGAAGTTCCAACTATGGGCAGCTGCCATCATATTACACATTAGGTTCAGTTCAATATTTAAGGCCTCCCGCAGCAGTTGCAGCCGCTGCAGCGGGAGTTTCTCGTGCTGCGGCTGCCTCATCGAGGAGAGGGAGGCCCTTGATGTTTCTTGAGGACAGCCTGGATCTGGCGTTTCCACGAGCACCCCTGCCGTGGGTGGTCTTGTTGCTGTTGCTGCCGCCGCTGCTGCAGCTTTTGTCGCGGCTTCTGTTGCAGCTTCTCTCGCGCGAAGAGCTTTGTACGTGACAACGAGAGAAAGTGGGCACGCGCGCCGTAGTTTTTCAAGCGCCTTTCGGCACAAGGCGCAAGTGTCCGATCCTTCTTCGAGCGCGGCCATCAAACTCTGCGCGCAAAACGCGGAAACCTCTTTTCTCTCCTTTAAAAAAAGCTGCTTGCAGACCCTTCCCACCCCGCTAGAAGTGCGTTTCCGTCCAGCACGGCTCGCCTCTAAGGACGCAGGATTCGCAAAGTAGGCCTCAAGGAAGGAGAGAAACGACGCTGTGAGCAGTCGGCTGCATTCAAGAGGCCTCGCCAGAAAACCAGCCGGGCAGCTTTCCGGAGAAACACTCAATGCTGTCAGGCGTTCGGATGCCCAAGCCTTAGGCTCCACATCCGAAGGGGGCCCCTGCGCCAAATGCACACGGGCTGGATTCGCATCGCGTGATAGAGCGGCAATGCGCTGCCTCCACCCTGCCGCGAAGCAGCCTGCCAGTCCGCAGCCTTGTCGGCAGGACTGCAAGGGTTCGCGCCTGTGAAGTCAGTCGATGCCGAACCTGCCGTAAGAGAGTTATCGCCTCCCCAAGCTTTGCGGAAGGAAGAAAATGAGTGGCGAGTCCTGTGAACGCAGTCGCAGCAACGGACGGAGTCGCATCGGCAGCAGACTTCTTGAAGCACCGCCCCAACAGACACAGAGCGCCGCAGCGCAGCCTGCTTCCAGTCGTACAGCACGCACAAAACCCGTCTTCTTATGAGGCCTTGAGCTGCAGCTGCGTCGTAAGAGGCGCGGGTGCAGTTCTACAAAGACTTATGTACACGCATGCACGCAGTGGGCTGGAGACAACAAACAGACGGCAAACGATAACAGGCGCAAGGCACCGCGTCTCACCTGTATCCAAGAGGTCCCCTGCCGTGAGACGGTCTCCCGTGAGCGCAAGATAGAGACCTAGCCCTTTAGGATGCAGCTCGGCAAAGGCCTGCGTCATGCCTACATCCGGAAAAAGGCCAATATGCACCTGAAACAGAAGAGCAGCACCCCCTGCGGCAAGCTGTTTGTTTGCTTCCACATGCAAAGGACGCCGGCAGACAGGAAACGAGGGGGGCGCAGCCTCGGCAGCAGTTGCAGCGGTCTATGCAACAGCAATAGCTGCAGCGGTATATGCAACAGCAATAGCTGCAGCGGTCTATGCAACAGCAATAGCTGCAGCGGTACATGCAACAGCAATAGCTGCAGCGGTATATGCAACAGCATTAGCTGCGGGAGGAGAAGAGGAGCCTAGAGAATCCGCATAAACGCCAAGAAGCGCAGCCCCTCAGAAGCGATGCAGACAACGACAGGCGTGCCCTACTTCTGGCATTGCAAATTGCGTGCGTTCTGTGCAAACGCGGAGGCCTCCGTGGACTGTGATGCCAACCCCCCCGCCTGCAAATGCGAAGGAAGCAGCACACCCCGCGCAAGATCACTCCCCCCCCAATCCTTGTTTCCGCATGTGCACGTCTGGCGAGGCAGAGGGTTTATTGTTCAGCAGTTCCAGTGAGCTATGGCGTTTCTTCGGACGCACCAAAGACGATGCCGTTCCATAGGGCGACCACTGAAAGGCCCCTTTCTTCGGCAAGAAGTAAGTCCAGCGCGTATTCTTGCATGAAAAAGGCCACGGCGGCTGCCTCCCCCCCTTCAGCAACGGCGCGCACATCTCCGCCTGACACCGTACACCCCAGAAGCAAAGCCGGAGTCCGCATGGCTACACAGCGAACAAAGAAAAGCGGCATCGAAGGAGGGCAGCAAAAGCCCCAAAAATTCCCTCAAACGCGGCTGCCTGCGCCCATACAAAGGCCTCTCGGGAGATCCTTTATTTGCGTGCCGTGTGGGCAGCCAGAGCCTCCAGATCCCCGCATCGTGCCTGCCTTCCCGCCCTTAGTAGCACAGTTAGCTGCCCTTGTGGCGGCTGCTGCCGCCTTCGCACTGGCTGTCCCCTGATGATGTCTCTCGAGAGAAACATGGCTTCCGGCAAGACTTGGGAGCAGCGTGCGAAAAGACGCCTTACCCGCGCAAAAGGCTCGGGGACCCTCCCCTCGAAGGATGACGAGGCCTTTCTCATTCTGCCTCTGCTGAAAGAACTGAAACATTTGCTGCAGCATTTCCAACGACAACGCGTTAAGGGCCTTGGAGCGACACAGGGTGAGTGTGTACACCGGAAGGCTGCTTGCCGAGTTTTGAACCTTCTCTAGGACGATTTCTCCGCCGCCTCTCGGCATTATCGACACGGGATGATGGGGTTCGCACTGACACTACAGCTGTAGCTGCTGCAGGTGCCCTCAGGCCTCGCAAGGGGGCTGCCGCTGATCGTGGGAGGCACACTGGGGAAGCGCGGCAAGGGCGCTCCAACAGAAGGCAACAACGGCGTGCTTGGAGGCTGCCACTGCCGCGGCAGTGTGCGCCCTTGCACGCCTGCAGGAGGCGTGGAAAGCCACAAGAAGCCTCCAATGGAGGGCCTCTGCGCTGGAGACCTAGGGGAGAAGCACAAAAGCCTCTCATAGGCACTCGCGTCGATGGCGTCGTCGCAGCTCCCCCGTTTATCTCTCGGGGGGCAGTAGTGGCAGGCACAGTCCGCCGGCCGGTAGATGTCGAGTCAAGAAACCCTGACAACTAGAAGACGCGAAGACCTACATACATGTACATACACACATATTCGCACACATGTGCATGGACACCTACATATGCATACTGCATATATATATACACTACATATACATATACACACTACACATACATATGCATACTGCATGTACATATGCACACTACATATACATATGCACACTACATATACATATGCATACTACATGTACATATGCATACTGCATATGCATATACACACTACATGTACATATACACACTACATATACATATGCATACTACATGTACATATGCATACTGCATATGCATATACACACTACATGTACATATACACACTACATATACATATGCATACTACATATACATATGCGCTCACTACATATAGATATACATGTACATTCATACACATACAGGTATTCATGTACATATATACATAATGCATACACCTACATGTACGTACTACATCTGCAAGTCCATGTACATACACCCATATACATATACGTCTCTATACACACATACACATCTATATACACACACATACGTATCTGTACACACATATATCTGTATACCTACATACACATACACATATGTACAGCCATATACGCACACACGCTCTTCTGCGAGCGCACAGACACCTCTACACGTGCCCATGCATATACACAGGCTGACACACACATCCACTCCCCACAGACAGATATTGCGATTCCGGAATGGGGGTTTGAAACTGCATGCGGCCGCCGACCAACAGCCGTACCGCAGCGCCCGCTGCAGCGCACCCTATAAGGCTACAACTTTGCAAAGTCGCTAAGCGCTGCGCCTCAGTCGCTGGAGTTCTTGTGGTTGAATGCTTGGATAGAGGCAAGGAATTCCTTTAGGATCTAGAGTTTGCGGATTGGCGTCCGCGGTGTACAGGCAGGGCCCTCGCGCGCTCGGAGGGCCCCGCCTGTCCACGCAGCAACAGGGGCCCCCAAGGGCAGACTTCGCATGCTGTTACACAGTTGCCGCCTTCCCCACCCCACAAAAAGCCCAACAGTTGCTGGCGTAGTGCTACACGATGGGCTTTTTGCGAGCCATCCACACGAAGCTCGACACCTCTTACCGCAGCGGGGCCCTCCGGGGAGTATCGTCCTGCTGAAGCAGCTGCAAGCGACGCGTTCAAGACGCCGTGAGGTCTTTTTTCACGGTAAAGGGGCACCTGAATTTCGTGTTTTGGTCGCTGGTGGCCTTACAAGATTCAACACAATGCCGCAGCATCGTAGCAGCATCGGCCACGCCAGGCGCCGCAGCCGCTCCCCAGAGGAAGAAGGATTGCAGCAGGACGAGAGCAGCAGCAGCAACAACAGCAGCAACGACACTAGTAGCAGCAGCAACGGCAGTAGCAGCAACAGCAGGAGCAACAACACCAGTAACAACAGCAGTAGCAGCAGCAACAACAGCAGGAGCAGCAACAATACCACACCTAGCAGCAGGAGGAGCAGCAACAGCAACAAGCCCAAGCACAGCCGCAGCAGCGGCCCTTGGAAGGAGCAACTGCTGCCAGAGGCGCCTTGCGAGACTGTAGATCGTGGCAGCAGCAGAGCGGCTAAAAATGTTGGTAGCACTGAACAAGAGGCGTCAGAACGACGAGCATCAACGCCGGCAGCTGCTCCTTCGGAAAGCGAGAGCAGCAGCAGCAGTGACGATGACTTCGGTAGGCAGGAAAATATGTGGCTGCGTGCGTGGCGGAAAAGGCTAGGCTGCTCTCTTATGGGAGCGCGTGTGCTGCATTCGAGGCCTCCATGCGTTTTGCTGATTCTTGTTTGTTTGAGAAACTTGTTTTTTTTTGCGGCACAGGGCCTAAGCCGATCCTGGAGGCTCCTGGTGCCTCCAAACGGAAACGCCGGAGGCTGCGGTGCGAGAAGTTGCTGCTTGACCAGCTGCCAAGCGCGAACAAATACACCAAGAGCTTCATGCACAGAGATCAAATCATCTTTGGTAAGTTGTACCGCAAAAAGGCCTCCTGAACGTAATTTGTAGAGAGTTCGTGGACGCTGTGTTCAGAGGAGGGGAGGGGAGGGTTTGCCGCTGCACCTAGCAGCGATGTGTGGGGTGTTGCATTTCCATGTGCCCACACAGTCTGACGTTGCGCATGTATAGCGAGACGCGAGGGGCTTCGGCGTTGCTGCTGTATCCCTTCTGTCATAGCGGCCTTCCTCTGGCGTCGCAGGAGAGCTTGTTGCGTGCTTTCGACTGCGGCTGTTGAATGTTTGCGCCGCGGGGGGAGGCTCTGTGCGTACAGTGGTTGCGGGTGAAGGCCATCGCTTTATTCTAAGCGGCTCAGTAGATGGCCATGTGAAATTTTGGATCCAAAAGGAAGAGGGCGTCGAGTTCGTTAAACACTTCAGGGCCCATGTTGGTGAGCTGTAGAGGCAATGCCAGCGGTTTAATTGCGGCTGGCCAAGCTGCTGAGTGAGCCACTGTGTGTGTGGGTATATATATATATATGTATATATATATATGTATATATGTATATGTATGTATATCACACATACACATACATACATAGATAGTCGCCTACATACATACATGCATGCATACACCTATGCACCTACGCACTTGTACACGCATACACACTTTTACACATACATCATACATTCGTGCTGCTTCTCATCTTTGCTTCCCTGCTTGGCAATCGATATGCCTTGTTAGCGGCTGTGCCGGCTGCGTGCGGCTCGGCCTGTCTCTTCCTTTGAGATTTGCGGGTAAACTCTGGAAATGCATGTCGGGAGGAATCTTTGCGCGTCGGATGCATGGGTGTAGCAGTATAAATTGTGGCGTTGCGTATGCGTTCTGGCCATCAGGAGAGCTTCACTGTCTCTGCATCTCTAGAGAAGACGGTGGCAATCATGCGGCGTCTGTAGGGGCCGACAAGACTTTGAGGGTGCGTTGCCGACACGATACGCGTCTATATACCTCCTCAGGAAGGGCTGCCGTGGTTTGCGGGTTGAAGAATATGCTGCACGTTTTGTGAGAGACGCTTCATGAATCTGTCACGGTGTGGGAAATCCCCTGTGGGTTCTGTACACTGCGGGCTGCGCCATCTTCTCCGCACCGCAGGCAAAGGGGCAAGATATCTTCTGAATGCACAGGTGATGTCTGTGTATGCGTCTTGCGCTATTAGATATTCGACGTTTGCAACTTTGACATGGCTTGCCTTGTGAGTCTGGACTTTGTTCCTTGGGCATGCGAATTCGTTTCCAAGAAAGGAGATCCGACGCCGCTTGTTGCAATGTACGGACACCCGAAGCTTCAGGCTCCGTCCTTCTAGAACCCTGCCCTTTTCGCGGCTACTATCTTGTAGATCTGTTGGGGGAGAAGGAGAGGGAGGGGAAGGTGGGGCGGAGGTTTTTTTTAGGATTCCTGAAACGCGCTGCATGCTGTGCCTGCTCTATATAATCCATTGCATGACAGAAATCTACGCACTCCGCGCTGCATTGCACGAAAGTTGAAAGCCTGCTCACTTATTTGTCGTCCATGCAAATATGAAGCTACGATGAGCACTACCGCACTGCGCATGCGCTTCAGATCAGACAAAGACAGTTCCAAAGTAGTGATCCTGAAGCCGCTGTTGCACGGAAGCAGGGTCATGGTTTCATTCACGCTGCATTCGGCACCTGTCCGGCTTCTTGCCCACGTAGGGCAGTCCGATATATGTTTTTCTGGCGACAAAGAGGGAGGGCTGGAACTATGGAGCATTGAAACGGGGCGAAGAGTTACGAAGCAAAGCCACCCAGAGCATATAGACTTCGAATTCAAGACGGATACTCATCTCTTTGATCTACAGAGGGTGGGTGCCGCGCGCTGATCTTGAGGAGGTTTTATTTTTGGGGGGGGTCCTCTTGTCAGTGTTTCCAGTCCTACCTACAGCGTAATGCTCATCTCTCTGTAGACGGAGAGAACAGCCGGTCAGTGTAAATATGTGTCTCAAGTGCCGTGCTGTGGCCTTTCTTTTACAAGCCGACCGCAGATAGTGGTGTTGCTAAAATCCGTTTAAGGAGGGAACAGTGCGCGTCTCACACTCCCAGAAAAAAAACGAGGTGGCTTACTACGGTGTCGTCTGTGGGGGTGTGCGAGTGTGTGTGCGCGTGGGTGTATTCTTTTGTACGGTTGGCGCGCAGTCGTGCCGAGAGACCTTTTGTAGTCTTGTATTGCCGTGCACCTTTTTCGCTATGCTCTGCTGCGTCTCAGAACGGAACTGTGCCCTTGTCGATTGCCGCGAGTCCGAACAGCAAATGGCTGGCAGTCTTTGGCTCCGACTATCATTTGAGGGTCTTCAGCGTTCGCAAGGCGAGACTCTCCCGCGTATATTTGGAAACCTTGCAGGTAGGCAGAGGCGATGACGACATTTGGCGGGCGTTCGCGCCGGTGTACTTTGTTTTTCGGCAGTGCCACTTGAGTGGTGGCTGTCGATTTTTTATTATGTACTTGGTGCCGGGTGTGTAACGCCCCCGAATCAGGACTTACGTCGCCTTTTTCCACTCTGCTGGATTCGCGTGTTTTCTGCGTGGATCGGGCAGGTGCGAATAGGCTAGGCGGCTGTGGCGGTACACTGTATGAAGGGGGGCTGCGGTGTCTGTGCGACGCTGCTTATGCCTGCGTTCGCAGTTTTACGAGATGGCTCAGAAAGATCCTCAGTGCACTCTGTTGCATCAGGACGCTTTGGACTTTGAGCAGCGCGCGGCACTGGAGAGAGACCTGAGCCGCTCCCCCCTGCGCTTTCACCAAAGCCTTATCTTTGACGCCTCCTCCTCTTTTCTCCTCTATCCAGTGCTTCTGGGGGTCAAGGTTCTCAATATCCTCGACAACAGAGTGCGCAATCGGGCCGTTTGGGAGGGCGGGCGAAGGACGGGTGCCGATCTGGCGATTTGACCTTGTTGCACAAGACAACCAACAGCCTTGCGGCGTTCATGTCTAGCGTTTGGGTGCGGAAAGGCTAAGAGAGCTCGTGGGGGGGAGGGGCTGACAGCTGCGGCTAGGCGCTTTGTCTCTCTTTTCAGGTGTGCCGTATCATAGGGCGGCATGAACAGGGCCTGCGGTATTTGGCGATCGCGCTGCAGCAGCCATGCTCTACACGCGTAAGCTCTTTGATTGTCGTGCCTTGCTTGGCCCTCTTTAGAGCTGCCGCCTGAACCGATTGTTTGTGCGCTCTGACTTTGCGCATTGCGCTGGTGTGGTGCTGCGTTTATATGTGTCAACAACCAAACTTTTTGTGCACCAACATGGGTATGCGCGTATTCTTGCTTGCGGGTACGACAGAGGGTCGCTAAGCCCACAGACGGGAAGACGGATGCGGTCCTCGTCGCTTCTGCCTTCAAGAAGAAGCGGTATGTGTCTACAGTTGGGGTCTGGACGTATGTGCTTTGGTGCCGCCTCGCTTGCATCACAAGAACACCTTGCTCCAACGAGATTCCTCATCCCTCAAGGCACCGCTATGAAGGTTCAAAGCGGGGGCGTGCCGTGCGTGTCCTTAGGGTGTACTTCTTCACGCCGGAGGCCCCCTCGGACGATATTCTTGACACGCGTGATGTCTTTAACGAAAAGCCCTCCAAGGAGGAACTTGAATCGCTCAGTGGTAAGAGGCAGTGTGTCAGGAGTCGCAGCTGGCGTGGCAGAGGATTGGGGTTTGGGCGCTTTGGGGAGTCGCGATATCCTTTTGCTGCATTTTTTTGCGAGCAGAACTTAGCTGTAATCCGGGCTGGAGGTATTCGAGAGACGTTGGCTTCCGCATTTGCGCACGCATTCCAGAGTTCACATGTGCAAGACTTGTGTGAGTGCGTTGCAGCCGCCTCCGGCGCGTCCGCCATTGCACCTGCTCAGCGCTTGGGTGCCACTGCGACTTTGCACACGACCTTTGGAGATATCCGCGTTAAACTCTTTGGAATGGAGTGCCCCAAGACGGTCGAAAACTTCACGGTGCATGCAAGGAATGGCTATTACGATAACATGCTCTTCCATCGCGTCATCAAAGGCTTTATGATTCAGACAGGAGATCCTAACGGAGACGGCACTGGCGGTGAGGGGTGCCTCGCCCTATTCTTCATGCGTCGGTTGCTTTCCCCTTTTAGTCTTAATGTATGCGTTCCTCATCTCGTGTGAAGCTGGCTGCGTGCGGGTTCCCTGGATGCTTCCAAGTACTTGCGTGGCGTAGTGGGAGGCATGTAGGCATGCAGCCCGAAGGACCGCCTGCCTCAACTCTCCGCTTTCTGCCCCACCTCCTGTGCCTGCATGCTGGGATGCATCTGCAGGCGAGTCTATATGGGGAGGCGACTTCGAAGACGAGTTGCATCGGTCTCTAAAGCACGACCGACCCTTTACGCTGTCCATGGCGAACGCTGGGCCCGACACGAACGGCTCTCAATTCTTTATCACCACCGTTCCTTGTCCATGGCTCGACATGAAACATACCGTCTTTGGCAGGGTCACACACGGGGCAGACGTCGTCTTGAAGATCGAAGGTGTAAGTCTGCCAAAATCATGCATATGTCTTGAGATGTATCATTTGCACAGACACCAACCCTCTTTTGCCCTATGCCGTGAGAAACTGTGTCTGACATTACCAGCGCACAAGTAAAGGATGGCCTTTTTGAACCTATGTTCGGGAAGTACTGGGGAGCCAGCGGCTGGCTACCGAATCCTGAGACCCCAGTCTGACCGGCCTTTGTGCAGGCCCTAGATAGAGTATATGTGGCGAAATATTTCTGCAGGTCAAAACGAATCAGAACGACAAACCTGTGCAAGACGTGAAGCTTCTTACCATAAAGATCACCTCGTAGAAAGGGTTCAGACACCCCACGCTTCGACGCGAGGGGCCTTAGACATAATGTTATGAAGAAAGGGAAGGGTTCAGCGTCGGTTTCCTTCTGGCAAGAAGTCAGAAGACAAGGGCTACTGCAGCCTAAGACCGTTTGCTGGAGCGATTCGGCGCTCAAGCAGAGGGACACACATGTAGAGTCAATCCGACAAGAAGAGTAAAGGCAAATACTTCTTGTATTTGCAAAACGTATGCAGTTTATATGTGCATGCTCAGTACGTGGAGGCATACGAATGCATTTTTAAAGCTTGCAAGAATGCGTATGCATAATTGTATGAATTAATTTAGATGGGGGTGTGATTGCGTAGTAGGGAATACAGAATCCAGGGATGCGCGGGCGCCATATTTCATGTTTGCATCATTGGGGCAAACAGGGGTATAGAAATAGGGGAAGCGAGGTAGGGGAACGGGGAAGGCACGCTTATCTTTCTACTGCTAAGGAAATTAACACATACAAAGATATGTGCTGGGCAGGTTAGTCCCCTTCGCAAGGCAGATACCGAATTTTAACGCGAAGAGGGCGCGCGCAATCCATAGAAGGGACTGCATGCGCGTATTGCCGGTACGCGCATATCTCATATCTCTAGGACTAGCGCCCAGGCAGCCCCCCATTCTGAGAGTTCGCTCGACAGCGCAGTCGCATGAAGCGAAACGTCAGAGGCAGCCCATTCTCGGGTGTGCACAAGCCCGAGACTACGTGCAATGTACCCTTCTACGCACAGGGTATTACTTTGGTCTGGGCCTACAAGTGAACGCTAGCCCAGACAAGCGGTTTTGAGCGTAGACACTGCTTGCTGGAGTATTCAATAAAATCCTACACTTGATTGCGGCCAGCAACGCTTCAATGCGCTCATGCGTATCCCCCGTCTTGTTGGCCCTCGGCATGTTAACCCGAGGCGGATCTAAAGAAACATGTATCAATCTCTGCACGTTCAAAATGTATCAGCATCTGTGCATGTGCGTCAATGAGTGCATGCATGCACGTCTCCAGCTTTGACAAGGATATACTCATGCATGCTTGATTACTCAATGTATCTGATTGCAGTTCGGCTCGTAGTTCAAGCGGGGGCGTCAGTTTCTGTGGACCTAACCGGTAGACCGCCTCCATGTTGCATCACGTGCATCTAGAACCAAACGCGAGTGAGTCTCTTTGTCAAGATAAAAACATTATTACTTTTAGTTTGGGCTTACAAAAAGATTCAGACCTGCTGTTTTGGCCAGCCGCTTTAAAAACTGCGGCGTTGTCACTGAGCAGCGGGGTATGTGCAGGCGTATGCCCGTTGCCTACGCGGAAGTAGGACTTGGTCAAAGTCAGTATGTTCATAGACGAATAGAGGCTTTTATGCCATCCACGTGCAGGTGTGCGTGTGTATGAAAGCAGCTCAGCTCAGCAGCTAAGAATGCACAACTCGTTTTGAAGGCATACAGCAGAGAGCCACAAAATTGTGAAGGCGCACTCTGCTGCGATGCACGCATGCACGCATGTATGTATTTGTTGTCCGAGTACTGTCGAATTCTCACCGTATATATATGTGTATATGTGTAGAGACATTTATTATACCTACATGAAGGGAATCTTATGTATGTAGCCGTAAGAGTGCACATCGCTCTGGACAGCCCAAATTTTTGTTGCATGCCGTACACCGACTGCACAAGAATGCAAGCCGAGGGGAGGGGCACATGCGTCTCTGGCGCATTCTCCCCAAAAGTGCTTTGTCCTCCCAATTGTGGGCGCCCACCAGCAAAATTCGGAATGTTTGAGCTGTTGCTCCTGTTGCTGTTGTTATTTGCTGTTGCTGTTTACCGTTGCTGCTAAATCTCCTGCTTCTCTTGCTGCTCCGCCTTGGCTTTGGCTTGTTTTTTGTTTGCCTATGGCACAATGGGGTGTGATGCGTCACCTAACAGGCCGCACTGGCTACCATTCCCTCTGCTAGTAATAAGAAAGGGAAAGCTGCGGGTGGTTGTTTGTTCCGGTCGGGAACGGCTCCCGATCTCGGCTTGCACTACCATGGAAGGGGCATCACCAGCGGGTGCAGCTTCAGTTGCCTACATCCCTGACAACTCCCTCGAGTTGCGTTGTTTGTTGCGCCTGATTTGCTTCGTTTCCTTTTAACTCGACAACGCCTTTCACAGGACATCGGCAAGTCGGACAGAGGCCACTCCTGCATGCACCGGCACCCTCGCGCATGTGTGTAAAAGCATAAATGCATCTACTAACGCATGCACGAGCACGCACGCATGACAAACTTGTCCTGGGCACCTCTGGAGCGTCGCCAGTAGCAGCCGCACTAAGCGGTATTTTTCGGTGAATTACCTGTGGAAGCACGTCTGTGCGCAAGCAAAGCAGAGGCCGCCATGTCCGCAGAACAAGAGGACGGCACTTGCCTTCTGTAAAGCCCCAGCAGCAAACACATAGGACGCAGCGCAGCTTCGCATGCTGTGCAACAAGGGCATGTGTCTATGCGGCAGTCAGTGCAGGCACACTTGGAGCTCATGTTGAATGAACCACGAAAGCGGGCGCTGAGTAGACACACAGAACTGTGAACGGCGGGATTTGGCAACCGATGAGACCGCCCTCAATCTTTGCAAAGCACGCTACAATGGCCAAGCGTTCGGCATGCACGAAGCAGCTTGCAGTGTATGTATAGAGAACAGGCACGGCCGCGAGTTTTGCATGTGCAAAAGGAGTTGTGCGCACATTGTTGCAGCAGATGATGCACAGCTCTGCTTCGCGTTGTGGGGCCTCCTCGGCTTCTCCAATAGCGACAGCCGCTTGTGATGCAGCATCTGCATGTGCTGCTGCTGTGGGTACTGTGATGAGGCCTTCGACTCCCTCATGCATGCCCGTCTCTGAGCTCTCCGGATTTGGTCCCTGCGCGAGGCTGATTTCACCTTGCGGGGAACCTTCCCTGGAAGCATTTTCGGAGATTTTCGAGCCTCTCTCCTGGGCAGTACGCCCGCTCTCGGTTGGTGCGTTCCCCGGCAACGGCTGCTCTGCCACGGCTGCCACTTCTCCCGGCTCTTCAGGGGACCCTCGTATCTTGTAGAAGTGCTCGCTGACCCTCTCCAGCGTCAGCTTCATATCGCACATGAGGGGAGGCCCCATGGCGGCAGCAGCTGCTCTAGCTGTTGCTGCTGATGAGGAGACGAGACCTGCGGGGGCCCCCTGGGAGTTGGCACCCTGCTCTACGTCGTATGCAGTGGCCTGCGTGTGGTTGGCCATGAAGCAGACGGATACAAAGGCGGCGAAAAGCAGCATCAAGAAGAAGCACACGACGCCAGAAGACACGAATATCACAAAGCGCGTGTTGAGATGTGCAGAGAGCCACTGGGAGAGAGAAACAACGAACAAAAGGAAGGCGACCGCATGAATTTCGGACATGTGGACAAGAACGCGCGTGACGGTGTTTTGCTGCAGTAGCGAGTCCCTCAGGAGCATCAGCCCCAGCAGCAGGCACCATGACAGGTGAACTGAAGCAAGCACCCAGAGAGGCCAGATGGACGCGTAGTAGTTGGACGTGTAAGACGGGAGAGAAGCATCGGATGGGGCGATAAGAGAGGGCAAGCACAACGTCCCCAGTTGCAGAAGCAGTACCAGATCCCAGCACTGCAAGCGAGCCCATGTGTATGCGTCATTTCTGCGTATATTGAGAATGCTGCTGCCTCCGTAGCCCACGACCGAGACCCCTAGCAGCGTTACCAGAGGCACTCGATCCAGAATGTACAGCGAGTACAGAACAGACAGGGTGAGGCGCGAGAAGATTCCAAACAACAGGATCTCCCGAATTCGTTTCTCCGAAGGAAGTAACCAAGCACGAGAGCGGATGAAACAAGTAATGCCCAAACAAAAGACAAACAAATCGAATGTGATGAGGGGCAGAGGCAGAAATGCCCAGTGCAACTGGGAAGCCCCGCGCTGAATGCAGACTACACCCCACAAGAAGCTTAAGAACAGAGACAGCACCTCAAGGCACACGCCCAGGCAGATGACCGCAACGGTAGCAAGGGGTCCCCTATAGTCATCATACGGGAATAGCAGCCGCGGCTGGAAAAGACATATGCACGGAGGCGGCATCCTAGACCCATTGCTCAAGCAAATAGGCACGAAACTCAGTGTATCGCACAGGTAGTGCAGTTTACTTGGATGGATTAAGTCGATATAAAGGTCTAAGTCCTTTGCTAGGGTGATGATTCGATATAGACACGATGGAAGGATCTGGTGCACCGTTGAGCTGCTTGAGCAACACCAGCAAACAGGACGGAATTCCAAATTTAAACTCTTCAAAACAGTTGGTGAACATTAACTTGCAAATCTGAGAGTGCTGTTGGCCCATGGAAGACGAAGATGCTTTCGCCTTTAGAGCCCCGTATCGGTCAAAGGAGGGGGGCTGTAGGTACGAGCCATGAGCTGGTTTTGCTAGAATTAGTGGGCAAAATATCAAATGAAGCCGTGTGCAAAATCACTTTAAAACATTAGCGCCTCAATAATAGGTAGTAAAGATGCAAGAATAGAGTAATGAGAGCGCGCGTACTCACTTGGTAATACCGTTTTCTGGTATACAAGAGTGAGATAACATCAAGCCCTTGATATTCACCGTGGCGTGGCAGTTCCCAATGCACGAAAGAGTTACACAAATGCACCTCCGTTTGCGACCACTAATGACTGGTGGAACTCGATGATATTTTGTCGGACTTCGGAATCGCTCTAGACATTATACTCTCGAACATGCACAAAGCAACTGGGCTGCATTGCGCAGGAGGGAGAGGACGAACTTCGTTACCTCGACTGATACTCGGGCTCTTCCCGCCGACTCACCAATTAACCGTGAAACACTATACTGTAGGACAATATTTGGGCATAGGCTTCCTCTACACATGTCTATTTCCTTAGCCTTCCAGGGACGAAGACATTCCTGTCCCGTTTCCTGCATCAGAACTAAGGATCGCCGTTTTGTCTTCTTGGTCCTTTTTTGGAGGCGAAGGCATTTTAATTATTAGAAGTCCAAATATATCCGTTATGGGTGTGTGCCTACTACAGAGGCCACTTTACGTCGTAAGTGGGTGCAGCAACTCCTCGCTTCCTGCCTCGCCACACAAACTATGCGGCAGGCCACGAACTCTCCTAACTTATCCAACAACTCCCATGGAATTAATCGTATTATCTCGCGTGCATTACAATAGAAGGGCGGAAACCTGTTCAGTGGACCGATTCGTTGGTTACACTACTGTGCCAACTTAGAGTACAAGGAGATTGCTACTTGACTCGTGTAGTCATACAAAGGGGGACAATGCTACTCGCATTATGAAAGGCTTATCCAAAAGAGGCAAATTGAACTCCTCTATCGAGGGGAGCAGAAATAGAAGTCTTGGAACAAGGAACCCTGAGCTCGAAAATATCTGTGCGGATTCGCCGAATATCTCTACAAATAGGGCTCCGGACGCGCCAGGGTGTTCGTCCAAAACCAGGCGCCACGCGCCAGAATACACCCACAACTGCTCGCCAGTGATAGAGAGATGCAGAGAAATTTTGTGCCACAGTTGGGATCCTTCATAAGGCGAAGGAACAAATTTATTGCTAACGAGCATCTGTAGGGTGAGTCGATGCTCCTAAAAAATTTCATCCTAAATCACTTCATCTTAAGCACTTTATTATACGGTAAGCATTTAACCGCTAGCACTTCTGCGTGAAGATCTACACATGAGAGTACCTTTTGCAATTTTGTGCGTCAAGTTCGAATCTCTCTAACATCGCAGGGGCACCGTATTGAAAACTACTTTCCACGAGAGGGTTGCACATTTTTTGCCCCAGATGTAGCTTTGAAGGTTTATCAAACATTTCACGGATTATGCAAAGAAGATCGTAAAATAGTCGCCGACGTCGAAAGAGATTTTCCATTGAGACCCGACTCGCTCTATGCATAAGGCAAAAGAGGGCGTACTAAACCCCTTTGACAAGAAGTAATTTATACACTTGCGTTTGTGCTTGATGAAGTGGTCTCTTGGATGCTCTATTGGCGGTATTAGTGCCATTATTCGCTGCGGCCAATTCACAGCTCGGTCTCTCCTACATGAAGGTCCTACCGTTCAGCGTCTTGCCAAAAGGCACCATGATATACATTTACAGGAAAGTGGAAAGCAGATGACTGTGAAGCGCTGGTACGGATCTCATGAGCATAAAGCTGTGGAAGGCGTACCGCTCTAATTTTGACGTTCACGGCGAGCCCCATTCTTCCAAACCCAACAAGAGTCTTCGAAGAAAGTTAGGGAGCTGCCCACCAAAAGACTACTTCCAAATTCTGCACGTGTCCCTCAGACTTCCCATTATAAAGGGATAGGGACAACAAGGCTGCGCGCGGCTGCGTCCTCTACATACGTATCGACCATTCGCAGCCAAGTTCACATCGCAGCTAGTGCACAAGCACACAGCATTGCGTGGTTTTTTGTATTGAGCCAACAGTATCAAACAGTACATCAGTTACCCGAACAAACAAACCAATCGGTTGATTCTTTACCAATCGTTAATTATAGATAACTAGCATAATAGAATGTGCCTAGTTGTAGACTGAACGCCTACACTTCCCCCTCCCATTCCAAGCAAGCGGCCTCGTGTTCCGTGCCTGTCCTGAGACCAGATGTGCGCGGGACAGCAAAAGAAGGTTTCACCCTATCACCACTACTCAGGCAGGCAGACACGCCGAAAGCAATGCAAATAGGGAAGTTAAGAGCGGGCATAAGTGGGTCTAAATATATAGAAGGGAAGGACACACACACTAGCAAAAAACGGACAAGGGAACAATTCAGCACAATCACGGAGGTGGGATGGCTCCCTATGATCGGAACGCAGAGGTGTGTGAGCTCTTTTTACGGGAATACACAAAAAAAGTAAAAGGCGTGGAGAAAGTTAAATACGCACTAGCGTACCTACTTATTATACAGCAACGGCAGCATACAGCAAAGTCGATTTCCAAGTACTGAAGATGAATAAGGGAACCAGCTTTTAGTATATCATATCTTATGGTCCTCTTGCACGTATCTATGTGTAGAGAAAACCTTAAACTCATTGGCGGCAACTTCTCAAGCACTGCCCGTGAGTGAACGTGGCTATTTGGGGCAATGCGTGTGGTGGGGACAAGCAATTTACCAATAAAAGCGTGAAAATTCGTCCATGAAAACTGAACTCGTTAGCCAAACGGTAGCATATCCTCCCACATGCAGTGAATTCCGCATCTACGTTCCCGCCAGCCGCTGAGATCGGCACTTGCCACCCTATTGATTAGCAAGTTTTGTGTATAGCGTGTCAGATACGCTCAACAGCGGTAGAATCCAGTGTATCCACGGGTTCTTGTAAATTGATATCCACTGGTTACTGACAAGTGCAGATGCCATAGAGATGCACTCGACTTTGCAGGTGAGTGTAAATCACCTCTTTTGTCTGCCGCCCAGGTGAATGGGGTTCTGTGAGAGGATTATAAAGTCACCATTTTACTAAACTCAGGGTCCGCGTCATCTCAACTAACTCGCCTGTGTGACGCACCGGTATCTCCTGGTCTCTCGTGTTGTTTTTTTACCCCGCTCGAAGTTAATGCATGTGCACCGTCTTACGTTATCTTTCGGAAGCAATATAGGGTTATGCTCGAAGGCGCTGGTCAACACATGCTCCTCGCCTTTTTCAAAGCTCATAAATCGCCAATTTATGCTGTACGGGTTTCCAATACCGCTGAATAAAAATTGCGGCAAAGCTGGGGATTAGCTCAGTACGATGCGTTGGGCGACTAGCAGGTGGCTAGCCTGTTGGAAGCTCATCCTTATTTCAGCACATTCGCGGAAAACTTCTTGAGGTTGTCCCATTATTGCTGTTCCGCAGCTGAACTATGTCGAGGTTCCCAATACACAACCTGTTGAAGAGCCACTGCGAGCTGGTTTTTCTGAGGGTAATACAGAGCCGCCAGCATTACGAGCCTGCCTCACCTTGTTGTAACGCCGACTCTACCCCACTCACCTTAGATAAAACGGGCTCTGGTGATGAGTTGAAAGTTGCTACTTCGTAGTGATTTCTGGTACACTCACATCCACAGCGCATAGCTGTGGCTGCACGCCCAACTTCCATTGCGGCAACCGCCGCATACATGGGAAAAAGTTATGGTGTACTAGTCAGATACAGAAGACGTCAATCATGATGAGAGGGCTCAAAGTCGCATGTAAAACACTCTTAAGCTGCTCTTAATTTGCCTTGAGGTCTGGTATTCTTCAGCCAGCCTGAGTCCAACGGACTGCAGAGACAGGCAGATTGAACTATTGCATGAACTCCTCGGATAATAGATCCACTTGACATCGTGTCACGTGTTGCCAGCCAATCCTGTTCATTGATTTGAATTAATTACCGCGCAGAATCGACTCTTGTGGGTTCCTAAATGCGGCTCTATCCTCTATAGCCGCTTCAATCAGCCACAGCCTAGGATGGTGACATCGTTTACCTGATGAGCCTAATTTGCTTGCCATTTAGCCCGCTTCGCTTTCCCACTTCAACAGCTCAATTTCTTTGGCCGCTATTTGCGCTCGCAAATTCAGATAATACAACCTTATCCACCATGATAGGAGGTGTACTCTTGGGAGTCGATCTAAGGCTGCTTTGGGGTGGAGGCCCCGTGTGGTTTCCATTTTCCATCCACCCCAGAGTGTATGCTAATGCCGGTTGACATAGCCCCGACACTCGCATGTACAGAACCCGCCACTTGGCTCTTTCTTCACAACCAAAGATACAGGGGCTGTGCTCAGTCGTTACTAAAGCCTTAAGTACCGCTGTAAAATCCCCACCAAGGAGCTGTTTAATTATTTAGCTTTTACCCATTCTGTGACGTGACGAAACGATTCCGCTAGTCCTGAGGTAAGCCACCCAGGAAGCAGTTGTTAGCCTACGGTAGGGCTTTTGCAAAACTAAAGCTTCATACTTATCGATGTATACCGAACTGTTGATAGAATCACCTGCTGCGCATTTTTCGTTTGTGTCACACCTTACCGCTTGTTGAATTCGGCAAGGACCGATGAGTCAGGGATCGGACAAAGGGCCTGAACAGGAGTAATGCCTTCAGTCAGAAGACTTCGTCTACGTGAATAGAATCACCGTCCAAATGATTCGGCACCCAAAAATCACGTTTTAAGGGGCGCATAATTCTCCACGATTCTGGGGTTAGAAGGCAAGGTGGCTCCCCAGCTGGTTCATAAATCCCTCGAGATCTTGCCCTTCCTTACGGCCGACGTGGTCAGCGTAACCTCATCGATGCGTCCCCAAATATTTACCAAGCAAAAATATCACGCATGTTTAACAACTATGGAGCTGCCGCGCTCATTCTAGCTTTCAAGCCGCCCTCTGCAGCCCCAACACCCCTTGCGCCGTCGTGTGCTTCCATTGGCAGAGTATTTTTGATAATGAAAATCAGATCACTGTGTTGCCCTATCACTATGTCAAAGTCCAGAGTGCGGTTGTAGGAAAACCTGATATTCCACTAAATCCACATCCACTGGGTGCGCAGTAAGTAGCTGCACCAAACCAAGCGGAGCGGCACCACCAGATTTAACGCTCCGTCTACGGTTGATTTACGCGTTGAGGGCTTTTTAAACGAGCCCCAAACGTGGCGTGCCCGCGTCTCACCAAGTTCCTGACAAAGGGGCAAATAGTGTGGGCTTGGCGGCACCCTCTAAGCACTACGCGATTTCCGAGCGAGTTGCAAGTAGCATTTACCGCACATGCACAAAATGTTGACTTCTTGTCTGGTTCATTGAGCCTTCAAAGGCTTTGAGGGCTCTATAGTGAGCGCTGTTCTAGTTTCATTGTCAAGAGAATTCACACATCTTCTAGGAGTTTGCTTGTTCCACAGCAGTCATACATTGAGGAGAACACTGGCTTCTAGCGAAGTGTGTGGACCATCCGCAGTTCTCCTTGTATCGGCGCATTCCCCAAGCATCCATCTTTTGCAGAAGTCAGTGAGACTGGTACCCAATACTCACAGGAGCATGCTAAACGGAGAGGCTTCAGGAGCACTTATAGCTCCCCTTTACCGCCCCAGCTCATAGTTATGCAGATATGACAAAATGCAACTGCTTCACAACACTTTCCCCGGTAATTTCACGGGAGCACAAAACTCTGCATGATAGGTCTAGTGGCTTCACAGATTGCTCGGAAGTGTGCACGTAGTACAACCCTGTTCAGAATTTGTTCAGACAACCCACATACTACCGTAATGTGCGCACGACAGCAGCCGCATGGTCTTTCAGACGAACGAAGCCTCTTCCTTTGTGTCGAAGTCTCGTCAAAAATGCAAGAGTGTATTGGGGGTGCACTAACGTAGAATGTACCTACATAAGACATGGGGCACACACACACGCCAACCAACTACCACGAAGGCCCTAACTTCAGCCAAAAACTATCATCAAATAGGGTAAGATTTAGACATTCTTTGATATTTGGTCCTCTCTGAAGCGGAGAAGGCGAGAATCGGTCATACAACCTGGTGCCCGCAAATTGCGTTAGACACAGTGTAAAGCTGCTCTCGCATAACAGTGCGCATTCTTACTACGACTTCTACATTTTGAATTATAAATAGCTACCCTAAACTCGGACTCAGTTTGGATTGTAGTTGAAAGAGCAAGGCCACGCTGCCCGCATAGTATTTACCATCAACGTCACCCACAGGAGGCGCGTTCGAGTTTCTTCTGGGATAAATGTGAGCCTACTACCTGAAAGCCAATGCAGGTTAGTTCACTATTTTTGCCGAAATATAATAAACAAAACTAGTCTGTTGTTTATGTCTTAGACTTTTCTTTTGCAAGCCAGGGTTGCATTTTCTTGCTTCTCCAACTCCAAAAGGAACCACTGCGCGCATGCATTGGCTTTCCTCCCTCGGTAGGGTGCGAGCGTGCAACGTCAATTCTTGCTGAATAATACGCATCCTCCTGAGCTCTGTCAGCCTGTACATGGCCTAGGCCAGCCGACACCAATCTCAGTCGGGCTTGCGCGAATAGCAGCTGCGTGAAGGCGCGGGGACTCACTGCCCATGTAGCAAGGCTACGATTACTTTATATTCGTCATTTTCCGCGCTCCGGAGCTTTTCTGTAGCTGCGGAGCAGTGCCTGATACAGCACACTTTGAACAAACTAGCTGTTCTTCCGCCATCATTGCTTAATGGCGGAGGGCAGTGGTGCTTCAACCCAACCTTTCAAGCAGGAAGAGGAGAATACAAAGAGAGCTGAGATGGCGGTAGACGGAGGCGGTACATGCACTACCAATGAATCTGGCAAGGTAGCGCACTGTGAGGTAAAGGATGACAAGGCCATCGCCGCAGTCCTTGAGAAGGCAGACGCTTTCAAGGCAGAGGGCAATGGCTACTTCAAACAGCATCAATATGCGGAGGCTGTTACCAAGTATTCTGCTGCGATCGATACGATCGATGACGCACCTGTGGACCCCAGGGAAACTCAGCTGCACGTGTATCTCTGCAACAGGGCATTCGCCCACTTGAGGTTGGAAAATTTCGGTACGTCCCTTAGACGCATGACTCGCGTCGCGTCGCTAGATGCTTTTGCCTGATGACAGATCCGTGAATTCGAAGGCGAAGCCGTAGATGATTTGTCCGGAGTTGCCAATGTGCAGGCGCAATCCATGGGACGCGCGCAAAGCCAACAGTGCACCCATACCATCTGAATGCGCTCGGTTTGAAGACTACATTTCCCCTTTAATGCTGCTTAACATGCTATTACTGTCACAGGCTCGGCTATCATCGATGCGGAACGCGCCCTGGAACTGAACCCGCAGTTTTCGAAAAGTTATTACCGTCGCGGCACCGGTTATTTCTGCCTTGGGAACCTCAAGGCAGCCCAGCGCGGTAAGATGCACTGCCAAAAATCACTGCAGAGAGCATTAGTGGCGAAGGGTGGCTAAGTCTCAGCTCCCATTTAAGGCGACTACCGAATACGAATGAAGGCGTACACTGTCAAACTTCCACGGTCGCGGATGATCCTTGATAGTACAAAACTCAGTGCATGCAGGACTTTTGTTGATGCTGGGAGCACGAGTTCTAACTAAAGGCGAATTGTATGGCGTGCCTCTCTGTATGCTTGCGCCGGGTTTTGTGGTGTGCTTCAGACTTCGAGAGGGTGTGCCAATTGCGTGGAGGGAAGGATGCAGACGCTTTGGCACGCTTGAATGAATGCAAGAAGCAGCTACGTGCCCAGGCGTTCGCGGCAGCGATTCGCACGAGGCAAACAACGCCGACATACAAGCAGGTAGTTGCCGAGGGTCTGGAGAAATTGTTTCCAGTGCCTGCGGATTATGCGGGACCTGTTTACAAGAAAGGCCAAGTCGACGCAGAGTTCTTGAAATCCTTGGGAGAGTGGCTCGAGAAGCCAGGTAATAGGTTGCACCAGCAGTACGCGTACGCAATGGCTGTGGACTTCATCGAAGTTTTGGAGCCGTTGCCTTCATTGGTGAATCTGGAAGTTCCTTCTGAAAAGGAAATCACTATCTGCGGTGACGTGCACGGACAGTTCTATGACCTTTTGAATATATTTAAAATCAATGGCATGCCCTCTGAGGAAAACCCGTATCTCTTCAATGGAGACATTGTCGACAGGGGCAGCTTTTCCGTCGAGGTGAGTGGGTATATCACACCTGCTGAATGCTGGCATTCAGCATTCCATCTCGACAAGTGGCAGCGCTTTTCGCTTTTCGGAACATCCGATTAACATGCTGCATGGGGGAGTGGAGCTGCACTTACCAATGTTAGGTCATGTACGGTATTATTGTGTTTTCGTAGGTGGTTCTGATGATGGTTGCATGCAAGTTGGCATATCCGGATCACATGCACATAACTCGCGGGAACCACGAGACCAGCGAGATGAATGCCATGTACGGCTTCAAGGGAGAAATGTTGAGTAAATATGATGAGCGTTTGTACCAAATCTTTTGCGAGGTAAGCGGAGCAGTGAAGCCAGGGGATGCTGCCTTCTCCTACCTGCTTGTTCTGTGGACCGGGTAGGTAGTTGAAGGAATGGATACGCCTTTGATGCCTTTTTTATTTCTGCCGTCGGCCCCTGGCGGAAGCTGAGCGGCCTTGAGTCGGCTGTAGGGATGCTGATGTTCAGGCATTTCGCTTGCTGCCGCTGGCGTTCGTGGTGAACGACAAGGCTTTTGTGGTCCATGGAGGCCTCTCGCGTCTTGAAAACGTCACACTGGAGGATATTCGCAAGATTGACCGCAACAAGGAGCCCGGTTCCGATAGTACGTGCTAGTCCTTTATCGTTGTCTTGCTTGAACTGCTGCTTATGCTTCTTTATAGCAGCCATTGATGATCCATCTGTACGGCTAGATTCTTTTTCTTGGCGAGTAGACCTAGCAGCTGCGCGTCTGTGCGTTTTGGGAAGCAATAGCAGACGTATTCCACATAGCCGATGTGCTGATTGGCTCCCCTTTCATTCGCGTTTCGCCGTAAGTCGCCTTTGTTGTCACGACGAGTGCTGTTCGCAGTTTTGATGACGGATCTGCTGTGGTCCGACCCGTCTCCCCTCCCGGGTCTGACACCCTCTAAGCGGGGTGTCGCCAGTCAGTTCGGCCCAGATATTACTGAAGCGTTTCTCAAGAGGAACAACTTGGGCTTTATCATCCGTTCACACGAAATGAAGGAAGAAGGATACGAGGTTGAGCACAATGGCAAACTGGTACGAATCCAATGATCGTCCGCTGCTCCCTGTTTCTGGTATTCTTGCTCCTACATGTTTCTTCGAGTTAATCAAAATATATGCTGTGTTTCGCATTGTGAATTGTACCTCGAAATAGTTGGGCGGAGGGCCCTGCAACCCCCATGATCAGAGGAGATGGTCGTTGAGAGAAGAGGCGGTACATAGAAATGCATGCACATATCGCTTTTTTCCTGTGTCCGCCTGTCCTCAGATTACTGTCTTTAGCGCTCCAAATTACTGCGACGAAATGGGCAACAAGGGAGCTTTCATCAGGTACGTCCGCATTAACACTCCACAGATTCTCGAATGCATCGAATGCTTCTTTAAGACGCTGTTTCCCCGGCTTTTCTTTCGTGCACTAATTAGGCCGCGCGTGAGGGTAAATGAGGTACAGGGGCTTTGCTTGTTCCGTGCCTTGTTGGGAAGTTGAGGGTTCCTTGTATTTTAAATATATATTTCAAATATTTTCTGCAGGCTGAAGGGGTCCGTCATGGAGCCACAATTCCATCAGTTTACGGCTGTTAAGCACCCCCCGGGCCCGGCGATGCAGTATGCAAATCGCATGCTGAGTTTCATGTAGGAAGGGGTATTTTCTCTTGGCATGTAGGTTATGCACTAGCTGCTAGAAGGCCGTTTTTCTGGCTATATATAAGAGTTGCCGAACAAGAAGAGCGTCACTATGACCTCTTTAGTAAGCAATCGCTGCTCCCTGCATGGAAGTCCTTGGTTCCCGAGCCGGCTCTGGCAGGGAGGGACGCGGCACGCAGTTTGTGGGCAGACCCAGGCTCACTGCCCATCGAAGCATCGGAGCCAGCCACCAGCACCCCATGATGTACTACCTGCTGGAATATCTGTGCATGGTAGGCCATAACAAGCGCCGAGCGTGCGTTCTTTTGTCGGATTTGAGCGCAAAAGCTTAAGGGATTTGGACTTAGGGGCTATCAGTTGGGACACAGCTCTGCTTCATCCATAAAACTGGTGGCTGCAAAACGCAGGGCCAGCGACTGTCTTCCAGATGTGTTTCAATTGGTTTTTGCCCGAACGAAAAGCACAACGGCCCATGCATACAGAAAAATATCCGTAGAATAATACATACATGCATTCGGTTAGCGAAGAGTCGGGGCCGTAGTCGTTGAAGCACATTCTAGCACGGGAGAGGCCGGGGCCGTAGGCACAACGATAATGGCAGTCTGTGCCTTTTTGCCACTCCCGTTCGATAAGATATTTTCCCTGAAGGCCGCCTATGGTGTGCTTGGTGTGGTCATGTTCATGTGGCGGTATGTACATGAACTCGCAAGGATATAGCCGTGCACATTGTGTGTTGGGCATGCGAGCCAACGCTACACACTTCAAATAGTCCTTTGGCCGCCTGGGGTTTCTTTTAGTCGAAAGCGAAAGCCGCTGAAAAGGGGGCAGCGGGCAATACCCATTCAGCCGCGTCTGCATAGCTGCCCGCGGCAGTAATGTGGGGCGGTAGCTTACCGAGCAGCGTCTTCCAGAAGACGCCAGAGCCACTGGATGCCCCCATGGGTGCGCTGTCTGTGCGTGCCTCGGCTGCAGCGGCGGCTGTGCTGAGATCGGACTTTGCCGGCAGCCTCGGCTGCTCTATCATGGGTAGGCCAAGAAGGTAAGAATGCACAGACCTGAAGAGGGGCGTCTGCAAACAGCCAGTATTGGGGGTGACGGCATCAAACACAGCAGAGCGCGTTGTGAAACGCACCTGAAGACACATACCAACGACAGAGCTGTCTGAGGAAATTAGCCAGCCAGCCAGCTGCCGCTCATGTCTTCTGGGAATAGGGCCGCCTCAAGGCGCACGGAAGGGAGTTATGCCCTGTGGAGGCGCTGCGGCCTTCCGAAGGCCAGTTGCCTCTCGACAGCCAAATTTGTGCTCAGCTCCCATCAGAAGGGTTTTTCGCATTCAGTGCACTCAAATAAACAAGGGTGAAGCTATTGCCAGGAGAAGTTGCCAGAGGGGCGTGCTGACATGGAGCCATATGACGCACACGTACACTAATTCTACCACGGGCAGCATCTATAGATACACATCACAGCCTAAGAGCCGTGTTTTCGCCCCGTCAGCACACATGCGAACGTGTAGTTGATTGCATAGAATGCACCGTCGCGTAACTTTGGCGCTTTTAAAGCCTTCAGGCCTATGAAAAAAGAGTAATCGGGAGAGCTCACGGGTTCGTTTCCCTTGAAGAAGAACTCGAGTTTTGTCTGCACCGGTGGGAAGGGTGATGTGATGGTTACGACATAACATTCGCACTTTTTGAGTTTCTGCAGAGGCGCCTGGTTTTGCAAATTCCACCGAACCACCTTGTCCGCCGGGAGGGCAAGAGTCAACAAGGAGGACCCCCCGATGAGCAGCGTGAGGCGCGTCTCATCTTGCGCGTCACTACAGAACCACAGCCGACGCGTTAACACACCCAAACACAGAGCCATAAACAAAGGCACTCAGGAAAAGCTGGAAGGCAGTCGAGACGGAAGTTTCAGATTCGCAAAGGAATAACGGGAGGGACAATGGCCGCGCTACGAGCAGCGCAGCCTCCCAAAGTAACAGAGAAAGTAGGTAGAATTCCCGAAAAACAGGAGACAATAATTTTAAACGAGATGCATTCGAGAGGCCAGCCAGTTGCGGAGGAAGGGAGAGAAAGGATGGAATAGAATGGATACAAGCACGCAGCACGTATGATGAGCGGCGTTGCCTCTCCGAGGGGTGCCGCCTGGCGTCTTGAATAGAGACCCCTGCTTGCACGTGCTCCTGGAGAGGGCCATAGAGGGCGACCAATGCTGTCACGGATGGTGAAGGGACGTGTTTTTCACGCACTTGTAGTGTATTGCCACTTGGCCTCGGATGCCCGGACTGTACACGTGAGGAGCTCCTTCATTACCCAGAGGAGCAGGCGGTGGAAGAAATTCCTGCAGACACCCCAAGGTTCTCCACAGCCGGCTCCACATATGGAAGATGCAGGATGGTTGCAGGAGAAAGCCTTCCACGCCCTATCCGGAAAAAGACTGTACATTACATGCACCGCCGCAAGCGGCCGCACGCGGGAGAAGAAACTCGCCGCGCTTGCCGGCCTGCAGCATCCGATCGGCGATCTCAAAGTCTACTCAGTGAGGTCAGGGTATTCAAACGCGGCGAATACGTATACCGAGGGGGTGCATATGTGTTTATGTGTGTTTACGTACACACCTGCGCATTCGTATAGACACTCCAGTGAGTGCGATGTGTACTCATGCGAAAGAGGTGTGGGAGGGCCAGAGGTGCGTCCTGCCTCGGTGGTTCTTCCTTCACGTAAAATGCAGGCAGGCTCTTCTTTTTCTGTAGAGGGGGCTGTCGCGCCCTTTCTTCGGCTGCGGCAGGAGGAGCACAGCTGCTCGCTCTTGCCGCTGCGGCAGAGGCTGCTTCTGCAGCCAAGGAAAGGGCATTCGTTTGCTCGGCGTTGGGAAGTATGGAGCTTTGGCTGGTGCATACATCTCCACGACTGGCAGTATCGGATTCATGTTGGGATGAGGCTGCATGCGCGGGCCGAAAGCCTTTGTCTGCATCCCCCGCGCTTGCTGGCTGAGCTGCTGTCGCTTCCGCTGCTTCTACTGCAGCACGGATGGCAGAGAGGACAAGGTCCGTGTCTGCTGCTGCCGGATTCCAAAAGACTTGGGGGCCTAAGCCTAAGACCGCCACGCCTTGGGTTGAGGACCGCACGAGCTTTTCCGTATGATTGGTCGTTGTTAGGGGTTGCACCTCTGGAGGAAACTGTGACTGGCTTGCTTCTGTGGTTGGTTCTACTACCGGTGATTCTTCTGCAGTGCCCGTAGATAAGGTGCTGCTGTCCTTCACGACCTGCGCTGCAGTCCCGGGAGGGCTGCTGCTCTGCTGCAGGAGCGCGACAGCTGTGACTTTCGACTGCCGGAACGCAACAAAGTGCAGCTGCAGCGGCCGCTCAGGGGAGAAAGGGAAGGAGGGGGAAGGTAGAAGGAGCCGCTGGAGGCTCTCCGGAAGCAAGCCAAGGAGAGATCGGGCACGAGCGCCGAATAAGCTGAACGGCTGCAGCAGCCTTTGCTGAGGAGGCAGTGCCGAGGCAGTGCCGTGTGGATCCTGAATGCCGATGGAAACCTCTCCACTGTAGGGCGGGACCGACGGAGAGCTCTCCGTCCGTCCGAAGTGCAGTGGTAGAGGGACAGCAGGCGCCTCGAGCAAGAAAACAGAGACAGCGAAGGACACTCCAGCAGCCGCCACAGCAGCTGCCAGCATCCAGAGTTTCCTAGTGACGCGCATTTCCCGCTGGAGCCCCTGAGCAAGCCGAGCCGACGATGGATCCGAGTTTCGCCGCCGCGCTTCTGCGTGGCTCGCGTGAAAGAGCGGAGGACATAGGACGGCTGGCAGCAATAGCCACACAGGCAACAGCACTCCTAAAATTAGGAGCACGTCCGCGAAAAGTAAAGACTCGCCACTGCGTCCAGCCGGCCCGCTGAGGCCATCCAGAAGCGCTAGATAGGCCTACACGCACAGATGCACACATATACACGTGCAACATACACATATCCACACACGCGCACATATACACATATACACACGCACAGATAGACTCGCATACGCACACACACACGCGCGCACATATACACACAAGTTCATACATATACACGTACACGCACAAATGCATACACATACACACACACGCACATATACGTGGACATGTACACGCACGAATGCACACAGAGCAGAAAGCGCTTTAGGTTGAAGCAACTCGCGCGGTCACAGGAGCCGCTTTAGTGCGGGTTTGCACCAAGAGAGGACTCGGTCTCCAGGCAAGGAAGATTCTCTAACGTGCGTATGGGCAGGACAAAGGTATGGGGATGCACCCTGCATGACCATGTGTGCGCTTCCGCGGTGGAAGGCGCTTCTTAGTGGAGCTGCATCTTGTGTGCTCGAAAGCGAGTAGCAAGTGCATTCGCCATAACAGCGAACGGCAAAGAAGGCTGCCAGCAGCAGCTGCTAAGAAAGATAAGGACGCCGACTTCCCGACACATTGTTACCGGTGAAGCGAGTGGGCAAAGCAACCATTACTCCACCGGTGCAAGCAGGCAAAGGGGGCACACCGCAAAACGCTGGGCGAAGAAGATACGAGGAATGAGAAATAGGCATACAGAAATATGTCGCAGAGGAAAACCACCTGTATTAAGGGATAAATGGAGAGCACGAACCTGAAAGAGGAGGGTAGACGGGACAGCGGCGCCGACTGCGTCAACTGCCAGCAACAAGCAGCCCCTCTTGAGGGTTACTCTATGAGAGCTGTTTTCGTTGTTCTGGTTGGCTGGGTAAATATACCAAAAGAGCAGGAGGGCGACTCGAGGCACCAGCAGACCCAAGACCAACAGGAGCACGTAAAACGAAACAAAGAGTTCTGCGTGCATTCCCAGCGCAACGTCTCGGGAGGATATTTTTGTCGGGAAGCTCACGGCACTACTGGCAACGACTGCCATCACATTTCAAACAATTGCCATGACTGGGGAAGGGGCAGAGGGGAGAGCAACGGCCGGCGTCCGTGCCACCTTCATCGTCATTTTGCCCCACCCCTACCCAAAAGGCTTAGACTGGTCTTCAGCGTTCTCTGGGCAGGAAGGGAAGAGGGTGAAGAGAGAAGGAGAGCGACAGACAAACACACAGAAGGATGGAACAGGAAATAACGCACGTATACTGTAAGCGGCAACTGAGAGAGTCAGGAGTGTTACGAGGGGCACCTCCCGCGCTGCATGGGCACATAGAAGGGGCTGTCGATCAAACGAAAAGCGGCTTCTCAGCCTGCAGCACCAAACGGCACAGGGCGGCACGCAGACTTTCGCAGAGCGAAGGAGGTGAAACTGGTGCCCAATAGGCGACTCCGGGAAGGACGAATGAAGGGGGTGGCAGCAGCAGCAAGAACCCCGTGCGGACGGAAGCAACCGCAGTCGTACTTGCGGAAGAAGGTCCTGTTCCAGCACCAAAGAAATGCAGCAAACCCTAGGAGGCATCGGCAAGCGGCTGTAGGCGGCCAGTGTACATAAAGGAGGCCGTACAGCTGCAGCAGCAGGGCACCGAGCGCCGAGCCGCAGCAGGCAGCACACAATGCAGCAAGACAGCTGCATCCAAACGTCAAGCTCCCAAGCATTATGAGCGGTGCAGACGTTTGGACCCCCAAGACGCTGCGTTGCAGGAAGGCACATAGCAGCAGCAGCAGCAGCGCAAGGGCCGCCAGCGGTACAAAGGCTTCCCAAGGGATTACGAGTAGCTGTCTGCCCAAGACGTCCTGATAGAAGGGGACGCGAGGGGCTGCCTGGTGGCGTGCATCGCTTGCTGCCGCCAAGCCACTGCGCGCCTTAGCCGCTATACGCAGCAGAGGGTGCAACAAGGCGAGGATCATCTCGCCAGTGTGCTGAAGCGATCCAGGCTGCATGCTTTCCAGAGTATCTCTGGTCGTGTGGTAACTGGCTCCCCCTCCGATCCATGCCAAATCAAGACCTCCCGGCACTTGCAGCACTTCGGACCATATTCTGCAAAGATATTCAGCAGCGAGGAGAACGGAGGAAGGCACGAAGCCTGCCAAGCAGTAAGTTACGCCACCGCACGCAAAAGCCTTCCAACCGGCCCGCTCCCTCCTCCTTCCCCCTCCATTTTCAACATTCCCAAATGAGAACATGCTGTGCGGAAAGACGTAAAGAGGCCTCGGACGCCCCCACATCCGCGTCTGCTCCCGCAGCACAGGGCAGCACGGCACTGGCGGCATCTCACCGGAAGTCGGTCTCTCCGGGAAACTGCCCAGAATTCCAGACGTCTGCGGCAATGCAGCAGACATGAGGGGCGGGGAGGTTACCGACGGCCTGGAGAGTCTCTGCAGACAGGCGTGGTGGCATCTGCGGAAGAGCGAAGAAAGCGGCAGCATGTTGGAAAAATAGAAATTACACGCTCAGTCTGCCAGCCGCCGCGCCTCCGGTCCCTCGAAGACAACTAGAGGGCGGACACTAGGAGGACCTCAGGGGATCGCTCCGTTCCCCCTCGCCACGAAACACAACAGGGTATTTTTCATAGAGCCCTCTACGTCTGTTCATACGTGCACGGCTCCACATCATTCACATGTCTCTATGGCGAAAGCTACACAAACAACACCCTTGTACATTGGGATTCGAATAATACGCATGTGGGCACATTTGATGCAATAAAGATAAAGGGCATTGGCATTCGCCTTCGTACTCGAAGGGGCATGGGGGTGCGCGCTCCGCATACATGGGCAGAGCTGAACATGTGGATGAAGCACACGAGGTCTTCTACGTGGGGAGATGCCCTGCTATTCGCGGATCTGTAGCGCTAGTACGTTTCAGCAGGTCCCCGCCGCCTCGTGCTTGTGCAGGCACGCTGCGTCTCCCTCAATTAAGAGGACAGGCACCAGTCGTGGTTTAGGGCACAAGAAAGGGGAAAGAGAGAGACGCTCAGGCGTGTGCCTAAGATGCCACTAACAACAGCGGTGCTGGACTGGATTGTAGATCCTGCATGGCGTACCTGCAAGACGAAGGATTTCCCTCGAGATCCCGCCGCCTCTAAGTTAACCGCAAGAGAAACCTGACGGGCCAGGGGGTGCTGCGTGGCGAATGCATGCGCCGCCAACAGAATGACCTCCTCAGCACCTGCAGATTCCAAATCCGCAGACATACTGACCTTCCACCTTCCTTAGGGGGCGCCACCCAACAGCGCGCCGCTGAGAATTGGCTCTTTTGGAAAAATTTGCACACGACCTTAACGCTTCCGCAGAGTATAGGTGGAGGAAATCAGGTGCCTCCGGACTCTTGGAAAAAAGCCCCAGCCGTCGACATACCATTGAGATTAAGAATTAGAGGTGACTGAAGCAGCGCGTCTTCCAGCCCTTCTTCAGCGTGGTGCGAAAACCCCCAATGCCGCAGCTGCAGTGCATGGGCGGCGCGGAGGTGTCTGTACACCGCGGCCCGTGCCACCTCAAGAGCCACTGCACACATGCCGAGGTCATCGCTTATGCCGGGTGAGGACGGAGCCGAGTCATAATGCGCTGCGAGCATCAGCGCCTGCCCTGATGTTTGCTTGGTGCCTTGTGAATTGGCATGCATGGACTGCCTTGAACCGACTGGCCTGAAATCCACTGTGATGTTTTTTGGACCCTCATACAGGGCCGTGCGACTGCTTCCCGCGTAGGTGAGCGTGAAGCCTCCAGCAGCGCCTCCCCAGAGGCTGACATCTGCTGACAAAAGGTGGTTTTTGCTGAGATATTCCAGCACGGGCACTCCCGCCGCTGCAGCCGTTGTAGCCGCTGCGGCTGCCGCGGCAACATGGCTGTCTCTTTCGCTTTTTGAGATGTCTTCCAGATACATTAGCAACTGGTGGGAGCCTATGAGCGCTGCTTCATCCAGGGCGGCCTCGAAAGAACGGCCAGTTCCCTCGTGCTGCTGCTCCTCCGCTTTCTGCTGCCTTTCGCGCAAGAAGAGTCCTATAAGGGCAGAAACGGTAGAGGGGGGTGCTAAGATGTGCCTTGTGACGCTGATGCACTGAAACTTGGGAATGAGGGTGCCCGGAAGGAAATCGGGGAGATCGGGATCTACCAGGCGCGGGCTGTCCAGACACGGCAGTTCTTCTGCTGGTGCTTCTGTTGCGCGTCCAATAGCAAACGCTGCGGCAGCGGCTGCGCCTCCGGAGGGCGAGAAAAAGTCGTGGACCCCTGAGCGCGACAGAACTGCCGCACACTTCGCCTGCAGCGCGTGCGTCATGCAGGGGGGGGGAAGATCCTGTTGCTGTGCCTGCTTCAGCAGGATTTCGTGCAAGCTCATGGCTGCAGCTGCCGCTGCTGCCTTCGAGTGGTGCTGCTTTTGCTGCAGGAGCAGCAGCTGCTGGTGCTCTGCACCACAGAGGCAGGTTTCTAAGTCGGTCAGCTGGCCGGAGGGCCTTACGCGGTGAGGCTTTGCAGGGTCGTCCTCATCAGCATCAGCAGCTGCTCCTGCTGCAGGGGTTGGTGATGCATCAGTGGCCGCTTCGCGCCGCAGGTGATGTGTCACGAGCACCACGTAGCGCAAGCGTGCAATGGCGGCCTGCATCTCTGATCCCACGCCCGTTGCCAGCCCTGATGCGGCTCCGCTTGTCGCGGTGGAAGGGGAGGGTGATAACATGAGGATCTGGTGGAGCACAGCGGCGTGCAGCAACAAAGGCGCTGAGACTTCGTTGTCACAGCTGCCTACCGTGCGCACGCTGCGATTCGCTGCCTGCAGGAGCAAGCGCGCACGACCTTCGCTGAATGCATCTGGGGGAGATTCGGGGGGGGACGGACGTGGAAGGGAGAAATGGTGCTGACCCGCGAGAAACACAGAGAGCAGCAACACCGCTGCACTCAAAAAAAGCGGGAAATATGTCTGAAACCTTCTCGGGGCTTTGGGGGGGCTTTCTGTCAGCGTGCGTGATTCTTTAGCTAGATCCATGGTGACCTATCAGCAATCTGCGAGCTCTCTCGCGGGCGTTTGCAATTTGCCAATCAGTGAGAGGAAGGGAGGGCCTAGCCTGCCCTTGCGAGGACTTGCTGCCCCGATGATGCGCGAAGCTCCTGGCTTATTCGCATATCCTAGCGAAGCACACAGGCGGATGCAAGACGAGTGAAAGGGGCATTAACTGCTAGGGAAGTGCAGCGGCTGGTCGTTCGGGGCCTCTGTCAAGGGTCGCCGAAACGTCGAGACTCTTTGAATAATTCTGTGGAGGTCGCAGCACGCAAAAGATGGATTAAGAGTGGAAGAACCCTTGTTTCGTCGGCAAGTTGCCCTGCATGATACACACGAAACTGGGATTGGCGTTCTGCTCAAGGCGAGTATCGGGAGGGTTGCGAGGGGCCCCCCAGCGATCCTTCAGAGCGGACTTCATTTGTCCTCAGCGACCCTTGTAAAATTTTTCATGTGCTGCTTTTTGTTGAATATCTGTGTGTCTGTGTGTATACTGGAAGATAAAACCACCGTAGAGGACACCCACTGGGAAAGGCTTTCGTATAGGGGTCGCCAGCGGTCCCTCCACCGTGCAGAAAAAAGAAACTTATATTCTAAAAAACTGCACGCAGTGTATAGTTTTTCCTCTGTTCGCTCTAGCTTGTCGCCCCTTTGGCCTCTTCAATCCCCTCTTCTCTTGGCATTGCAAAATTGAACCGCGTGAGCCATAAAGCGCAGTTGCTGCCGGTACGGCCGTGTCTCTGCTGCCATTTGCAGCCGCTACATGGCGGCAGGATGTTGGCAGTAGATACTTCCTAGCGCCCTCTGATGAGGTGAGCGTTTGCGATCCTCTATGGATCGCAAACAGTGAGAGAAACTGATCTCCGTATCAACAGGGCTGCATTGCTAGGGTTGAGCGCTCCGCCAACAGTCTCCCTATGGCGATTTCTTTGGCCCCAGACCGAGGGTCAAGCATGAAAGAAAATTGCCGAGTGGTTACCCTAAAGGACTTTTGACTCTGACAACTTGCTGGCTTGATGTTAGTGGATTCTGGCATGAGAGGCGAGAGGCATTGCTGGAGAAAATGAGCTTTGCTCCACTATCTAAGTACTACGAGCATGCACTCGCACCCAGCTGCTCATAGCAAAAGTCACAAGCGCTCAGGCAGAGACAGTCGCTTCTCGCTTCTGTCGTGCTGAGGAAATTATGTGTAGGTTTACACAAATAAGAGGTAGGAGAAGCTAAACTCAACAATGGATTCGCAGGTGTCGTAATGCAGCTTTGTCTTCTTGAACCAGCGCGGAGATGACCACCCCCTGAAGCATGCTTTTCCGAGAGCTTCCCGCAATTCGGGTCAGGGCTTGCGCCGCGATGGCAACAATAGTGAAGTGCTAGCTAGGCGAAGAATAGGTGCAAAGGGAGAAGAGAGTCTCCTGTCATGAGGGCTGAGACATCTGCGAGGCAGGCCGCAGCATCGCATCGGAAGCAGCCGGGACCTCTGAATTGCCACTCCTACTTCCGATTTGTGGCGATAGCAGCTCACTTTTCTCCAGTCTCTCCTACATGTGCATGCCGACGGCCCCGCGCACGTACGCACAGACAAACCGGCAACTACCTACACCACAAGGGTCTCGAAAAAAGGTCTCTGAGATATTCATAGACGTCTCGAGAGGCAATAGCGTCCTGGGATAGTGAAGGATCATCGAGGCAAACAGATCGTCGCAGCCCCTGAATGGCTTAGTAGCGGTGAATTCCCTCTCACTGGACGCGAGCTACCCAATAAGCTGTCAACAGACCACGGGAGGGCAGTGGCTTGGCACACATCTTGCTGGTAGACGGATACGCACACCCTTTATGCTTTGAGAAGCAGCAACGTGCCAAAAGCGCCCGTCTTCATAGAGGAGTGCACTGCACGGTGTTGGCCTCGTTGCTTGCTCAAACATCATGCCACGCATACTCATGGCAACGTCCTAAACAGTCTTGCCATGAAGCTTCTCAAGGCCGCGTAAAGTCTAGAGGACCTAACAAGGCAACTCTGCTATATTTCAGGGTCAAAAAGGGGAGGGGTTTGAGACTAGGTCGCCTCAAAAAGCACACGATCTCCAAGCTGCACCTTTTTTATATAAAAGACAAGCAATCCACAAGGCGTTCCCTTGATGGCACTTGCAACCCACAAATGCCGCCCTTCACCCGCTCTCTTTTCCAGCCCCAGTGTTTTTACTATCTTTGCAGGCAGAGTTTACCGATACGGATCTGCTTGGGTCGGCCGTCTCTAAAGTGTATTTTACTAGTGAAAACCGCCCTGCGTTTTTCTGTGCTCACTGCTGCGTAGCAACAAGCCTCACGGGTGCCGTGTCTAGCAGAGCTCTGACCGAGCGCCAGACCGGAGGCAGATGCACATTAACGTATCGTTCTTTCTCCCTTCTCTAATGCTGCAACCAAAGTGCCCCCACGAGGGCAGACCCCGTCCCCCGTTTCAAAAATTCAGTACTCAAGCCTGCCTAACGTCCATCGAGACGCATAGTGTGGTTTTGGAGGAAGAAACTCGCACCGAAGCGAACAAGCAAGCCATGTTCGCTCATTCAGCTAGGAACTACAGATGCCCCGGACGGTCACACGTGCTCCGTTCAACGCAAGAAGAGCCCACATTAGAATCTTCAGCCGTCGCTTCCGACAGCTCAAAAAACGTCAAACGTGCATAAAGAGGGCAGCAAGGAGAGCGACATGAACGAACCTTCCTCACAGTCCCGTTCCTCTACAATACCGCTCCACGCAGGCGTAAAACAAATACACATAGGATGGAATGCCAATAGGGGTGTGCACATATCTAAATACATCTGAAACCAGACAACTGCATCGCTATACAGGGTTACATGCATACACCCGAACATGGCCACTGCTTTAATATCGTCCCTGCTGCGAATAATAGCCCCTCCCATACCCATCGCGTTCCGAGGAGCCGTACGAGTTCCGCCCCTGCCAGCTGACGCCGTATTGCGCCTGGTTGCTCCCACAATACTGTGGCTGCTGCTGTCTCGCCCCTCCCCCCTGCGAATAGCGTGAATCATAACCCTGAGTGCTATAGCTCCCCCTGCCCTGCCCGGAGCTGTATACCTCTCCGCATCCCTGTTGCCATCGCTGCTGTTGCTGGTGGTGCTGCTGCTGCCCGTAGGGCTGCGCCTCGTAGTGCTGATGGTGGTGGTGCTGCTGCTGCTGTTGGTAGAAGCCGTGGGCATTTCCATGGGAAAAGCCTCCACGGCCTCCCTGTTGCTGCCAGGCGCCCGAATGGCCTCTACTGGGGCCCCATGATCCCTGGGGGCCCCATGATCCCTGGGGGCCCCATGATCCCTGGGGGCCCCATGACCCCTGGGGGCCCCATGACCCCTGGGGGCCCTCGGCACCCCAGGAATCGTGGGGCGGAGACCCCTGCCCCTGGTATCCCTTCTGCCGCTTTGCAGGGTTAGCATCCAAGTCCTCGCATGCAGTGCGCGCTTCGATGTGCGGCTTCGGCTGCCTATTGCTCTGCAAAAACGCAGCACACACAGGACGCACGGCAGCAGCAATGCAACGTGGGGGCCCCACATGAGCCCAACGTTAAAAGAAAAAAGGAAAAATCCATGAAAGAGGACAACAAGCAGCCTGCAAGCAGTATCCCCCTGACGGACCCTTCCTGGGTTATTTGCCTTGAAAGCTCGCCCCTCCTCGTTTATGCGCCTAATTTCCCTCCGGCTTTCTGCCTCTGGAAGCTCTACGTAGTCGATAACCGTAAAACCATCTTCGCGAGACGGCAGAGCAAATGCAGCCTGCGCAGACAACGCAGATATTGGATGTCAAGCAGCCCTTCAGGGGGAAGCGCGCGACAGCGAGCAGCGAAAAAGGCACCCCTGCGCCGCATCGGCGTGGAGGGGGTCTGGTCGTGGGCTTCATGAGTCAACGCTAAGCCTCCGTCTCCCGCCCACACTACCGCAGGCACGCACTCGCGCAAAAACGTCCACAGAAGCCAGAAACATAGGAGTCTCACCTTCATGTCCATCACAGCCTCAACAGGGACCATCTTCCCTTCCTCCCTCTCCCTCTTGGCCGTCCGCTGCTGGAGTGTCTGCTCGTCAGTCACCATCGTAACACAGCGCCGCGTGCCCCATGCTGCACGCATACCAGCAACAACCCCACTATCACAACGCACACATTCACGAAGCGTTCGCACCTATGGCGCGATGAACCGTCAAACATCTCCTCCGCCGCCCCTCTGAGATCTCTGTTCACATTCCCTCTCCAAGCCGTGCTCTTCGAGAGGGATGCTTCGCAGCCACTCTAGCCATACAGAACAGAGACCCCAAGCAAGGCACTCCCTTGCAGGCTCTTCGAGGCACAGCAAACGCGGCAGCGGAAGAAAAGCAGCCCTACCTAGGAAGGGCTGAACTTTGCGGGACCTAGCGCGTTTAAAGACATTCGTCTGGTCGATAATGATGTTGCGCGGCACGACTCCCGATCCGGCATATGTAACGAGACTGTTGAATACTGCTGTGGCAGTGGACATGAGCTCCTCCCATCGATCTGCATAATTTGCCTGTCTCCTGAGCCCCATTACTTTCATCTGATCGATCACGGCGTTGGTACCTAGCAAGACGTACGACTTTTTGGCATGTCGCTCCATATGCCGCTCTGCCCAATACGTCTTGCCGCATGCTGGTAGTCCGCACATCATGATGAACTCGCATTCCGAGACGCTCTTCGGGTGCTCAACAGGATTCACCATCATTTCCTACGAAAGGAGAGGCACATAAAAGGGCAAAAAAGCTGCTTTAGCCGGCAGAAGCGTAAGCGGCCAAAATCTAGACATGAGCACCACGAGTACCATGAAGCAGGCAGAGCGTATTTTGGAAAAAACGAGGTGAAAGCGCAAAACTCATGATGAAAACAACACGCTTCCACTGTTTCTCTTGAGTAGAGCCAGGAATTGTTTCGCGGCGTAGACTGTACATCCAATCATGAAGTCACGGCCGCTGTCCGTCCCCCCGCTGGAGTTTTTTCTGTATTGGGATGCGCTGCCTCACCTCCTCCTTGAGATCTCCTAGAAACTTGAATCCCTGCCCTGGGGGTTCGGTCCATTTGGTTGCCTGCCTGAAGTTAATCTCGAAGTCAAAATTCTTCACGTACACATGCGGAAAAAGCCCAGTCTCTCTGACTTTCCGAGGCAGGTCAAATGCCCCCCCAAGGAACTGTCCGTTTTTTGTGAAGGACAGAGACAGTGCATCCAAATCAATAACCACGCCCACAACGTCGCCTGCAGTGAAAGAGGTTCCATAGTCCGAGAACTTCCTGTTTGTCGACTTTTTTCCCGTCCCTCCGAATCCCCAAGATTCAGCAGAATCACCTGCAGCCGCGCCAACACACGCGCGGAAGGCGAGCCGCGATCACGCAGGGCACCCGAAACATCCTGGCACAAACAGTGCGAAACAGGTCGGCGAGGGAGATAACTCCGAAAAAGGAGCACAGAGGATGGCAGACAATGCATTTAAAAAAGTCTGCTTTTTACTGAGAAACGCGAAGAGTTTTAAAACGGAAGCGACACAACACAGGTTGGTACGCAAGACTGAGCGCCATGTTTTCTCAGGCTAACAGGAAAGAAAGAAAGAGATTGAAACAAGCACACAGTGACTTGCATGCATGCAAGCAGGCACGGAGAAAAACCCCCTAGGGCTGCACGGGGCCCTGTTCAGCAAATATTAGCTCCAAAGAAACTGACCTAGATGAAGGCTCGTGAGGGGCTGGCTTACTCCCACTCTGCACACATGTTGTGTGCTCTCGGGGGTGTCTGGCATTACAACCTTAGCCGGTTTTGGTCCCACTTTTACTTCAAAAAAATACTTTCCCGACCCTTTGACCCCGTGAGAAGCTCGCACCCCCTTCCACAAGTACTGAAATCCATCAGTATGCATGCAAGTTGCTTTTCGGGGGTTGTTCCGGTCGATCTGCAGATCCAAGTGGGAATCAGCGGCATCTAGACACACCCCGAATCTCGTGAAATCTGCTGATCCCCCTGCGACGCCTCCTGCGTTGGTTGTAGCTGATGTCGGCACATCAAATACCACTTTTGGAATGCCATTAGGAAGCAGCTCGGGAGCGTCTTTCCCATATTCTGGCTTTTCCGTTGCTGGAGACGCTGCTACCTCTCCCGCTGCTTTCGCTGCTTGCTTTTCACTAATCGTCGTGTCATCATCCCGCTGCTGTTGCAGCTGCTGCTGCGGCTTATCGGCAGTTGCACCCTCTGCGACTGCTGATTTGGAAGGCCCTTCGGCCTGTGCTGTGGCTGCTGTTGTGGCATCTCCCCCCTCTGGCTTCGATGCAGCAGGATCGGCCGCCGGAAGAGCCATTCTCATGTGCTCGCACAGTCAGGAAGGGCAGCCGCCGGTGCCTCGTGGGGGCACTCAAAGAGCTGAACACGAGATCACAGAGCAAAAGGGACGGCTGAGTGGAAGTAGGGGACGCTACTGGAAAAGCGAACAAGCAGCAGCGGGCAGTCAATAAGCTTGACGCGATTGGCAGCAGAGATGACGCTTCTGCCCACTCAAAAGGCAGGACCAGCTGCGACAGGATAATTGCTGACCACGGGGTGCTTTGCCAGGGGCCTATTAGTGGCATCCGAAGGAGGTCACCCAAGAGCTGCCGTAAACGGGATGGTTCCTATAGTTCAACGCGATTTTTTTTAGCGAGCGAAACGCGTTCAAGTTCCCTTTTAGGATGAGTGCTCGTGTAGCCCCGCAGAGCGCAGCTGGCTGCTGTGGGTGGGAGGGCCTGGCCGTTCACAATTCCACCGTAGTCTTGAGAAGGAGAAAAAGAATTTTGGAAAATAAGGGGTGGTACGGTGAAGGCCACCGCTTTGATGTGCCAATGCGCTAATTGCGGGGTGTTTTGTGTTCGCCCTCCCGGGGCCCTGTTTTGCATGCGTGGAATTTTCCTTTGTTCGGGGTGAAAAGCTGCTTGCTGCCTCCACTTCAGATTTCTTCAGGTGTAAGTCTATTCTTAGGCAGAGTGGACTGTGTACGAGTGTTGATCTTTTCACTTCAGTCCGTCGGCGCGGTGTGGTAGCAGCTGCCCCTTGCAACAACAGCAGGCACTAGAGTCAGGCTTTCTTGCTGCAGCAACAGGCGCAATACTGAACAGTTGTTGGCTTTTAGCATTCGTTTGCGTCCTTTCCCGTTGACTTAGCCTGACTGCCCATGACAGAAGCCGTGGAATTCGATGTAAAGTGCTGTTGCGGACACGGCGCCCGAGCCAAGCTCTGACCGCTCTTCTACTTCCGTAGCCGCGACTTCTTGCATCCCCATGCATGCCTCTGTCTGAGGTGCATGTGCATTGGTCTCCCTCCGTACTCTCTTCCCCTTTCTGCCCGCGAAGAACATAGTATTTCTCCGTGCCCATGAGTTCTGCTGATTCGAAGCTCTTTGCAACAGGCGATGCAACGCCAGCCGGCGAGGCGGCGGTTGCACGAGAAGGCGAGGGTGAAGGTCAAGCAAGCCAAAGGGGATTTTTGTTTTCTACAGTCGCATCGATGTTCATGAAAGGCAGTGAAGAGGAGGAGGAGGAAGAGGAAGAAGAAGAAGAGGAGGAGGAGGAAGAGGAAGAGGAGGGCTGGATCTCGTGGTTCTGCTCCTTAGAAGGTCATGACTGCTTTGCGGAAGTGGATGAGGAATATATCAGAGACACATTTAACCTCTTTGGCCTGAAGTCTGCCGTTAACAACTTTGATTCCGCAATGGATATGATCCTCGGAGAAGCCCCCGATGAAGACGAAGTTGTTGAGCAGAGTTTTGTAGATGTGTATAGGGATGCAGTAGATCTTTACGGACTGATTCACGCAAGATACATCATTTCACCTAGGGGACTTCCACAAATGGTAGGGTTTCAACACAATCACCAGTAAAAGAATGGGAATACCGAGGGCCTAGTAGAGGGGAGAAGGGAAATAATGATAGTGCAAATGCCTTTTTGGTACGTAGAGGAAATCCCCTCTGCAAGCGCCTAGGATGTTGGAATGTGAATGAATATCTTATGTATACTTGTATGTGTAAAGCGGCGTTCGTACCTAGTAGCGTTGCAGGCAATCCTTTGCCTACATTTCATAATTCATGTTTCTCAGCTGTCGGTGCATTTGTACATCCTAGTCTGCTGCTCAGACGACGGAAGTGAATATTGTGTTCTCAGTTCATGCGGCGTTAGTTTCTATCCTCTGTATATCCAATGTGCAGTGTGACCATGATATTTGTGAGCGTCAATTGCCATGTGTGTGTCTGTAGCAGTTTTCCCGTCTTTCCCTGTCTCGTTGTTGGATTGTTAATTGTCTATTAGCTTCTTAAATCAATTTTCCTCACATCTATAGAGCCCATATGTTTGCGGATCAGAGGGACCGGTGCATGGATGAGGTCTTTGGTCATTGCCCGCGCGTTCTTTGTGATCGCCAACTGCTTCTTCCCGTTGGAATATCGCCAGATCTTCGGCTGTATAGGCTACGAGTGAGGCGGACCTACAGGCATCCAGAAGAATAGCTAGTTCGTGGTTGTATCCTTCGCTGTTCTTTCCGCCTACCGCGCCAGTGGACGGTTGTATCGTAGAGTGCAAGGGTTAGGGTTTGGTGGCCTGGCCCTAAGCAGTCAGCCGTCCTCTCTCTGTATGCTTGTGTACATGTTTTACAGTTATTTTGCCCTCTCTGTCGTGAAGTTTATGAGATGCTAAACGGCAACGAAGTGACGAAAGACATTGATGGCGCGTATTTTGGACCCTCCTTTCCGCACATCTTCTTACAAACGTTTTCCAGCTGGGTAAGCCTCTTTTTACTGCTGGTCTCCGTGTCCCTGGCACTGATATGAACGACGCAATATCTCAGGCTGCGAAGTGGCAGGCAGCAACGATGGACAAATCTCGCTAACTGCTAGGGGAGCTGGGGTGCTACAGGTTCAAGGGAGGCGCGTCAAGGAGAGATGGTTGCCTTGCTGGCATATCCAGACGCATCCAGGGCTTTCTCATGAAATTCATGTTGAACGTTTATGCCGTTAAATGTCTTCCTTAGTGCGTGTGAGTGCCTGTTTCTGTGTACTCAGGTTCCTAACGCCGCTCCAATTCCTTACCAACCGCGCCTCTTTGGCTTCAAGATTCATAATAGGCATTCTGTTATCAAGATAAAGCTGGAGAACGTGCGTACACTATGTGCCTAATATAAATGTGTATATCTGGCGGCTTGCGTCTAATGCTTTCTCGGTGAAGTTCCTGCTGCACACATGGGCTCATGCTTAAGGTCGGACAGCGGTGCGCGCCGCGTTCTCTCCGTTTTATCGAGCCTTCATATCCTTTGCAGAAGTGCCTGACTGTATTGGGATCCACACTGAGTACGGCTAATGCGCGAGATCGAGGATATGGAAAGTGCTAGGTTGTACGTTGCTCGAATGCCGTGGTTTTGTGTTCCCTCGTTGCTCACAGTTGCGGGTGGTCTTGTTAGTTCAACGTCAGTTCTTGTCTGCTTCGTTCAGATTCCTTGCCTTTGGGTGCCCTTTTCGGATCGGAGTCTTTGTTTTTCTACATGAGGTGTATGCATAGTGGGGCGCGCGACCTGCTATGCACCCGTTTGCTTTTTGCACTTGTGCATTTTACTCAGGGCGAATACGGTAGCGCCTATGTCTCTCAGAAGCGACGCTCTGCCGTCGCTGCCATAGAGGGCGGGAGCGCTGAGGAGGATAAACAGGCGGCTTAAGTTGTAAGCACACCTCAGTCGCATTCATTTAGCAGACACCACATCAAAGTCGGAGAACACAACTTCGATCATAAACGTGCCTCCCTCCTTGACAGGCACCAGGCTGCGTGCTGCCAGCCATGAAGGCAGGGGCCCCCGGCCGTATACAATATAAAATAAACAATCGTAATAGAAGAGGTAGATTTATACAAAGGAAGGCCCAGACTACAAACTCTTTGTATCTTCATTGTGGATGCATTTCCTTCCCTGCTAATGCCGTTATTTAAGAACGTATCTAGATATATCCTAGCATAAAAACTTTGCAGCACAGCAAGAAATGGCCTTTATAGCGCCCCTTCTTGCGTCATCTCTGAAACGAAACATGGAGTTAATGCAGTTGAGCCTTTGCTCATTAGAGCACTTGGCAAAAGACACGATGGAGCAGCATGATCACTGGTACGACGTTTCAATTTGGAATTTGGCGCTTAAATCGTCATAGGACGTCTCCATCTCGGGTGAATACGCAGGCATCAAGAATCTATGGTTTCTACCTTTTAGAGGGTGGAAGGACGCCACCGCTAGCGCCGTAAGCAGATGCGTATCCTGCGGCACCGAGTAGTACTGGCCCCCGTTCCAATGCCACTATTGACTGCCTCTTTAAGATATGTCTACTGCGAGGGAGCAGAGTCGGTTTCCTGCCCCACGGGCGGAGTTGCGTGTGGGAGGACTGGAAGGCACTTTGTTTGTTCCCCTTGCCATGTGTATGGCCCCCTCCCGCTATGTAAGGATGCTTGCAACGGCCCCCCACTTCAGCAGAAACAAGCGAGGCGGGAATCGCTGCTTGGCCACTAAATAATAACATAGGCATACTTCTGTTCCTCGTACAACCCCCCTACGCGTGCCTATTGGAGTGTGTTTCTGTCGTACAGAAATGGGTCACTCCGAATGTTAAGGAACACCCAACTCTGTGTGGCAGCTTCGCACTCCGTGTAAAGTTTACCTCATATGTCTGGCTCTTCACCCCGCCGCTTGTGAAGGCGAAAAAAAGAATTAAATGCACTCACATGTTGGATATCTTCTCGCAGCGAGAAGCAAATCCAAGGTGAAGGGAAAAAAACAGGGAAAGAGGACAGCTGCGGATGCGCGCTCCCCCTTAATCCTTGCTTAGATTAAACCAAGTCAAACCTTCTTCCTAAACAAGCAACCGCATAGAAGACACCAGCGTACACACGGGCGTGAACTCAATTGGTGAAAAGGCGAAAACGAACTGAAAGGGAAGGCGTGCACACGCGTGCTCTTGGCTGGCAATAGCGTAGGCCAGGAGTTGTGCGAACCTCTTTTCTAAGGGTCAAAGTGATTTTGGCCTCCGAGATGGAGACAGCAGACTCGGAGGGAATGATGCCCCCGTAAGTCCGTTGAATCGTTAACAAGTACAAACCAGATGGGCCTGCAAGCCAAGCAGCAGAACAGTCGAGCAGAAGATCGACACACACACTTTTAGCAGGAAGCGCGGTAGAAACGTCTAGCACAAAGAACGTGAACGTCGCTAAGACGGACCGACACAAGCAGCAAGCACCCATGCAAACAAGGAGAGGAGGTAGAAGAACAAAAACGGTCCGGCTTGCCGCCTCCTGCTCGCCTATTTAGATGCGAAGAACACCTTCTAGCGCTGAAGCTCGACAACTAAAGCAGATAAACAGAGTAGACGAACGTTCGATTGCGAGAGCCACTCGGTCAGAGGCAAATTGCACGGCGACCTTTTCCGCGGTGAAAGGCCCGTCCGCCTCCTCGCCTGGACGTATGTTCTGTAGGCTGAGATACACCCTGTGTGCAAGCCGCACAGCAAATCCACAAAGCAGTCAAGAGGCGCCTTTTGCTAGTACGTCAAGGCCTCGTTGAAACAGTAATGCGGCCAAAATATCTGGGCATGGAGAGGGCAGGAACCCTTGGCAGTGGGCCCCTTCCACGAACATGTGCGCCATTATGGCCTGCTCGGCAGCTTGTGCCTCTAGTTTTGAATCTGCCTGCTACTGATCTAGGCAGCGCCTGTCATGGTGTTTTACTTGACAGTTCTCTTGCTGTCTGCCCAAGAGTAGCGTCTAAGAGAGGTAGCCGCAGGCACTCGACGCCCGCCAATGGCTTCTTCCGCCGCATCCTTCGAGCTGATGGGCCTCGTGGGCTCTGAGGGCCCCCTGGCCAGGAGAGCCGGAGGGCCACCCGTAACGATACCGGGGCCCTCAATTTTCTAAAGGTAGCACATAGTACGCACTCGTAGCAGCACCATGGAAGGCCACAGGTGGTAAGTGTAGATGGCAAAGGGAGTACAACGGCCGAGCAAAGTAGAAAAATGAATGTGCCCATTGAACTAGCAATTCGGGGGCGCAAGGAGCAACAAAAACAGGAAACCAGGATAAAAGGCTCTGTTTTCATGCATCCCCAATGCGCACATGGGTATTCCCCCTCACTTGTTCTTCTGCATACCTTAGCCTCCTCGCTGGCCGCCGGAAGCGGTGCATGAGCATAATAGTACTGTGTGGACACAACAGCGCAGAGGGGGGGATGTATTCACGGATTAGAAGACAGTGCTGCGGTAACTCGTGCGCTCCGAACAGATACAGTGGCTACAGCGAGAAAATCGGCTAAAGAAGGGGCAGCAGCATCAACAACAGAGTAGACATACACTATTTGAGCCGTATTTGGCGATGCTTGAGCGCAGCGCGCTGCCTTGTCGTTCCAACTGTTGAGCATATGGGGAAGTGCCTTGGGGGGCCCCCTCTGGTCCCTCAACGGCTGAGAGCTCAGGTGCCTCAGTTGCCATTATCAGATATAAAAGCACCACCTGAATGTATTTAAAGGCACAAACTTTGTTGTTGGGGAGGAGGGAATAGGTAGGAAGAAACTATATCCCTGCTGTGCGGATCGCGGGCGCTGGACTGTCGAGAATCCCACGGTGTAGCAACTGCTCCTACAGAGGCCAGGAAATACATAATTTGCGTGCTTTGAAAGACTTAGGGCTGGATTTGTTAAGCCATTGTACAGCTGGACACTACAGAAAAATGAAATGGCAGGCTTCCCCAGCATCGATGAGCAGCAGAACCAGCTGAAAAGGAAGAGCAAAGGAAAACGGATAATTGAAGCTTACCTTATATTGCAATATGCAAGGGATGGAGCAATTCGAATAATGGAAAGAATAAGGCAAAAAGGAGCCAAGACACTGGTGCGGTAGGTACTTGTGTGCATAAACTGGGGACCGCGCCAGCGGGGCTGATGTGGTGTCTGGACGCCTCGTGAGCACGATAAGACGTTCAAGTATGAATAGCCCGTAAAGCTAAATACGAATGCATGCACTAAACTGGATGTCAAAGACCCAAGAGCAACTGAGGAATATGACTCTGTAGAACCGAAAAAGTGGGATGTGGTGGACGTGGATTCCGCATTGGGTGTTGCCTTCTATGGATGAGATTGGTACACGTTAAACCTAGTTATTATGACATCCGCTTTTTTCGTTCACTCATTCCTTCAGCTCTCAGCTCAGCCTTCATTGACCCTCACTTCAAAGTGCTTCTAAAGGAATACCTCTACCAGGTGACAGTGCACGGTTCAGCCCCGTCCGCCATTATTCTCTCTTCTCTTACATTCCTAGCAATACAGCTACCAGGGCGTACCATAGATAAAAGGATTCTTGCTGGGCTCTAATTTTGTTTGTTTTACTAAAGGTGCACAGAAGAAACGTCGTCTTGCTTCTCCCGTAGCCCGAGGGAAAATGCCAACGCAGCTCATCAAGTCTGCAGGCGGTAAGAAACACAGGAGAGCACCATTTTCGAGCCTCCAAATCCAAAATACGCATGCAAACTGTAACATGCTGCTGCATACGACTAAAGCGGGATGCGAGCAGTGACCTGTTTCAAGAAGTGCCACTGGGACTTCTGGCCTTGCTTAGTCTTCCAGTACAATATTAAGGCTAACTTGACGGAATGCAGCAAAACCGTTAGAGCAGTGCCCTCCCGCTGCTCGCCTATTCGTGATCTCCTCGTGAGCTGATGGCGAAGAGCTCTCCTTTCGGTAGAAAATGTAGCTTGGTCTCCCATCATGGTGCATCGGCGCACGCTCGATCACACAATGACGCAAAAGCCCCCCAAAATACTGTTTGTGGGAACGAGTCTTTAACGAAAAGCAGTCAAAGAACGCCTCGTGGCCTAAAGGAAAATTAGTTCTCTTGAAACTAACAGGGAACCCAATAGCTCTGTGATTTTGATGGCAAAACTCAGAGTACGACGCTGTTACTCAAGAGGGCACAGTGGTGGTCACTTTCTTTGCAACATGGAACGGTAAGAATGGCACGGCCCCCCACAGATGGCACTGCTATCGAAGCGCTTAAGCAAATATGCCTACAGAAAAAGCCAAAAATACAAACGGCGTGCATCCTGTGAAGGCAGACCATACCCACTGCGTTTTCGCTATCAGGCCCCAGCAGGCAGATCAAGCCGTTTATTGAGGAGACAAGCAACAAAAAGGAATATATGAACATCAAATTCGTGCTGGTTAGTCGTTTGTGTTCCCTTTGGACTCTGGAGGGCCATGTTAACAGACTTACAGGCTTCACGTTTCTTTATGCAAAAGCCGCGAACAAGCAGATATATATGCATTTATATATATATATATATATATATATATATATGTACATAAATAAATGCATGGCTGCGTGTCCGATCTGGCGCTAATGTGAAACGTTGCCATGCGCACTGATGCACAGTTTCGCAGAGCGTCACACTGCTGAAACCGCTGGTGCAGCTAACTGCTCATAAACTAGCAACATGCATGCGCCACAGGCATTCAACACTTTGCTAAGGGGTGTCTATCCATAGAACAAGCTGTAGGGGCGGAGAGTCGAGCCAAGAATGCTCTGTGGTATGCGCATGCGTCAAATTATATGAATTCTTTTTGTGTTGTTCATCAGGTGGATGCCGATGAGTGCCCTGAGCTAACGGAGCGAGAAGATGTAAGCTCCATGCCAACATTGAAGATCTACAAGAATGGGAAGTGCATGCACAACCTTACAGGTGCCAATCAGGCGGCCGTTGATGATTGCTTAAAAAGGGCCATTTGAGGCGGCTTCGCCCGTCTTTCCGCCTCCTCGGCCTTTCTTCCCGATACGCTACTCCCTCTATTGCCCATGCGTAAAGCGTCACTTGTCATTAGCAAGGGTTGGCGCGGAACTTTTCACGCAAAACAAATATCCACATTCACCATCGAAAGGCGAAGACGCAACCACTAAAAACCAAACGAAGAGAGGGTGCAACGCGCCTTTTGTGTCTGCCTGAAGAGTTGTAGTGCACAGTGCTTTTTCCCGCGCTATACATATACTCTATCTTCAAGGGAAGTGTTGCAACGGCACATGCAAAAAAAGGAATTTAATAAAAAGCAGAAAGAGTCACCTCAGGTGCCTACGTGTAGGTAGCTGTGGTGAGAGTCCACGCAATAGCTGCGATTCACTTCAGCTAAAGCCAGCCAGCCATTAAAGCCCCATCTGAGGGGTAAATTGGTCTCCCGGCTGTTTGTGATCTTTGAGGTTTGGTTGCGCCTCATACACCTGAGGCCACAACAGGCACGCATAAGCCAAAAGTGCCGCGCCGTTGAGAGCTTCGAGTTTGAGGTTTCGAGGCTCGAGGCTTTCCAGTTAGAGGTATTCTTACCGTTTGAACGGCTCTGCGCTGGTATTTCGACCCAACACCCCTGAGTCCTGCGGCCAATACAGGGAAACACACAACAGATATGCAAGTGCACCAGTCGCTGCCAGTGAAAGTGCCGTGCCGTGCCGCACAGCGCTACCAGTTTGTACAGACAGCGCCACCCGAAGAGAACGCGGACCGATATAAACGATTTCCGTGCAGTCGCCTCCAAAGTTTTCAGGAAAATACAATGCCAGAGACGACACATTCTGCAGTTTGGTGACCTGAGTGAACGACGCAGAAACACTCATTCCCACTAAACTTAAACGCATGAAGATTTAAGCACGAGCAGTTTACAGAGGGAGCCGAGCATAGCGCAGATAAAGGCAGGTAGATACGGGAGAAGACGCAAAGTGAAGAGTAGACCCACACAGCACACAAAAAATGGAAGCGAACGGAGGCTAGGAGGCAGAGAGACAAAGCAGAGACACGATCCGCGCATTTTACCTTTAGAGGGTACTCTACTGCGCCATGGAAGTCTTCTGTCAAATCGATCTCCTGAACGCATTCTGTCTCCCTCACGCTGCAGGCCCACGCGCACAGGTCGCAACCAACACAAAAATCCACCATCCCCTAACAAGCATTTCTCCCAGCTACGCTACTGCCGCATCTGTAGCATTTCCTCCGCCTCAGTGTGCTGTCAAAGCACTCTTCGTAAGGCAGCAAGCAACAAAGAAGCCATCCCTCGCCTTCTGCTTACTTGGTAAAGTCCAGGTCCTCACGGTTCGCGAAGACCTTCACTTTGCCAGGTGCGCGACCTTCTCCCCCGCCGATGACTATCAAACTAGAAATCTGGAATAACACAGCACTCGGAAGCGCAAGCGGTGCAGTGATTCTGACTTGAAGCATGAGCGAGAGCGCGAACAGTCAAAAATGTGCAGTGTGTCTGTGCATGCATCCGTGCCTGCATTTCAGGTGTAGGAGAGCCCTTGCGCACCTTGCACGGCGAAATGAAGGGTATATAAATAATCTGAAGAGCCGCATAACATTTAACTGTGGCTCGCAGATACATCGTGCCGCATCAATTGCAATGCGAAGCCATGTCCCCACTATTGGAGAGGTGCGCTGCTTTCAGAAGTCCATGCGACTTCGAGGTGCAGGTAAGGCGAGTTAAGCAGAAAGCGGAAAAGGAAGAAGGGAAAGCAAGGGATAGCGTAAGGCGCGGGAGTAGCGGACAGCGAGGGTGGGGAGAACACAGCGTTCGTTCGTGGGACTGACAAGCTCTGAATCATCTTGTTCACTCTTGCACGACAGAGAGTCATCGAGTCGTTCGTCGTAAGTTTTAATGACTTTCTTAGCCGATCCCCTCTCCTGTGCAAAGAAAAAAGGTGCGCAGGAGAAAATCCACTTGCGTTCAGAAGTGCTTCTGACTTGCATGTTTCGCGCGTTTACCCAAAAAAGGAAGGGAAACGAAAAGGAGCAATAGGATCTACAGTAACATAGAAAGTGGTGCAGTCAGTTGAACACATTGAAGAAAGGGGCACACGGCAAACCAGGGACCTGCCTGGCGTATGTTGATACGCTAATGCCCTTGTAGCCCATGAAAAATGCGTTTTCGATTTTTGTGCCGCTAAGAAGCGAACTGTGTGTGTACAAAACCTTATAAAAGTAGATTCTATCGCAACAGCTAGCTGAAAAGGGGATGTACGCTCCACTGAAAGCGCTGTAAGTACCTGTTCGTTCACACCGCGGACGCCTTCTCTATCGATGTATCCGTACAGGAATTCACCGATTGTGAGTTCTGTCTCCGCCTTACAGCCGCAACCTTCTCCATGAACGCCCGGCATTTGCAGCTACCCCGTGCTGCTTGCGTGCGCTCGCCCCACTCTGGTAAGGTGTGTGTATGTCTAGTTGTGTCGGTGCACACAGGCGCTTGCCTACTGCCCGCTCCCAATGCGTAACCCGCCGAGAGTACGACTATCCTGTGCTGGGGTGAGAACCCTGCGTGGAACCCTTAGGATTGCAGAGTGGAAGCTGGTTAGTGAAGAGTACAGCTTTGTGCACGCGCTCTGCTCCGTTCCGCCAGGGGCGCACAGAGGTTGGCGGCAACTTCTTCTCCTGCCACATGCACGGATCTGCCTAAGGAAACGGAAAAAAGCATATATATATTTTACCTGTACAGCAGCAAACAAGGAATCCACAATGCTGCATGGAGAGTTCTTCTTCAGCGGATCGGCGTCGGCCCCACGCACATTGCAACCAGAAGCATGCAACAGAAGCAGCCACTCCTTGTCTTCTTCAAAAGACATTTTTCCTTCATTGAAACCTCTTGGAATCTACTAAACTAAATGATACAGTCGTCTTTAGACAGCCGTGTATGAGCTTTCCTCCTCACTAGAGGGTCTACGTGTCGACCTGACCGATGATGAAAGGCACTGTGCGCGTTCCTACACCGTTTTTAGCCTTCTATTGCACACTCTACTGCTTTGTACGCGTGAAGATCGTCAACTTGATTCGTATAACCCCCATGTTAGGTTTGGGGGCTGCAGCTGGCAACTGACTAATATATGACATCCTCACTGAGAACCGTTTTCGTACAGAACCCGCATCCTCCCCGAGAGAGAAGGGCTCATGGCTACAGAGATGGTACTTCTACGCCACCTTTGAAACGACAAAATTACCAGTGGCCGCACTTGGTGCACGTGCAGTCATCACTCAAGTTTGTGGAAAGTTTGGACCGCCGTAGTAACCACTAGGTTGCCTAGAGCGGCAACTCAAGATCTGTTCCAACCTTTCAAACCTATATTCGAGCAAATTAATATATTACGGAGAATCTTTGTCTTGCAGTATGTTTCGTGGCTATGAGACTCCTCTAATCCCTCGTGCTTTGGCAGTTCATGCCCTGAACAAGGACATCGGATATGACGCTCTCGCACTCAGAGGGGGAAAACCCCTGACTACATTTTTCGACGAAAATCTGCAATTTTATTTCAGGCATCTGCAATATGATGAATTGCGAGCGCGCGCAAGTCCTGTTTATCGCCGTAGAATACGGGTGCCCCCTGACTGTATACCCCAGGGCTGCCCTGCAACAGAAGGCAAGCCATTCAACTGATGCCATTCAACTGACTGCAGCTGTTGGTGCAATCCCCGATCGATGAAACAGGGGCCTGCTAGGATGTGACATCTCTCGCTGTTATTGCTGTAGGAGTACCCCGCACGATTGTACGCGCGCCTAAACGCCGCAGTACGGATACTCCAGCAGCAAATACAGAAGAGAAGAAACTCCACAGGCCGGAGAATACGTTGCTAAGGTACATTGGCTCGGCGTGAAGTCCTGAAAAGGAGGTTCAACATATCACAGATATGCATATATACACATATGCATATGTATGTATAGTGCAAGTCAAGAACAGGATATTAGGCACAAAAAGGCACAGTCGCATATACACCGACACACATACATACATACATACACATTCACACACACGCACATAAACATGAGTACACCTAGGCGATCTAGAAGTAATACAAACACATACGGGGGAGGCAACACGAGCAATAATAGAGAGAGGCATCCTTGGTAGCGACCTTCGAGAGATGCTTTCGTCTCCGTTGTTGCTTACAAAATGACTCACCTGTATGATCCAATTCGTTCCAAGGCAGCATCGTCTGAAAAAACAAGAGAAGTGGTGTACTACGGAGGGACAAGTGCTGCCTCAGCCTTCCTTCCCGCCGCCCTGTCTGCCTCCGCAGCCCCTCCATATCCATCAAGGCCGTTGGAAGCGTTGGGTGTCTAGTGAACTCCGAAATGCGCGCTTCCGTGTAGCGGCGCAAGTCCATTAGGATGACGCTCTTAGACCACAAGGCTTTGTGCTCACGAAGGGCACCATAATCTGAAGAACAGACACCCCATTGGTGTAAAGGTGTGAAGGGAGAATCTGTCTGTGTGTCTGCGTCTGTCTGCTGTACCATTGGATAACGAAACAAAAGCAGCTGCCGGAAACAAGCTGCAGCTGGCTCTGTAAAACCCCAAGCGTGTGCGCTAGGGGCCTATGCAGTGACGCGGTAAAGGATGACACTCTCCATAGCTTGCCTGCTGCGTTGCGGCAGAGGGACGCCAAGTGGGCAGCACAAGAATGCAGCCAGCGGAGGACAGGCGCCCCACGCCAGAGTTCGTGGTTCCTCTCGATGAAGCATTGTATCAACAAGTCATGCGCGGCGTCCTCTCTAAAAGAGCAAACATGACAATTAAAAATGTAGAGCATGCAGGTACATTGTTGGATCTCTGGTTGCGTTTCGGCAGCAAAAGGCGGAGAAAGCCTTATTACGGAGCATGAAAGAAAAGACAAATCAACTGAACGATAAATAATACAAAAAGCGCAGTTCCTGCACTTGAATATGCCTCACGTTTTGTGGCATGGAAAATCACTAGACCACAAAGGCGCCGAAAAGATCAGCGCATCCCAGGGAACCTGTGGGTAGATTGAGTCTGCAGCAGAGTGCGCAAAATACAGAGAAAGGAAGAAGAAAATGCAGTGTATATCCTTCATTTGGTGTGCCACCCTTAACCTTATCTCAAGAGTCCGCGCCGCAACGAACCGTTGATTGTTTGTTCGCCTTTGATTTGCAGCTTCTGTAGCAGGCGCCGGACAAATGCTGGGAATAAAAGGATCGCATGCATCAGCAGGCAGTGCGCCACCACAGACGCCGCCCCCGACCGCTCTGCGATGCATTCTCTCTCATCACGCAAAATGCCGCAAATATCCCTCACGCCGATGTGCTTAATCGCATGAATCTCGGCTGTAAAGAGCAAGTAGGCATACATAGCCATGGACACACACGTATACAAGCAGCAGAACGCCGCCTCACGCGCACGTTCAAGTGCAGTAAAGGGTCTCCATGAACTGCCGGCCCCTCCCTTTGCTAGAACAGTCAGGATTAAACAGCGCGACATCAATGATGCAAATAACGGTTTCCATATATCCGGGAAGGGCTTTCTGTATAATGACCCAGCAGTATCTGTTTACGGAAAAGGCACGAACTCTACATCCTGTACCCGGGGGCATGGCCAAGCCATTTGGCTTACGTTTTTCCGTGTGCATAAAGCTGGCAAGCGCAGCTGAAAAGGCAAAGTTTGGGAGGGCGCATCTCAAATCCGAGACCTCCCATTGGGTGCCTTGTTCTTGAATTTCCTCTTGCATTGTGTTTGCCATGCAACTCCCATCTGCTTGCACAGCTGTGGCTGCACGCGCTGTGAGCGAGACGACGTAGGTGAGGTGCTGCTTGACAAATTCCTGCGAGAATCGCTGGAGGAAGGCATACTTCCGTGAGCGGATAGCAAAATGATCGAGATGCAGGAGGGCGTGACAAGGGTCATAGGACAGATCCATCGACAGCAGCAATTTGCAGATCTCTAGGGCACTCCCATGACCTCCCTGATCTCCGAGGCCAAGCATATACAGCAGTAGGCACACGAATAATTGTCGATTCAACGGGTTAAGAGAATCGACGGACACCTGCAACAGCAGAAACACAAGTGGAAGCAAACACAATGTTCAAGAGATGTCCCTGTGTAGGTAACTACATAGACATGCACATACACACATACAAACATACATACATACATTCACATGCACACACGCAAGCACGCATGCATTCATATATTGCCTTTGGATAAAGTACTGGGACTCTTTGTGGGCAGCTCTAGAGCTCTATGGTTGCCCTCGCTCGAAAGTTCTTCCCAGATTTTACTTGAGGCGTCCCGTCCGCATTTCGCAAAAAGGGAGAGAAAGCATAGTGAAATGCAGCCTGCAAGCTCAGAACCGCTTGTCGAACGACCTCGTGAGCCATTTCATGGTTTCCTGCCACCCCCAGAGACTGAGCGAGCGCGAGCAAGCCATCAGGATGCAGCGGTTGGTCTCTGCAAAACTGACGCAGCGCCAGCGGATCGTGGCTGTGCACAGCTGCAAAGAAAGCGGGCTGCACGCGAATGTAATCCTCCGAAAACTGCAGAGAGAATTCCCAGTTGCCAGTCGACTGATCAGTTGTACCAACCATGCGCACCCAAGGATTTAGCACAGTCCCTTGCGGTCCAGGAGGAGACAACAGCCAATAGCGGCGAGCCCGAGCGCAGCCTGAAGAAAGAAGCAGATGCACAGCGGTAAAGTAGGGCGCATAGGGAAGGGATCGTGTATAGGGGGATGCAAGGGGTGCCTGGAGTGCAATAAGCACCTAAAGCAGAAATCCACCGTGTCGCTATCAGGAGCCTTGTTGACACAGTCACTAGAAGCATAGCATACACCCGGAGCGCTCCAGAATTCAGAGGTTCTGGGTCTACCCGATCCCCACAAAGCTGCAGGCACATCTCCTCTCGCTGCCTGCGCCTGGCGAGCTCTCACGGAGAGGTACCAGACACAGTACAAATGCGGCGACTGGCCAGCCACGCGACACGGACGGCAGAACAATCAACGATACACACCGGAGGGGCCCCTGAAGGCGGTCCTAGAGGTTCGCACCACTTCCCTCCCGAAGAGTCTTATCAAGTCCGTTTCTGGGTCGAACGCCGAACGCTCCATCGACAGACAACTCGTCACTGCCATGGCACCCTGCGATGGCTCAGACTGCCCTGGAGCCTCCGCTGACGCCGCCAAAGATGGTGATTCCAATTCGGTAGGAGCCTCAGGAGGAGAATCATGGTCTGCTGGCGCTGCACTTAAGAAAGCCCCCACTGGCCTCCGCTTTCTTCGTTTTCTCAGTCTTCTGCCATTGCACTGTTGTTCGCATCCATGTTGAACAGCTGCGCACCTCGAGAGATTTTCCTCACGACGGCTTTCAGTGGCGATTTCTGCGGCTTCTTTTGCTTCTGCGGCTGGACCTTGGCTTCTCGTTCCTGGTTCTTCATGCGGATCTTTGCTATCGCTTTCTGCACTTGATTCTGCGTCTTCTTCTTTCAAACCCCCCTCCTCCACCGCTGCTTCTGCGTGTTGTTCTTCCGCCTCAGAGACCTGGAAATCTGATCCAAGTGCCTGCAAGAAGACACCTGGTCTGCTCCTTCGCAGCGTTCCCGGCAAGGAGCCATTAAGCGACTCATCCGATGAAGATTCTTCCGAGTGGCTCTTCAAACAGCTGCGGCTGCAACTGCTACGTGTTTCAGGTACGCAAGCACCGCGCCCTTCAACTTTTCTTAGTTGCCGCAAAGACATTTCCCGCGCACCCAAAATGCCTACATTTGCGGTAGTTGACCCACATTTCAAGATAAATCGCAGAGAAAGTATATATTAAAACGCTCTCTTCATGAAGGTTTTGTGTGGCTGTCGTACGTTTTTCCTCATGGGCGCTGCCGACGGGTGCTTTTTGCATGCGCATGAAAAGAAAAGTCCCACGCATATGTGCTTGGGATCGTTGCTCAGTATTTTTTCTCTTTGTCATTCTCTGTCCTTCACTAAAGGCTTAATAGATCCTCAATGTAGGCCCAGATCGCAGAGGTACCGCAGCTTCTCTTCGCCATGTGAATCTTTCTCATTTGGATTTTCCCATCGAGTTCTTCTGCGTGCCTTGCCTCACTATTATCCCTTTTTGTTCTTCGAGGAGCCCCCTTATCCAACTTCAAGCGTTTCCGTTTTACTGTTTGGAGCTCGATCTTCCCTTCCTTCCTGCCAAGTTTTCTGTCCCTCCGTTTTCCCTTCCCCATGGAACTCGCCTCCCGGCCGTCCAGGCAACAATGTTCGTCAGACTGAATCCCCCAGCTTCCCGCCGCACGCGATTCATCGCCCGCCTTCCTGTGCTTGTAGATCGGAGTTCTCTCGGAGCAGCTTACAGCAACGGGGGGCAGGGAAGTTTCGCCTGGAGGCAGGAGGCCCGATACTGGCCTTACGGGGGGACACCTAGAAAGCTCCCAGGTATCTTAGATTGCTTCCATGGTGCCATTCCTGCGGCGAAGGGCAGAAATAGGGGGTACTGCGATGGTGGAGCGCGTAACTCTTCCGGACATGAAGTATGCGTGCACCCCCGTAACGGGGGACCGTTGCAGAAGAAGCCTCCGAAGGCGGCGCGTCTTCCAGCTTCCGCGATAAAACCTTCTATGCATGCGCTCTCACCAAGCAAGCCTATTCATATAGCGCCTAAAGTTCTGGAGGCAGACGCACCTGCCGCAGCCGGAGGGTCACCAGCAGGAGGACGTGGGAGCTTCCTGGGATTCTGCCCAGCTGGATCGCATTTTGTTCGCGCGTTTTCTTCGCAGTCACTCCCTCCTGCGGTTTCGAGTTTCAAAGGAAACGGATTCTCTGCCCTCCGCACTTGTGTGCGATGGGGCCCTTCGCAAATGGATTTTTTTGTTTGTGGTTTGGACCCTGAGCCATCAGGAAGAGTCGCGAAAGACGAAGAAGCTGGAGGGCGGCTCAAGGGAGGAGATGTCGGCAGAGAGTGTGGTGGAAAAGTGCTGCCTCGTTCCCCTCTATCGGCAATTGCCGCTGCGCAAGCCCTTCGTCCGAATATCGTGTTGTTTGGCCTCGGATACATGGACGCGGAAAAAGTCTTCGAGACTTTTTCTCGTGAGGCCCTGCTACGGTCTGGAGAGCGTGATCCTGTAGAGAAAGTGATTCAGTGTGACAATGGACAGTTCATTCCTATGCTGCAACAGGTGATCCTCGAGGGGACACCATACTATCTCGTGGGGAGAGACAGGCTAGTCGAAATGGGGGCTTTGGGAGGCGAGCTGCTCTTTCACCCCTCAGAGTTTTATTCTTTGGTATGGAAGCTAATCAGCAGAAGCAAGGACAAAGAGGACCTTTCAAGAAGTCTCAAAAAGGTTTTGTCAGAAGATTCATCCGAATTCTGCCTCCTTAAAATTCACCAGTATCTGCTCGAATGGACTGATGCACCAATGGCAGCAAAACAGCCTCCTCAGGTAATACCCATCCCCAACGTTTCATATTGTGGTGTTTCCCCTTTCCCCGTGTTCGTCGGATTTGATGGATGGTTAGTTGGCTACGTGCCTGGTATCGACTGCTAGTGCCTGGTGTTAGCGCAACTGGCCCGCCATGTTGTTGCATAGCGTCTGTGGGATGAACTGAAATTTTACACGACTTGCCATCCAAAACAAATATAAACCTGTTTCCGTGTTTTGGTTTTTTTTCCAGGAATTCACCGAAACAACATTCACAAGAAAATGGATCATTGGCAGAAACAAAAGCGAGTGCCAATTGCGGCAGAGAGGGAAGCAGTTTGAGCTGGCCAGGGCCCCCCTTCCTTCCTTGTTGAAACAAAAACCGAACTGGAAGATTCTTGTGGTCTGTGATGCTGCCTTGGAGGAACGGCTGGCCGGACGGCTAGCTAGCGAGCTCAGCGAGATGAGGCGTGAGGGACCCCGGTTTAAAAGGATGTTCGAGTTGGAGGATACTAGTTCGACTCGTTTTCATCTCTGTCTTATGCTGTATGTGATTCTACCCATTGCCACTGTGTGCCGATTTGCCTGGAAGAGAATCAAGCGAGCATATCTTCGCTACTGGGTTATTGGTAAGCAGCAGCAACTGCTCAAAACGCCCTCCTGTGGAAGTGGATTAACGCAGCAGAACAAAGGGTCCCCTCTTGACCATACAACTATGCACTTCTCACCCGCGACGCAAACCACTTATATATTCGCGTGGCGCAAAGTGTTTGCTGTGTCTAGTGCACTTCTGATGCCTGTACTCAGACGAAGCGTAGAGCTCTCATCTGTGCATGTTCGTTTCTCGTTTCTTGTATCCCAAGACTCGCTTCACCTAAACTGTCATCACCTATATGGTGACAATGATTATCACCGATAAGAGAAGATGCTCCTCGTCTATACGAGTTTTTTGTGTTGTTTCCTTCAGGCAGCACAGTAACCGTCAGCGGCGACGAAGTGTTGTCCAAAATCCGTGAGCGTACTGATGAGGAATCTGATGAAGAATCAGAGGACATGAGAATGTCAAATTTAGAGATTGTAGAATCCAGGTGGATGGGACTCCGACACAGCGTCCGTGATAAATCACGGGATTAAAGGGTGTTGACGGCCTCGGCAATGCCTTGCCTGTTTAATTTCCTGGGCTTTTCACAGGCGGCCCCTTGCAGCAGAATGACGGTTTAGACTGTAACTTGCAAATCTAGAGCACTTTTACAATGCTATTTCGGGCTTAATTTTATAGCAGGACGAGAAGTTATACTTTTACACAACGCACACGCTGACTGAACCAGTCCTTCTCTCTGCTCCTTGAGCTGATTTCTTCTCCGCTGAGCTTCCGCTCTGCCCTCCCCATTCCGACTCACAATTCGCGTAAACTACAAGCGTATCAAATATGGGAAAGGTATGAGGCGAAATAGGTTTCTGGATGCTTTGGCTGAGGCGCTTAGATAAGTTCAGCTTTCAAGTCCAAGTTCAGCAGTTCGCACGTTTTGTGAGTGCCGTAAAGCGGCAGTGCGGGCACAGAAAGATATGATACGGCGGCCGTGTGCACTGTGCTTTCTGAAAATACGGATACTTGCCGCTGGGCCCAGCACACCCATGGATTCTAAGAGGAACAAAAAGGACAATTGAATCAATGATGCCCTTCCTCGTGATGATCGGCAGGAATAGGGTCAGAAAGATGCACCTGCGTCATGCAGAGCACATACCCCAATAAAATTGCCTTTAGTGCGAGATACTAGCCTTGAAGTGCGTTCCTATTGGCTTAAATGTCTCGGTGCGTGTTACGTCTTAATTAATCTTGGCCTTACCGCGAGGGTGCCTGGGGTTGAAACTCTATTGAATTGACGGAAGACGAAGGGGAATTGGATGCCCTGGAACGTGTTGATGAGGTAATTTTCTCGAAGCTTGAAGAGGAAATCCTTGATCTCATTCAGAGAAAAAGGATGGTCCAAGCCGCGATAGAAGTAGCGTGCCTCATAGGTCATCAGCGATATTTTCAGAGCCGGGCGTTTTCCGGGATTATGAAAAGCCGACAGGATTCTAAACTTTGCTGAGAAGGAAATGTAGGCAGACTGACGGTCAGGTATTGAGAGAGGGAAACAGACCATATGTAGGGAACTAGGGACGAAGACCGCAGGTGCAGAGGCAGGGAAGACGTTAAGGGCTGCCATGGAGAGACACGGAAGTAGAGAGACACAGAGCCAAACTCACGTGAGTTAAGCCAATACCGGTCAAGGCGCTCCATTGGCGGAGGATCTAAGACAAAACCAAACATGGAATCTGTCGATACCCAAACCATGAGTCTGAAGCGAGGCGTTCGCAGTGAGATCCACAGGAGTACCGTTCCTTGTGCTTTTCACCCCGCCCTCTCCCCTCATTTCTCCCCGTCCTTTGCTTTCTACACTAAGCGAAACCAACAGTGCGATCAGGGGTTGAGGGGTCAAGAATGTGGAGGGACAGTGCTTGTACCGAAAACTCTGCTCCACCAGAGGAACGCTGCAAACGCAGCTGCAGAAGTCCAGGCATTTCCAAAAAAGAAGAAACTGCGGTTGCTGAACTGCGCCTCCCACCACTGACGCCATAAGGGCTGTCTGACGTAATTGGGTGGCTCCAGCACCCAACGAGGGTGCATGATTTCGTTCATTTTGATGTTCCTTTCCAGTGGCGTTGGAGCTCCGGGGCTACCATCCATCTTCTTCATCAGAAGAAGAGGAGACCGTCGCACGGCGGCGCGACGACACGCAGAAACCAGCATCTTCCGCTCTACTGCAATTCCCTGAATTAGCGGCGGGTGATCCTTGAGAGTTGGCTTGTCCTGGCCAAACGAAAGATCTCCCGATAGCCTTCTGCGCTAAGGGAATGTTCAAGAACCCGTGGTGAACGGGCTTGTAGTACTAGAGCGGACCAGAAGTGGTACCCAAAGGAAGAGAAAGATGAGGCGGAAGGAGGGGTGCTGCAGAGATCCACGACACCCTCGGTGTACAGGCAACTCAGCAGCCTTTTCCTGCTACTTCCAATAATTGAAATTTGTCCCCTTCCACACATAGAGACAGGAGGCAACCAAGCAACTGAGGGGCTTTGCGGGGCTGCCTTTCCGCGGCTCTGGGCGTTCCCCAGAAGAAAATTAGGCTTGAAGTCAACGGGACAAATAATATTATGTGCCGATTAAATATCTTGATTTGAGCGATATCTCTTCCACCATTCCTCGTTTGCTTCCGTCATCAGCTTCTCATACACACAAATGCCACTGTGCGAAATTGCCTCGAATGCCCAAGTCCAGCAGGACGTGGCAGATGCATTTCTTGCAGATGTTGAAAGCAGTGAGAAATTATAACAACCTAGCGAATTCCTTCCCTTAATGACACAACCAACTGCAGATGCACATACAAGGGCGCACATTAGGCACGTTGCCACTATTCCACTTAACCCAAGTTAACTGTCCTTGCACTCCGATGCCCATCTGAGCCAGACTGTATCGACAAGCAACCTTATTAGGTGCCTTGATTCACCAGCGCCGATCATAGAGACACACCAGCACACACTGACGACACGAAGCTCGCGTCCTAGCTTCCTACTCCCTTGCTCTTATAGGGCTCCGAACTCTTTATTTTGCAGCCCGTCCATCTTTGTTCTTCTGCTCAGGTATAAACAAGCTTCTTGGCAAGCCAACTCAGTACATTATGGCGTCCCTTTCGCACTGCGCTATGCGCCACAACGGCAGCAGTCAGCCCTCTGCAAATGTTCGCCTCCATTCCATTGGAGGGATTAACAGCAGGAACAACAACAAGTTATGCACTGAGCTTTCGGCTCTCTGCCAGAAGCACCTAGGAGTTTCATCGGATCGAGTGTACGCCAGTTATACTTGCAGCGCGAAAAGCTTATTGTTGTGCTGTTTGCTGTGGGGAAAGAGCTCTTTTCGAAACTCAGATGAATCCTGCTGGATCTAACTGTTGCAAATATGGAGTCATTTTGGTATTGTGTACAAGCTCGTGTTCACGCTTGTCTCCCCAGTTACATTCGTGTACTTGGCAGCCTATTCAGATAGTTTTCCTTCTTCATACGTGCGTTGCTTGATGCACTGTTGCCAGTCATGGGGCTTTCTTTGCCTCCCTCCACCGCCCCCCTTTGTCTTTGCTCATGCATTTGCAGGTTTTTTCAATTCGTTGACACCAGCCCCGCGAACTTCGGCATTGGCTCCCAAGTGTTTGGCTGACTGCATAAATATGAAAACTGCCTGAACCTGTAAAACCGGAGACTGCAAAAGCAAATATTCATACCAGGCTCCATGTAGTATGTGCAGGTTCTAGCTACGGACACAAACAAGATCCAAATAGAGGACAAGAATCACGGGTCTGAAGGGCGCTTCTCCCATGCCAGATATTGCACTATCATTGCTCAAATTGCTGAGGGCTCGTCCTAGACAGCGGTACCAGCAAAAAAGAGTCACCGCAGCTTTCATGTTTATTTTAAGAGTACAAAGGACAAAGAATACGACTCAACTGTTGGTCGAAATCGAGCCTATGCCAGATCTCGTCTCCCTTTTAGATTTCCTTTACCTCCCCCCGTACTTTTCTGTCCCCCCGTAATGCCAAGAAAGGAAGGACACAACTGCAGTTTTCCTAGTAACTAGCCTTCCGTTCTGTGCCCGTTGGTTCAAATACTGGTAGAAAATGCGCTACTGCCCTCCATCCCTCTTGGCATTTACGCACAGTGTCTGCACTTTGCAACAATAGTGACAGGGGGTTCAAGAATCAAGAGGAGATGACTGTACAACCTCCTTCCATCTCCACCTAGAAAGTAAAAGCAACAGTTCTCGTTCCTTCTTTCTCCACATATGACAACACCGGGGTACCTACGCTCTAGGCGATTTCGGTCATTTTCTCGTTCAGGGCCCGATTTTTTCTGGTCCTTACAATTGCGGAGCCTGCGTAGCGCTACCTGTGGTGCCGCGAGCGACTGATTAAAGGAGTGCTCTCTCCAGCATCTCGCGGAGAAAGAACTGTTCATTTACTCTTAGAGAACCTGTCCGTTCCTTCTCCTAAGTGCCCCTGTTTCGGGTGAAAAGGCATATATCGAAGCGCCCTCCCAAGGCGCACCACCCCCAATGACACAGAAAAGCGGGGAAGAGAAAAGACACATTGAAGGAAGAAGACGGGTTTATTGGGCAGGAGCAGTGGACTCTAGAGGATGGAAAATACAGGATGGTAAAGCTTGCAGCTGAAGACATGCAAACGGTCGGCGCTTGTAGCACGTTCGCTCGGCCCAGCGAGAAAAGATCCATCCTCAACAAGGGTCCATGATAAGCGCGGTTACGTGCTTCAACTACTGGCTATAAGCAGCCCACGAAGCAGCAGCGGAGACAGTGCAAAAAGGGACAAGTGAGGACAAAAAGAAATCCACAAAGAAGGAAGGAAAAGATCCGTCGAGAAAATGAAATCTTTACGATACCAGAATTTCGTCTATCGCTGGTTGTTCCATTCTGTTGGTACATTCTGCTGCTCGCTACAACAGCTCGACACCGTCTTCATCGAAGCTAGGAGGAGTCAAGCGGGGGATCTGCAAGAACAGAGGAGACTCAGAAGGATTTGTAATGAACAACAAAGAGTGGGGGTGTGCCAAAAGTAAATTCTAGAACGTTAGAAAAAGACATGGGAGATCAAACTAAGGAAGTGGAACTAATTACGCCGACAGAGTGAGACGCTGAGTTCTCCAATAGCGTGTGCAGGACACGCTGGCACAGAGCGTACGAAGCAGTGCACATAGTCTTTTAGCTCGGATACACGGAATCACAGAGGAGGCAGGAATTACATTTATGAGAAATACTCACTGGCACCGTGGTCGCGGTTTGGGGGGAAATAGGTCTCTGCGTCACTGAGGATGTAGAAGAGGTCGGCCCCCCCAGCTCAAAGTCTTCACCTCCAGTGGCCCCCTTAGGCGAAAATCGGGAACCACAGGTGCTGCCATGCGCGCCTGTTCGGGGAAGGCCGTTGGTGTAAGACATCAAGCGAGGTGCATCATCTTCATTTTCATCCTGAATGCAGACGTAGATAGAGAGACTGCAAATTGTAATCAAAGCATCTTATGACGACAGTGTTGGAGACACACATCCTACAAGAAACTGAGAACACAAAATCAGTCAAATTCCAGGCGATAACCCAAATGGACTATCAAAACCACGCATTAGAACTCTTATTTCAGTTGCTTCCACGCGTATTCCTCGAGAGGTAGTACCTGCTCTGCATCGATGAAATTTAACTCCGGCTCATACTTGGCGGTTCCTCTCATTCTACCCCCCATTTCTTCCCCCTGGCCCCTCCTTTTGCACCTATCTCCATCCCCTTCATCTGCCCAGCCCACGGGGCTGCTGCCGATGATAGCGTACGACACATTTGCGAACGTGTCGAAGCCTGGAAAAACCCAGCGACAGTTTGAGGCAGAAGGACAGGAAAACAAACGAAACCATGAGCCTATTTGTTCAGAATCGATTCTTAGAGGTTTTCAAAACATTTGTCGCCATTTATCACTGCCTTTGCGTTACATCCAGGGGACGCCGAGGAAGAGGAAAGCTAATATATGCCCAGGCACGGTCCACACGTACCCGCGTTTCTAAAGAAGGCCTTGAGTCTGCCCGTCCTCGCTAGGTAATTGAAGATGCACATAAGCAGGACGATGAGCGAGATGAGCAGCAAGACCAGCTTCCCTCCCCTGCTTACTGGAGAGTGTGGTGGACAAGGGACTGCTACTTTTTCTGGCGCCCAACCGCCTTCGCAGACATCGCCAGGTACCTATGTAATAAGAGATAACAACGAGACAGAAATATTCGATGCATTCCACCCTTGTTGCAGTCATTAAAGATCAATGTCCGCAAAAGCGAGACGGTGCATGCAAACCAGTGGTAAGGCCAACAATCTCCCCTCGTAGACAAAGCAGCAGTCAACCCTTTGCCCCGCGGACCTTCCGGTAGGCAGCAGTGTAGAAGAAGGCAGAGGATGTGCAGGCAGCTGCCGCTGCCGCATCCTCAGCATCCGCGAACTGATTTAAGCCTGCAGCAGTCGATGCCGCCGCTGCCGCTGCATCCGTTGGAAGGCAGTGCACAGATCCGACCGACCGCTCAAAGCCATACTCGCACTCATAATCCTCGATTGTGCAGGGGCAAACCTGATAGACGAGCAGACACGCGGCAAATTACAGGATGAAAAAACACATCAATGCCACGCTCCACCAACGATGCCCCTTCGAGTCACCACAAAAACTCATGAATGCACGACCCCTCAAGCGCCGGCTTCGGCAACTTAGCGTTATCTGGCTATCTACCACACGAAAAAAAGGCAAAAATTTTACGATGAAGGAAAGGACACGAGAGAAGGGGTCTAAAAGCGGGCAGTATGCATCAGAAACAAGCGCACCTGAACACTGCGCGGCCTCTCAAAGTCTCGGCCATTGAAGCATTCGCTTGTCTGCTTCCTGCGCGTGTATGTAATGTGCTTTCCCAAAATGCACTTCTCTCCCGATCTTCCGTCTGTAGTACAGCGCACGGGGAAGAAGAACACAAATTGATCAGCGGCATGCAAGCAGCAAGGGCACGCGATACAGAATCACCGCTGCGTAACCTGGAACTACGACCTCAAAAGTATTTGTACCCGAGGGGCTCCATGTTTCATAGTCACTCGATACAGAGTCCGCTGCCCAAATACCCTTGCACTTTTGTTGGTTAAGGGCGGCAAAATCGAGATGGAAAAGAACGCCTGCACAGGAAGCGCGCACACATTCGAACGCCAAGCTATTTCTGTATTCCCTCATTTGTAATTTGTTCAGTCATGCCTTCTGTACAGTCTACAGCCTGTCAAACTTTTGCGCGGCACAGAGTGCCCCTCAGTGGAAACAGGGCAGACCGTCCCTCTGATGGGCCTCAGCGGAACGCCCTACACAAAACCTCGGCTTCATCAAGAACTGTTGTGACCCAAACAGCAAGAGGCAGCACGTAGAAATCCGTGATTTACCAGCACTGTCGTTTTCCCTCTTTCCATACAGAAGGAACTCCACACTGGAGGAGTTTGGTTCAATGACGATGTTGTCGACGAAGAGAGGTGAAGATCCGAGTTCAAAATCGTACCAACTCTGACCCTCATTCCAGCTGAACACCACCTGAATGCGGATCACACGGAACAAAAAAGATTTTGTAAACGGCCACGTTTGTGATCAGCACACGACCGCCTTGAAATGAACGGCAAGATGAATGATGGTAGGAAAAAGGATTGTCGGCCTGCAGCCTGTGGAAGGAAAACGGCTGCCAGAAGCTGGTGGTGCGAAGTACAGAAAAAAATCTGCCCCTTTGAAGGATCAGGCGAGCCGATAATGAGGAGGCCTTCTGAATGATAAGCCCCGCATGTGCATGTACGAGCGTGTCGTTTCACAGCGGCAAAAACGTGCATCAGCACCTGATTTGTTTTTCGGGTATCGTCGGCCATAACGATCAGCCCGCCGTGATCTCCCATCTCGTAAATGAAGGCTCCCTTGTGTGCCTCGATCCACGTAAGGCCCCCGTCTCTGCTGAGGTAGGTGTTAACTTCATCCTTTTCTGAGCGAAGATAGCTGCCGACGTTGCCCGTGGCCATGACAATGCCCGTAGCATTTTCCACACTGTAATACGGAGCAAATTCGTCAAACTTGGTGATTCCATTCAGATGCAGCCAGCAGCGGTCGGGCGGACAGTCTATTTTCTGCCCTCTGCTGTCGACTTTGGGAGCCTTCACATAGCTCCACACTCCTCCTTTGTCGAAGGTAATGGCCGTGCGCGTAACTTCTTCTTTTCTTGCCCTATTGGATACCCTTTCATGCTTCTTCTCGACCTCGGTCTGCAATCCCTCAGCTTCACCCTCCTGCTGCATCTGCTCCTGCTCTGCAGCTTCTGCCACTCCTCCTGCGTCCACATTGTCCCTGAAGTTCGCGATGTAAACGCCCTCCATTGAAAGCACCTTATCAAACTCGCACTCCCCTGTCCCAGCCCTGATATTGTTGGGAAGAGACAGCGCGAAGCGAACGCCCTTGGCGTCAGAGATATACACATTGCCGGTGTCCTTGCCCTGCAGGCAGATAAAAAAACGAGCGTAAAAACGCCTTTGAAACTGGGCACTGGAGTGGCGATCAACAGGCAGACGGAAAATCTAGTCTAACCATGCCCAGCATATCTGGGTCCTCCCATCATTTGCATCCAACAGGGATCAACAGGCACATGCATCTGAGGGAAAAAGCACAGGCTTCCGCTTGCCCTTTGTATCGTACCCCGTCTCCTCCATGGTTCACATGCAGCATGATGGCCCCCTCCGACGTGTCAAGGATTGTATAGCTCTTCTCCTCTATTTCAACAGGCAACTTCGCCGCCTGCGTCCAGATACCGGGACAAAGAGAGGAAACAGAGGGAAGAAAGCGTGGTGCGAAGTAGCTACACGATACACAATACCTACTTGCACAAAACGCCAACGGGACGCTATTGTACAGGGCAAGGGTCTCAAGCGACGCAAAGAGCGAGTGAGCAGGCACCAGTATCAGCGTCGGTTCAAACAGAATCCCGCCGAGACAGCACGTACAAACTACTCAGATTCACCCCAGAGCAAAACCTATGCAAGAAAGGGGCTGAACCGGACCCTTCGGACCTCAAGCTAAAAATCTGCAATTGACTGAAAGCTATATAAACTTTAGGCACGTAGCATACGAATGAAGCAACAATGAGAGCTTTCTTCTCCTCTTAAGTTCCAAGAGTTTCCGCTCACCGCAAAGGTGCTTCCACCGTCAGTGGAAACGAGGAGATTGACCGTCTGTTTGACGGCGTCTTTTACCTTCGCCACAAAGAAGTAGCCGTTCGAAAGAAGAAATCTATTGCCCCTGTAAACCAAACGGTTTACTGTGCGTCCGAAGTCTTTCGTAACCATTAAATCCACATTCTTGGACTGCGAGCAAGTAAGCAAAATCAACCGCAACAAAAGGCGTCAATGCATTCGATTTGCAACCAATTAAAAGGAAATGCGTTTGTGGTGCATTTAGAAGAAAATACTGAAGCGGGTAGATCGTGCGCACGTTAATTCTCAATAAGTGTACTCAGGCACCTAATGCTTCACGCCTTACCCATCCTCCGTATCGTGGCTGATCTCCAGACTTTCCCCTATGCTGGGTGAAGTAAATGTTGTCCTGCACTCCAATATTCTTGTCTCCCCATGAAAACTGCACTACATATTCACCAACCAACTTGAAGGTTTTGCCAAGATCGGTAGTATAGTAGAGCTGGTGATTGCATTCCTCCCCTCTCCTGCCCGTGGTCTTGGAGTAGCAGGGGTCCGTCCACGTCGAAACGAGTGCATAAGTCGAGCGGGTGGGATGAAAATGGAAGTTATGAATGGTAGATGTGTACTTGATCCGCCGAAATGATACGCCAGCATCCTCCGAAACAAAATGGTTTCTATGGGCCCCCACCACAACAACTATGTTCTTGTTCACTGGTGAGATCATGATGCTGTCTACAACAACTGCGCTCCCCTCCTCCTCCGCCTTCAGTAGATCTGTAATTTCCATCCAGCTCTTCCCTCCATCTTTGGATCGGTACAGGCGTCCTTTGCGGGTCTTCAAAAGAATTGTCCGATGGTCCGCCCCACACCACTGAATATCTTCTATGTGACTATCAAAGGAGACCTCCGAAACAGAGACTGCAAACCAGTAGCACCGGTAACAACGAATACATTAAATTGAAAAGTGCAACCGCGCGGCAATGGACAGATGTTCCGACAAAAGCAACAGCAGTTCACTCATGGACCCCCGTCCACAAATACACCACATAAATCGACACCCCCGAATATACTATGGCATAAAACTCACAACCCTCGCAATTTTACTCCTGCTCACCCTTTTTATTTGTTACGGCTGCAGAAGCTGGCGATCCGACAAAGGTAGATGCACAAATAACCAAAACCAAAAGGCCCCCCACCAGGGCCGTGGCGGAGCACCTCATCGCGCCCTTTTCCTCTTTGCCGCGGAACCGAAAAAGTGCAGTAGATAATGCAGGCAGAAGAGGAGTACAAGCGTCAGCAGGTGGTGCTTGGGGTCAATATGTAATGTATCCTATTGTACCCCACGTCCTTCCTATCGGTCAATAGCCAGTGCCTCTTTAACAGATCACCACAGCAGCAAAGAAGGGGCCCCTTCACAGTTTCGGCCTGGGGCCCCCTCCTTATCTTCTGTGGAGCTAGGGTGTTTTAGGGCTTGAAAAGGAGAGGACAGGAAGAAGGAACTGGAGTAGCCGCTGAGATCGAGGGTGTCAGGAACGAGCAGTTAATCCAGACTCGTGTACATCTGGGAAACTACATAGAAGAGTAGCAGTAAAAGAAACGAGGACACGAGTCCAGAATGCACTGAAGTGGAAAAAACAACTGAAACCCGCAGGTAGAACTGGCGAGGCAAGCATCCGTTGTGTAGACACTTCGATCTTGGAAAGCAAATATGCAATGCCAAATAAAGTTTCAGCTCTGTTTATTTCTAAAATAAAAGAGAAAGCAGAAAGAATAAAACCCAGAGCACCCATCCCGCTGCATGTTCCGCTGCTGCCGATCACCGCAGCCCTCGGTGGCTGCAGGGCTTGTCCGTATTGTCTTGCAATTTTGGGAGGGAACAGGCATGCTCGGGGTCGAGACATGATACACAAGTATCCAGAATCAAAAGCCGAGTCCGTTCGATTTGAGTCGAACAACCCGTTATTGCTTTGTAAGAAGGAAAGTGGGAACTGTGAAAAGCGCAACTTCGGAAATGTGTGGGATGGCAGCTGCCATTGCAGTGTATCTCCACCTCAACTGTAGGCCACGCAGTCAAACCAAGTTAGGAGTTGTTGACTTCTTAGCTTGCATGAAAATAACTCACAGAACATGGTCAGGCACTAGTAGACCACAAAGTTCAGATGGGTAGATAAGACAACAGCACATAAACTCGAAAAGTGGTAACAGCCAATTGAACCGCTCGGTCTCCTGTTAAGCCTGTTTTCCCACTAGAGCTTAGAGAACACCTTCGTCAGATGGGACAGAGGCCCTTAGCTGTGGCCACTTCGGGCTTCCACCCAGCAATTGACCTAATGGAGCACTCTACAAATCTTTCCGGCTATTTTGGGAAGTCTCATAAACTCCTTTGGTTCATAGCCCCTGTCCGTATGATTCTAAAACTTATGCCCTTATAAATCTCAGAGTCACGCAACTGTACGAGACGCGCTAAACCTGTGGGTTTGACACTCTATCTAAGGTCACCCTGGGGTGCCACTTAAACGGACTCAATGCCAACATAATCAAAAGTTATGGAGTTTTCCCTGGAAGACTCTTGTCTTTTAATCCTGCGGGCCTTACAGTTTTTGATAAGAGGGGAGAGGGATAGCCACTGTGCGAGAAACTGCACACAGCAATGTGTCTCCTTAGATCAAGAGGTAATACCCTGCTAAACAGCACACCCAAATAGGCATTTAATTACTTAACTCTTTTACAATTCATTGGTCACTATAAGTAGCCTAATAGGAAGTGCGTATGTGTAGCCCAGCTTGCTAGACCTTTCCACCAATTTAAACACATTGCCTTGTTCGCAGTACGTGTACGCTGACGTCACCCACTGCATGCAAGACAGCGAAAGAGCTCCAGCCCAACTATGACACCCCAGGCAGGCAGAAACGCGAAAATTGGGCAAGAACGAGGGCAGCAGGCATGTGCATGTGCCGGTAAAGTCAAATAGACGGGACGAAGGAGAGTCACTAGCCAAAAACGAACAAGGGACCAAATCATCGCAAAAACGGCGGCGCTGTGCCTCGCTGTCGGTGGAGCGCTCTAGTGTGTGGGCATTCCCGCCAAATAAAAGGAAAAAACAAGTATCGCGTGTAAGGGAAATCAAATACCCATTGACCAGCAATGCCACCCACCTCACAGA